TGAACCAGTTGTCGAAACAAAAGAAGTTGAACTGGTTGTCAAAACTAAAGAAGTTGAACCAGTTGTCGAAACTAAGGAAGTTGAACCAGTTACTTATGTTGATGATGTAAATTCGGCTGTTGATTCTGACGAATTTCAATCGATTATTGATAATGATGATGTGATTTCCAATACTGATTCTGATGAATTTAAATCTACTATTGAACCTGAAGATGTTAGATCAAGCACTGCATCTGAGGATTTTAAATCAATTATTGACACTGACGATTTTCAATCAATTATTGATACTGATGAATTCAATCCAAATATGAATTTTGAACAAGTTGGTGAAACTTCAGTTGCAAAAAATCAAGAAAGTCCTGAGCAGGTGCAGACTGGAAGTAGTCAGTTTGAAAGTGAAATCAGATCTATTTCTAAAGTTTCGAATGATGTGAGTGAAGAAAGCACTATTAAAAGCATTTCTGTACCTTTATCAGCATCTAATGCTGAGATCGAAACCAAACTGGATACTGAGAACGAAGCTAAATTGGGTTCTGAAAAGGCAAAGGTTGAAAATGATTTTGACAACAGTGATTTCAATTCTTTTAGGTTTGGACTGGCACCAGATATTAAAGTCCTTCAAAAGTCCGAGGAAACTTCGACAGAGGGTCCCAAAACCAAAAATCGCTTTAGAAATTTAGTTATATTTGATTTTGATCACTCTATTGATGAAATTGAACACAGTTTGGATGCTGATTCTATAAATGATTCTCATAAAGATGGAAAAACTTCCCAAAATAAGTGGTTTACAGCGTCTTCCGGCTATGAAAACGAAACTGAAGAACCATTAAGTCGTTCCCTTGTTTTAGAATCACCAATTGGAAATTTAAAGGTTGATGAAGGTGAGGGTTCATCGAATAGTAAGGAAAAATCTAGGCTCATTGATCTAAAAACGTTATTATCACATAAACGTGCCTGGTCAGTTGATACTGGATTGTCTTTACAAAACACTACAAGTACAAGCACTACTACAACACCAGTATATTCTATTACAGGGAGTCAGAGCATTACTAACTTGAGTTCTATGTTGCCATTTACACCACTAAGAGCCACAACATCATCCAGTGTTAGTCCTGCAAGTGCTACAATTAGTTCAGCCAATGCTACGTTTTCAAGCAATACAGCAAATGTTCCCAACATCATAAGAAGAAATTCGCTTATTGCTGTCAGGTCGAACAAAGGATTATTCAGCTTTTTAAGCCGAAGATTCAAGAGCGATAAAAGCTCAGATAACAAAAAAAAATAACACATTTACAATTAGTTTTTTATAAAATAATAGTGATAATTTTAGTTTATTAATTTTTTTATTTGTTGAAGTCATTATAACATTAGTTCAAAAGTTTTTAAATTTTTAAATTTTTAAATTTTTATATTTTTTTTCTAATTTTTATTGTTTTTTATTTTCATTTTATTTTTACTTTTAATATTTCCCTTTTATTTTTATTTTTACTTTTAATATTTTCCTTTTAATATTTTATCTAATATTTTACCTGATATTTTACCTAATATTTTTCTTTTAACATTTTACTTTTAATATTTTTCTTTTATGCTGTTTTCAGTTAACATCTAAAAGTTTTGTTTACCATTAATTTTCATTATCTCACAATCATAATTTTTAATCATAATCATAATCATAACTACAGTCATAATTCATGTTTTTTTATAATCTCGTAAATAACGTTTATTAATTTCCATCTGGCTGTTGATTTACTTTTAATATACTTTAATTTACTTTTAATTTACTTTCATTTACTGACTTGCCTTTGATTTGCTTCCATCTTATCTCCACGACGGGTGTCGAATCCCGCCCCAAAAGAGCTCTTTTCTTCTCCTATGCTCTCCTTCTTTAGTCGATAATTTCTTGAAAACACTCACCTCCTCAACTTTAATCAGGGCCCTCAAGTCTCTTTGATGCTATAAAACCTTTCTGTTTTCTGAGCTGCTCTACTTTTTTGTTTGATTTCCCTGGTCCTAGTCTCATTACTGCACTACACTACCATAATTCGGGTGCCACCTTCAAGATGTTCAAATACTCCAGCAAACCCAGAGTTTTCCAAGCTCAGCTTCTCTCAATAATCAATAAGAGATGTGTTGCCCAACTATCTATTCCAAACACTCCATCTTCGCTTAAAAACGAAACAAACTTGACCTTCATGAAAAATTCCAAAGAATGGGATTTGCTTAGAGCCTCCTTGACAAAATTCAATGACAATACTTCTTTGCAAATTCCACTTGTCATCAATGGTGAAAAGATTTACTCAGATGAAACAAGACCTACACTTTCTCATTTTAATCCAGCTAAACATTCTCAGGAATTAGCTACTGTGACTCAAGCCAATCCAATTGATGTTACCAATGCCATCAAGACTTCAATGAGTGCCAAAAAAGATTGGTTGAAAACACCATGGGTTGATAGAGCTTCAATTTTTCTCAAAGCTGCTGAGTTGATCTCGACTAAATATAGATATGATTTACTTGCTGCCACCATTCTTGGTCAAGGTAAAAACATTTTCCAAGCTGAAATCGATTCTATCGCCGAATTAAACGACTTTTACAGATATAACGTTAAATATGCAAAGGAATTATACAGTACCCAACCAATTGAAACTAGTTCTGGTGTTTGGAATAGAGCTGAGTATAGGCCATTGGAAGGTTTTGTCTACGCTGTCACTCCATTCAACTTCACTGCAATTGCAGGAAACTTGGTTGGCGCTCCAGCTTTAATGGGTAATACTGTCGTTTGGAAACCTTCGCCTCATTCTATTTTATCAAACTATCTATTGTACGAAATATTGGAAGAAGCAGGTTTACCAAAAGGTGTTGTCAATTTTTTGCCTGGTGATGCTGAATTAATCACAAACGAAGTCATCAACGATGAAAATTTTTCAGCTTTACATTTTACAGGTTCAACAAGCGTTTTTAAAAATTTATTTTCAACTATTGGACAAAACATTAACAAAGATGTCTATAAAGATTTTCCAAGAATTGTTGGTGAAACTGGAGGCAAAAATTTCCATTTGATCCACAAATCTGCATCTGTTGTTCATTCATCATTGTCAACTTTAAGAGGTGCATTTGAATACCAAGGTCAGAAATGTTCTGCTACTTCACGATTATATTTATCAGAAAGTATTTCAAATCAATTTTTAAAAAATTTGACTGAAAACCTCAATACCATTGTACCACATAACTGCTCGATTAGTGAAGGATTGAATTCATTCATGGGGCCAGTTATTCATAAACAAAGCTATGAAAAATTGGTTTCAAAGATTGAACAAGCCAAAGAGGACCCAGATTTAGAGATTATTTACGGAGGTAAATATGATAGTAAAGACGGGTTTTTTATTCAACCAACAATAATTGAAAGTAACAAAATTGACCATCCTTATTTTTCAGAAGAATTTTTTGGTCCAATATTAGTTGTTTATAAATACAAAGATAAGGATTATGAAAAAGTAATTAATATAATTGATAAAACTTCGAAATATGGATTGACTGGTTCTATCTTTAGTAAAGATAGAGAAGCAATAAGAACCGCTGAAGAAAAACTTAGGTATTCTGCAGGTAATTTCTATATTAACGATAAATGTACAGGAGCTGTTGTTGGGCAGCAATGGTTTGGAGGCAGTAGAATGAGTGGAACAAATGATAAAAGTGGAAGTGCTAACATCCTTAGCAGATTTGTTTCTGTAAGAAATGTGAAAGAAAACTTTCAAGAAATAAATGATTATAGATATCCTAGTAATTACTAGATTACTAGGAAACTATTTTTGTTTAATATAACAAATAATTTAATTTAATTTAATTTAATTTTATTTTATTTTATTTTATTTTATTTCGAAAAAAGTATAGCATATGAGTAGTATATATAGTCAATGAAAGTTTAATGATTTATAAAAATAAGAATTGAAAATGTGAGGATGAAAAATTATTGGGACTGAACAAAAAAGGAAAATTTTAAAGTGAGTTTAGTATAAAAACAACATAGTAAGAACAAAAAAAATGCCATAAAAGTTTAAAGTTAAAGAGCCAGTTGAGAGATAAGATGCTGTAAGAAATGATAGTTGATAAAAAAGAATAAACCGATTTAAACCTCGTTAAATATAGTCGTAAAATAAAAAAGGGAAAATTGAAATGCTCATCAAAACAACAAAAAGAAGCAACGTTAAGTAAAAGTTTTCATTAAAATTTAGTGTAATTAAATTTGAAACCAAGATTTGAAGCTTAATTAAACTATCTCTCTCCAAATTCTTTTCCATTTGGATTTTCCAGTTGGTTTGTCGAGTGGCCTTTTTTCATCAATAAACATGATTTTTCTTCCACCTTCAAAATTCATATCATCGTATTTGATATATTTTGATTTCAAGTAAATTTTGTAAAAAACAATAAAAATGGGGAATAATGGAAGTAAAATGTAGACATCGATAAGATTTCCAACATTGAATGGGTCAAAGCTTGTCCAACCTTGAACAAAAGTTAAAGTTATTCCAATAGCTAGACCAGTGATTGGTCCATAAGGATAAAATGGGGCAACATAAGGCAATTCCTTCAACGAATGTCCCTGCTTTAACCAACCCTTTCTGAATCTGATATGAGAGAAAATTATGCTTGACCAAACGATAAAAGCACAAACACTTCCAAGATTAACAATGTAACCATAGGCCTTTGAAGCACTGCTATCAATAGTTAGTAAACACAAAAACCCAAAGATATGAACAGTGTGGATCGCAACATATGGTACTCCACGTCTATCGTGCTTTTTAAAGATTTTTGGAGCACAACCTTCGTATGCTAGGTTATATAGCGAACGACTGGCAATATAAATAGCAGAGTTGATGGACGAGAAACAGGTAATTAGCACCACAGCAGAAACGTAATAGCCTGCTTTGTCCCAGCCTGCTTCCATAAAGGCAATTGTCATTGGAGACTTCATTGTTCTATTAGAGGAGGAAAGCATTTCATGGTTATAAGGAACAGTGAGACCATAGGCTATGGACAAACCGTAGTAAACATATAAAATTCTGAAAACAGTTTGTCGAACAGCTAGGGGGATTGCCCTTTGGGGGTTTTGGGACTCAGCAGTGGTCAAGCTGATGCTTTCAATGCCAGAATAAAAGATACCAGCGTAAACAAAAGAGTTTGCAATACCTTTGAACCCATCTGCTAAAGGGTAGTTTTTGAAAGGGTTTCCAGTTGAGTGATTAGGGATACCATTTGATGCAAAAATTATGGCAAAAATATAAAAGCCAGTTAAAAAGAGCAATTTTATGACAGCCAAAATATACTCAGCTTCACCAAATACACCCACACCCAATTCTTGGTAGATGGTGAAAATAAACCAGAATATTAAAAACCATCCATATATGGGCACTCGATCAGAGAAATACGTGCAAATGGAACAAAGAGAGACATACTCAGCTATGATATTGCAAATCCATAGTATAACATAGTACCAACCAACTGTAGCACCAAAAGCAGGGTCTACCCATCTTGAAGCATGAACATTAAAATTGAAATCAAACATTGTATTTAGTTCGCCAATACTGAACATCATTGTCATCACTAAGATACCTACAATGGTAAAACCGGCAATCAAACCAACAGGGCCACCAGAACGAAGAGCATTTCCAAAACCCACAATTGTTCCAGGTCCTATTATTCCAGCAACAGCCATCATTGATATATGGCGAGTCTTCAAGGCCCTTTTCACGCCTGTTTTGGGATCAAACGTCTCTCTTGAATCCTTAGTTGATTCGACAGGCTCATTATTTTGATCAAGACCGTCGCAATTGGGCTCACATTCTTTGAGTTTATTATCTTCTGTATTATCTAGGGTCATAATTGAATAATAAAATATTCAAAAGAAAACAAAAAAAAGCAAAAAAAAAAGAATTCAGAAAGAGGAAGAAGTAAGAAAAAAAAAGAAAGGGTAAAAACACTATATATGGTATCTATATAAATGTGACAATGTTTCAAATTTCTGTCAAGAAAAACACCCAACACCCATAAAAACCTAAAAAACAAACAAATACAGCAGCTGTGGAAACGAAAAGCAGAGCTGTGGGTTATTAGCAAGACAATTAACAATTTATATATTCAAAAAAGAATCTTCTAGTTCCTAATATACACAATTAGAAAATATATAAAAATGAAAATTTGCAAAATAGTTGAAACCCATTAAGATTTAAGCTCAACTTTAGCACGTTTTTTCGTTAGGTTATAGAATAAGCAATGAACAATAGTGCTGATGAGATTATTCACACTTCTTTGTGTCCACGCTCATGCGTTTGCTGTTTTCGGCTAATGCAGATGCTGTTACGGGAGGTTTTTCAGCGCCTAAATGGCTGCTGTTCCTGTTGCACCGCATATTTGTGCTGCCGCTGACGAAAGGCTCCCACTTTCTAAAACCCGCGCAGGAGTCAGCTTGAAAATGGGAGCACGGTTGTTTCCATAAACGGGAGCCCGAAGTAGTATCACGTGACTTTTGTTTTTGACGCACAAACTCTGGAGCTTTTTAAAACGGAACACAACTGCTGTATCGGGACTGTGCTTATCAGAGAAAGTCCAAAAAGTGTATATTTTGTATCACTGATAAGGAAAACCAAACTTTTTCTCTCTCAAATGATATCATATTGATCGGAGAAGCTGCAGTCTGATAAGGTGCTTTGATAGAGACCTAAGGGTGGAATGGTTTATCCGAATGAAGTCGCAGGTTTTCTCAAGATACGCTGCATTGGACAATATTCTTCAGATAAACATTCATATATAATAATATATATCGTTCTCTTTTTTTGGAAAAGAAAATTATGTGATATCAAAAAGATTTTTACTGGGTTTTTTGTTATTGAAACCCATTTATATAAGCTTTTTTCTTTTTTATTTTTTATTTAGTGATATTATAGCATAATGACATTGGATTGCGTGGGAGATGTTGAAGATTATTCAAAAGAACTCGAATTAATCGAGAAATTAAGTAAAAAAAACCCAATAGTCGACACACATAATGATTTTCCATATTTAGTTAGAACCCAGTTAAGATATGAGATCGAAAACGATAATTGTTTCAAATTCGATGGAAAGTTGACCTCAAATACCAGCATACTAAAATTAATAAAGGGTAAAATTGGAATTCAATTTTTCAGTTGCTTTATCGAATGTAAAGATGATGACTATCTTTATCAAGATTTCAATAAACCTAACAGTGCAGTTAGAGATACATTAGAACAAATTGATATAATCAAAAGATTAGTAGATAAATATCCAAAATATTTGAATCTTGTTTATAATTCAAAAGATGCTTTAAACCAATTTCAAATGACAAATAAAATTTCTATAACAATGGGAGTAGAAGGATTGCATCAAGTAGATTTATCCCTTGGTGTGTTAAGAACATACTTTGATCTAGGTGTCAGATATATAACATTAACTCATAATTGTGACAATCCTTTTGCAACAGCTGCAAGTTCTGTCACCGGCGGTTTAGAAGATAAGGGTTTATCAGCTTATGGTGTGAATTGTATTAAAGAAATGAACAGATTAGGGTTAATGGTCGACCTATCTCATGTTAGTTATAAGACAATGCTAGACGTCTTGAAAGAAACCAGATGTCCTGTGATATTTTCTCATTCATCGGTTTATAAATTAACCCCAAATGAAAGGAATGTTAGAGATGACGTTTTGATGAAATTAAAAGAAAACAGCGGTGTCTGTTGTGTTAATTTTTTCCCATTATTCATAAGCCAAAACAAGGATAGAACAGCCACGATAGACGATGCAGTAGATCATATCATTTATATCATCAATTTAATCGGTTGGAAATATGTTGGTTTTGGTTCTGATTTTGATGGCATTCCTGAGGGCCCTAAAGGATTGGAAGATGTCTCAAAATATCCTGACTTATTAGCAAGAGTTATCAATAAAATTGGAGGTACTGAGGACGAAATCAAGGGGTTGATGGGTTTAAACGTTTTAAGAGTATGGGAAAAAAATGAACAAATCTCTAAAGAATTAAAGAAAAAAGGCGAAAAAATTGTTGATGCTAATTGGCAAAACAGAAAATGGGAATTGTTCGACTATTGCAAAGAAATGCCTGAAATATACCCTGGATCATTCAGCAAATTTAAAGACACAGTATATAAAGACTGCCAGTCGTTGGATCTCACCAAAAAAGACACTCCATAGTTTTGTAAACACCATAGATAGTTTTCTGATTCAGCTTATTTATTTCCTAATAAATCCATGTTAGCTTTCGCTCTGATTACCTAATCACTAATAATCTTGCAGACATAATGTCTCCAAGCAGGAATCGAGCCAGAAATATTGTATCCTTGAGTGCAGTGCTTACCACTGCGCCAAAAAAGAAAAACGCATGGTATTCAAATTTTTCAGTAACTGTATACACATTGACAAGTCTGAGGTATTGCAGGTATTTGCAGCTTAAGAGATAAAACTGACATGTCTTACCATTCTGTCTTTTTAACAGATCACAATATCTTATAGATTTGCAAGTTTATATCAATTTGTTTTCACCAACAGTTTGTTCAAGTATTGTATATGTGTCAGCTCATGATTTTAAATACTACAATACCCTCATTTTATTACTCATAATTTCCACAGGTTCATACTGCTCTCCAAGATGTTTTCCAACATTTCTAGATTTCTTTTCTCAATATTGAGTTTATGTTTAATTTTTGATTATGAATCACGAAGATCTCCCATATCCATATCAATTGGTTTTGGTATAATGAGTTTTTTAATAACGGATTTTTTGATTCCCAAATTAAAACAAAATTTCACCAAAATCGGGTTATGTGGGAAAGATCTATCAAAAAAAGATAAACCGATCCTACCTGAAAGTATTGGTATAATAACTGCTTCAACTTATTTGATTATAATGTTTTTATTCATTCCTTTTCTATTTTCCAGGTTTTTAGTTACAAGCACCTCGGGTGGGGGAAATAGGGACGATGGTTATTTTGAAAACAATATTAATAATAACAGCAATATTACTTATACCACATTGGACAAATTTTCTCATGTAAAATTAACAGAATATTTAGCAGCTTTATTATCACTCATGTTCATGGTATTGTTGGGCATAGCGGATGATTTGTTTGATATAAGATGGAGAACCAAGTTTCCTTTGCCTATAATTGGGGCTATTCCTTTATTGGTAGTTTATTATGTTGATTTTGGAGTAACCTCAATTTTATTGCCAAACTTTTTGAAAAGTTTTTTCAATTCAACAACAATCAATTTAGGTGTTTTTTATTACATTTATATGGGGTCAGTTGCAGTATTTTGTCCAAATTCTATTAATATTTTAGCTGGAGTTAATGGGCTTGAGGTGTTTCAATGTGTAATTTTATCGGTAATTTTCCTTATCAATGATTTTTGTTATTTGATATCGTCCAATTTTCCTCAATCAAAGGATTCTCATTTATTTTCAATTGTTTTAATTATTCCATTTTTGGGATCATCGATGGCTTTGTTAAAGTATAATTGGTATCCAGCTAAAGTGTTTGTCGGTGACACGTACTGTTATTTTGGTGGCATGTTGTTTGCAATTGTTGGAATCTTGGGACATTTTTCCAAGACAGCATTACTATTTTTTTTGCCTCAAATTTTCAACTTTGTTTATTCGGTTCCTCAACTATTTGGTTTAATTCCATGTCCAAGGCATCGTTTACCCAATTATAGTATCAAGGATGGGTTAATGTATCCTTCATTTACCGATTTGAATTATTTTGTCTTGAATTCAGGTATAAATACAGACAAGATGAGAAATGAAAACAAAAACAAAAACAAAAACAACAATAAAAGTGAAAAATCAATTTATTTGCCTAACTTTTTGAAGAAGATTATCGAAAAAGTCTTGTATATCTTATCTTATTTAAGACTACTTCGAATCGAAGAAAAAACGGTCAATAATGAAAAACACATTTCTAGGATTAATAATTTGACTTTGATAAATTTAACGTTGATTTGGTTTGGTCCAATGAGAGAAGATCGTCTTTGTTTAACGATATGTGGACTACAATTTGTTATTGGTATTTTAGCTTTAATCGGAAGACATACATTGGGTCCTTGGTTGTATGGTTTTGATAATCTATGGAACTAAAATCACCGTAATAACAACAATAACGACGTAAAGTCAATAGAGCAACAGATCAACGTGATGGGTGCAAGCATCGCTTCAATGCTTTATTTATAGATATACAAATGTAGTGTAATTTTGGGCTAGCTCAGCTTTTGAGTTTAAGCTATTTCTGGATGTTCCCAATCGATTAATTTCCTAGAAGAGAATAACTTCTGTTTGTATTTTGCACTTCCCTCCCATCCAGCTGCGACCACTTCGCTCCCCAACAGCTCTACAAAAGCTCTGTAACAGCTCTCCATCGCTGTGATTAGCAGTCTGGCCATTTCCCCCAGCCCTCCCACTCCCAGCTGCCCCAACATTCATCTGCCCTGAGCCCAGTTCTGTCGCTGGAATTTTCCACAAAACCCTAATGGAGGACGCTGTTTACCTTTTGCCGAATCAGGAAGCCTCTCATCGTCTGGAAAAAACGCAGCTTAAAACTGCTTCAGAGTTGAAGAGCAAGTGCAAGAGCTGTTGAAAGAGCTGTTGGCGTTGGAGCAGCGTATTCTGGCTCTGTTTACCTTTGGGAGCTCGAGTACTGGTGGTCACTGGCCTTATTGTCGTTTTGCAGCTGGGTGGTTCGTTTTTAAACTTTGGTTTTTTCCCATCTTCTTTGATTTGTTTCTTCTTTTTAAACCTCCAACTATTTTCAACCACCTATTTTCAACCACCTAGTTCACCATATTCTCAACATATTCTCAAGTCTGCTAAGGACTTATCAAACAGCACTGCTCATATACACTTCTTTATCCTATATCAAACACACTCCTCTTCCTCTCAACTACTACCGGCCATGAACTGTCTTAGAGCCAATGGTACTTTGATCATAGTCGTGTCTCGAGCAAGAAACTTGCCAAACAGACGAAAGCTCGATAAGCAAAATCCCTATTGCATTGTGCGAATCGCAAACTTGGTTGATAGAACCTCTGCAATTGTTAGAGGTGGTCAGACTCCTGACTGGAATCATGAGTCAAGATTCCAACTAACTACTGATATCAATCCTATCTTAAAACTCTCCATTCTTGATGAAACAAAAAAATCTCCTGAATTGGTCTGTGATGCTGAAATCGACTGTTCTCCTTCTTTCAATACTGACGTCGATGAGGGCTACGATAAATGGCATCCTTTGCAATACTGTGGAAGATCTGCTGGCGAAGTATACATTGAAATGACCTTTTATCCCACCTCTCCTACAATGGCTCCCAAACCCAAAAAAGTTACTTTGAAAAGAGGCTCCTCAGTTAGACCTTTGCCCTCAAGACCAGGCGAAGATTGCACTGATATTCTTGAAGACCTGTCTTCCATAAGCGACTCATTTGCATCTGCTCGTTCTTTGCCAATGGAAATGACAAATTCCATGGCCCAACAACAATTGTATAATAATCAATTGCAACAACAATACATGATGGACCCCAATCTGACCTCATTCTATTCTTCCAACAGTCTTCTTGATTCTCAAAACTCCCAGGCTTCTTCTCTAGCTTCTTCTCAAGCTTCTCAATATTTCCTAGATTCTCAAATTTCACAAACTTCTTCTCAGGCCTCCTCCCAATATTCCACACAGTCACAATTGAACGACCAATTCACTGCTTCTTATTTGCTACCCAAAATTCCATCAAATTTGTTAAACCCAACCGTCTATGATTCAAAATCAATTTTAAGCAATGGAAGCGCCGACAGTAGATATACAGACAGAAGAGGCAGAAGATCAATCATGAATGGATCGTCTTACTCAAATTCCTCCTCATTGAAAAGTGCAAATTCCAAATACAGCTACACTTCAGATTTCACAGATAGCTATTCCAGTAACATTACTCCTTCATCCTCAATTTACTCTGACCTTAAATCGAAATCAAATTCAATTTATGGCAAAACTATAACATCATCAAAAGATAATTTAGATGATCTAGAAAGAGAAGTTCAATCTAGTTGGAATAAACAAAATTCAAAATCGAGATCAATGTCTCCAGTCAAATCTGCCAAAGACTCATATTCAATAGACGTCTTTAAAATTTCAACTGCTTTACCAAAATTGTCTGATTTTAATGACAATGATTCAATTTTAAATTCCACTTTTAGACCATTTCCAAACCCAAATAATACTATCACTGCTAAAACTGCAAATAACTATAATAAAATTAACACAAACACTAATAAACCCAATAGATTGCCTGGCTCTTATGAATCTACCATTAGACCTTTATCTCCTTTAAGAAAAACAACTCGTAAACCACCTCCACCGGAAAAAAATAATTATGCTCAATCTACAATGTCCTCAAAATTGGCTGATTTGAATCTATCAACAATATCCTCTTTCCCCTACTCTGCTGATGAAATCGACAGAAGTTCTCTGATTAGATCCCGAAATAAACCCGATCATTTGGATATGCTTCGTGAAAAATTGATGAAAAGAAAGGAAAATGATGAACTAAGATCAGATTGTTTTGCTCCAACACCAAAAGAATTCATTACAAGTAGAAGCAGTAAATACAGTACTACTAGTAGCAGATATGATAATGATTTTAATAGCTCAATTATGACAACTACAACTATTTCAACTCTTTTGCCTGGTCAAAATGAATTTGGTGGTCTGAAATTTCTTCAAAAATACTAAATTTAATTTTGATACTAATTCTAATTTTAATTTTTAATTTAAAAAATACAATAATTTTAATAATGTTTGAAATTTTTGAAAAAGAAAAAAGCTATTGTTAAATATATTTTTCTTTTCTTTTCGTTAATCTTCTTTTGCTTTGCCTTTTTATATAGTTAATTTTAGGGACATATTTTAATTCTTTGAACTTTGATTTAATTTTTTAATATTTAGTTTTTTTTTTGTTACTCTTCTCCTGCTCTTTCTTTCTAGCTTTTCACAATAAGAAAAGAAAAAGTAATTCCACATTTGTTTTGTTTTTGCTTTTTTTGAAAAAAAAAAGAATTTTGATTCTGTTTTATATTATAAATAAATGCATCATTTTAATTTTTATTACCCACACCTTTCAAATAACAATACCTATATAAAAATAACAAATAATTGAAATAAAATTAATAAATAATGAACAAGTATGTAAAAATAAATATAAATAGTAAAATAAAATAAAATAATAAAATAAAATAAAAATATTCAAGGAATTTCATAAAAAGCATTAAAAATATAGAAAAAAAAGAAGTAAATTACTTATACAGTAAAATAAAACTAAAAAATTTGAATGAAAAATATAGAGAAAAAAAAAAGTGGTTCAAGATTTTTCAAAATCAAATCTCAAATAAATTAAAATATATTTGAAATGAATTCCATAAAATAAGCAAAAATAAAAATTTGGAAAACATTAATAAAATCGAATTTGAAATATATTGAATTATCGACCAAGATTAAGTCTCCAACCAAATTTTTTAGTGATTTTATACCAATCAACGCATAATGTTCCGTTGTTATTTAATTTCCAAACTTCTTGGATTACTATCCATGCTTTCTTGATACCAACAAATTGGTATAATCTCATTAATTGATTAAACTTGCTTGCAATACCAGCTTGGTCTTTTTCAAATACAGAATTTAAACCAGCGATTAACATTGGGAAGCAAAGAGAGCTTTTGACAGGAGTATTGATTAAAGAGTCGAGGAGAGAGTTCATTTTGTAAAGCATTATTTGAATTTCTGGAACTACCGGAGGGAGTTTTCTTAGGGACTGTTTAATGTAGAGTTGGATGGTTAACTGGTAGAGTTGAAATAATTTCAAATGGTTATCAACATCTTCAGTATTTTTGAAACTAGTTAGATCTATTGGATTTGGCTTGCAATTTTCAGCTTTTTGGTCTAAATGATGAGCTTTCTTTAGGATATTTGATAATTGATCGTAGCTATCAAAATTAGCATCGCTGTAATCTTGCAAAAGTTTTAATTGAACGTTTAAATTAATGACTTCCCCCAATATTAGAATTAGACTCTTGAGACAACCTTGTAAGGAATCCAATAGGCCATTGTTGTCTTTCATATTGAAGATTTCATAATAGAGAGACATTGGATAATATGTACCATTTTCATTGGACTGGGAGGCTAAAATATCAAAATAAGCAAAGTTTTCGGCTAAAATTTTGCCTTCACTTGAAAAGTCTTTTAGAATTCCAAACCCACCCATTTTATTAATTAAAAAATAACCATCATTTAAAAATTTTGCCCACGAATGAGTGTCGCCAGTTGAAATTTTTATGCAGACCAAAATAATATAGCAAGTAAGCGAAGTTATGAAGGTTCTGTTTGAAAGCTTTGAATATGTTTTCCAATCGTTTGATTGTAGTTCGTTTATGACGGATAAAGCCTTTTGAATGTAGAAGTTGCTTTCCTTGGTTAGTATTAGAGAGGTGTTTGCGGTTTTGCTATTTAGATGATTATTCGTGATTTGATTGACGTTTTTCAAGTCATTGAAGTTATTTGAGTTGACATCGTCCATAATCTGGTCTGTTTGTAGCATTGTTATATCGTTGGAGGTGTCATTTTTGTGAGATTGTTTGAAAATGGAGCCCCAAGCGATTAAAGCATATAGGACAGATTTTTCCTTTAGGGCCATTGGTAAAAATAGTTTTAAAAAGTAGTTAGATTCTTTTGGCACAATTGAGATAGTTGAAGCGACCGAGTTGCAGTAGTATTCGAAATAAGACATTTCTTGGTTATTCAAGGCGATTGGTAGGCTGACATTTGGAGAATCGTATAAGGGTAGATAATTTCGAAGTAGATGAATTAAATCGGATTGAACTTTATCATTGGGTTCTTGGGAGATGTTGTTGTTATCAATTACAAAGAAATTGTTGTCTAAATTATTGAAATTTGAGTCAAAATTTGATTCGAAATTTGTCTGGTGGTTTTTCATGTAATTTTCTATAGTTAAGATACTTTTGTTGTTATTATTATTATTATTAGTAGTATTAGTATTAGTATTAGTATTATTGTTATTGTTATTATTAGTATTATCAGCAGTATTAGTAGTATTATTATTGGTATTATTATTATTATTATTGTTATTATTATTATTGTTATTGTTATTAAAAAGCGTTTGAAAAGAGAATAAGTTGTTATTGTTATTGTTATTGTTATTGTTTTTGAAAAGATTTTGATTGAAATTGCTGTTATTATCGGAATTTGAATTTGAATTTGAATTTGAATTGTTATTGTTGTTATTATTATTATTGGAATTATTATTATTGGAATTATTGTTATTATTATTGTTATTATTATTGTTATTATTATTGTTATTATTATTGTTATTATTATTGTTATTATTATTGTTATTATTATTGTTATTATTGTCATTATTATTGTCATTATTTGGATGAGACTGTTGTAACAGAAATTCGTCATCTAGCGCCCATTGATTGGGAGTGTTTAAATCGTTTAAATCGTTTAAATCATTTTGTAAATTCTGAATAGATTGGTTTTGATTATGATTTTGGAGAAGATTTTGATTATGGATCTGGGATTGAGATTTATGGTTGAGTAAATCGTTAGAGACTGATGTAGATGTTATTAGAGGGGAATTGATGATGTTAATGGTGCTTAGATTGTTTAAATTTAAACTGTTCAAGTTTAGGTTGTTCATGTTGTTTAGGTTATTTGGGTTATGGTGAGGATGAATGTGATGAATATTATTAATGTTTGTGATTGGGTTTGTTGAGGACAAAGAAGGAGAGCTTAGCTGGGGAAAGGAGAAGGCAGAAGCAGGACTTGAAGAAGAGGAAGAGGATTCGTTATCAGAGATCAAAGAGGATATGTTTTGGTTATCGTTGGTGTGGTGAAGGGAGGAGGTGCTGACCAATTTGTTGAGCTGCTGTTGTTGGGAAGAAGAGGAACAAGAAGGTGGATTAGCAGAGGATGGGGACAAGGTTGAGGTCGAACTTATTAGATTGAATTTGTTTTTTGAATTGAGGTTGCTGTTGGACTGGATATTCAAATTGATGAATTTGATTTCCTTTTTTCTTCTTACATTTTTGTTTTCAGTGCCTGGGGCTTTCCAAACACATTCAACATTTTTCTTTGAGCAGTAGCCACATTTTGGTTTAACTTCATCGCATTTTTTTCTAGGGGGAGAGAAATGTTAGTATATATGTGCAGAGTAGATAAGGCATGGCAAGACAATGGTAGAGATGGAGATGAAAAGAGTTGGTTGAGGTGATGGGGAAGAGCTAAAACGAGGTAAAGCGAGGTAAATGAGATGGTTGAATTGAGTATAATAAATCAGTGTAACTTACTTCCGTTTTCTACAAGTTAAACAGCCATATCTTGATCTTGATTTTTTGATTTTTAAGATGGGAGACAGTTGTTCCTCGTTAGTTGACATTTCTCGAGGATTGAGAGGAATATGAGAGGAAATGCAGATAGTAAAAGCAAGTGAGGAAAGGAAAATAGAACCAAAAAAAAATTAAAACAAAAACAAAAATAAAAATAAAAGAAATAAAAGAGAGAAAAGAAAATGGCCAGGAAAAAAAGTTGGATGGAAAATAGAAGGAATTTAGTGGGTTCTTATTAATGAACGATAAATGATCGAATTTAAATAAGATGAGAAATTTAAATTTGGATTTGAATTTGGATTTGGATTTAAAAATAAGTATTGTAGAATTGGAAACAAATCATGCAAAACAATAAGCCCAGGTAGTTGCTGGTCTGGACGAAGCAAGTCCAAACATTCAGAGGGCAAATAGCACCAGAGAGTAAGTAATATCCAACACCAAATGGTGGAAGCAGTGAATGCTTTCAGAGGAAAACCACACTCATGAATTGCAACAAAAGGCATAAAAAAAGCAAATAATTAGGTTGAAGAGTAACTAGCCCAAGAGAAGTTTTCAGTAAAAATATAAACGTTAGGCAGTAAGAAAGCACTAATCTTAACCTCATGGTGATTGATTCAAAGGATATTCATTCTTTGCTCGTTATTCGTTAACAAAATGGTAACTGCTTTAGGAGCGAGAATTGGCTTTTTGGTTGGAGCAGTGCAAAGCAGCCTTCTTTGTGGGAGGCGACAGAGTTCGAGCAAAGCAAAACCTATTCACATTTCTTCACATTTCTGTGATTTCAATTTCACAATTTCACTAATTCACAGATTCGCAGATTCACAACTTTTGAATTGGCAATTTCTACAATCATAAAGTCGCAAACACTAAACACTAAACACTAAGCACTAAACACTAAGCACTAAACACTAAGCACTAAACACTAAGCACTAAAGCCAGAAGTGTGGGTTGTGGAGCAAAAGGTTTGCTGGAGGCCATTCTGCTCCCATTCTGCTCCCATTCTGCTCCCATTCTGCTCCCATTCTGCTCTATCATTCAACCACCCTGACCGGTTCCTCTTCTCTTCTTCTTTTCTTTCGCACCATCTCCACTTCTTCTTCACCAGCTCTTTCCACCCCTTCTCGTCTTCTCCACCAATCACACCTCCCCATTTTGGCGTTGTTTTCTATGCGTTTGTTCTTTGGGACCAGTGCGGCACGTGAGTAGCACACTACACGTGCTATGATGCTTGTTTCTGTGTGTGCACACTTCCATGCAGCAGCGCAGAGAGAAGCAGAAATACAACGCACCCCTGGGACTGGTACCAGGGGAAGCTGTACCTTTTTGAAACATGTTAAGAAGGTGATTTATATCAAGAGGTCTCGCTTTTTCACCATGTTTATATGGTGTTTGCTCACTTGGTAGTCTGACAACGTTATTGTGGGCAACTTTTGCTCCAAAATATCATTTGAAATTGCCTGCGAGTACATCCTCTTTTGGATCAAATAGCAAATGTCCACTGTCAATGCTATAAAACTTAAACAAAATTTCCCAACGTTTTTGCAAATTATGTCAATGAAATCAATTTCCATTTGGCTATGGTTGAGACTGTGATCATGTTCGTGCATGCCCTTTATATTGCTTAAGAAGTTGTTCACTGTTAGCTGGGATAAACAGCAAATTGCACCGGAAACGTCAAGACATATCATTATAAGGCTAAATCCCTTCATGTTTTTCTTCCTACTGTTTAACACAATTTGAGGGATGTGCTTGATTAGATTTAGAAACAATTTGATATAGGTCAAATATGTCGTTAATGATATTAGTAAAATGCTTTTGTTTATAAAGATCTGGTTCATTAGCACAATCACAAATATGCCTATTATAGATATGATTACTTTGGTGGATTTATGAGCCCTGAGCAAAATACTCTTTATGTTTTTCATATCATTCTTATGATAGTGTGTTCTATTTCTCTGGAATTTATAGTAAATAACTTGAACAAAAGTCAAATAATTTAACAATAACCCATGCGAGACATATACTAAATCAATATAGTTTAATAAAGGCTTTGAATTAATTCCATGGAAATTTGAATATTGAACCTTCACTGTCTCGTTGCAAGTTAATAAATACACTGAAAAAAAATAACAGTGATATCCGGTTAAATTTAGTAATATGGAATCCAACGAGAGTGATTCAGATGATTTGATTTTAAAATTTAATAGAATAGGTGGATAATAAGCAATGCTCTAGAATATTTTAAGGAAAAAAAAACAAAAAAAAAACGATATTAGTAATTATCACAACTATAAGAATTATAGTAATTAATAATAACTTACCCAGAATATAACATATAACCATCCTAAAAGATCAACCAAAACCTTTAATTTGGATTCGTATAATGATATATCACCAATATCCTCAAGCATTTTCTTGTATGGTTTTTTTGTATGGTTTTCTTGTATAGCTTTCTTGTAACAAATTGTACTGTACTGGTTGTTTGTTTTTGTCTTTGTCCTTTTCTTTTTCCGTTTAAAAAATTATTTCACAATAGTCAGTCAACTGTTAAAAATCTTGTCATTATTGTATTAGGCTAAATTATACTGTCCAATATAATATAATTATGAATTATGAATAATGAATAATGAATCATAAATTATAAACAATAAATCATAAATCATAAATAGTAAAAGAATGCTGAATGGTAAATGGTAAATAATAATTCACACTATGGACACTAGATTGATGACAAAGCCACAGGCAAAACACCCCCCAAAGCAACTGGATTAACGGACTACCAACGAACAGATGGTTTATTGATTCAATACAACCGTGATGCTTCAACAGATTAAGAGAAAGAATCACTCTATCTCGTCTGGATATATTTGCTGACTAAACTTGCGTTGCTCTGTTCTGTTTCTGTTGTTCTGTCCTTTAAACTCATCCAAATAAAGTTATTGATCTAATGCCCTTGAAGGCTGCCCACAGCCTGATCCAAAGCTTTCCACACAAAAGACCACTGTTCATGTGTTGATGTGTCGATGTTACTGGATTAACGAGTTACCAACAAGTCAATAGCGAATTAATAGCAAATTAATAGCAAATTAATAGCCATTTAACAGCTCGCTACCAACTCGTTAACAGCTCGTTGTTAACAAATTGATGATGTGTTCATGATGTGCTGATGTTAATGCTGGTTCCACTGCCGGTGGTTCCCACTGTCATCAAAAGCCCAAACCCTCCGCAACGGCATTTCTTATATCAGAAAAAACGTGTGCACGGGCTCGGCGCCCGCCGCCCCTGTCTGCCGCAGTCACATGCATATCCCCTCCTCCAACGGGCGCTTTCCTCACTGCCGTTTTTGGTGCCGTTTTCCACGTTCTGGAAATAACAGTATGCACCCAGTTGTGTTCAGACGCGCACACACGCACACCCCTCCTCCCCGGAGGCCCACTTGGGCAGGTTGGAGCTCAGAAGAATGGCACAAAGTCTGAGTCTTTAAAAAGGGTCTCATCCATCTCCAGCAGCTCTTCCTCCTCTTGCACCAGCGCTCCCTCGGCCCGCTCCTTCCGGTCCTGCTCCGTCTTCCAGACCCTCTTCAACTTCCGGAGCGACGACGTCGAGCTCCCGTTGTTCAAGTGCATGAGACACTCAAAGTAGAACTCAATGATCTTCTGATGCTTTTTTCTCACACAGTTGAGCCCAACCATGATGCTGGGCCAGTGCATTGTCGTCAATCTGTGGTCGTCTTCAATCTTCTTGAATATCCTTTCTTTGTGCTCTGCCGGTATTTCAAAATCCTCATCTTCATCTCCATCTCCATCTCCATCTCCATCTCCATCTCCATCTCCATCTCCATCTCCATCTCCATCTCCATTTCTATTTCTATTTCTATTTCTATTTCCATCTCCATCTCTCCTACTACCATCTGCTTTTGTTTTTTCATCCTTCCCATTGGCTATCAAATCCAATTCAAGAAAAAAATATAACTTCAATGAATCAACCACCATTTCTTGAACCAATTCATTGTATTTGGAAAAATTGTACAAGTATTTCAACCGAAAAACCTTTATCGACAATGCATTCACATGAACCTGGTGACATAAATCATACCATGAATAAAGAAATTTCTCAGCTTTCCCATTCTTCGTGTTTTTTCTTAACCCAAACCCATAACATGAATATGGTAATCGAATATTGAAATTATTTCCTTCAATATCAACCTTATCATGTTGTCGTTGATTCTTGTAAAACGGATGAAACTTATTTTTCTTGGATATTATACACGATCTTGATGCAATCTTAAAATTCCTAGAATCTGATATTAATCTAGACATGTGCAATATCCTTTTATTTCTCTTGTACAATGTAGAATACGAATACTTATCCTCTTCCTTTCCCATCATTTTCTTCCCATCAGCCACCTCTCTGAAATCTTCACCTTTCGAATCCTCTCGTTTTCCTTCTTCAATGACTTTTATAATCGCCTTCATCAACAGAATCGCCTCTTGCGATCGTCCCAAATACAAATTATACCCATTTAATGTAATCAACCCAATCTTCTTTAACGTTATAACCTCATCATCGTCTTGATAATTAGTCAGTTGTCCATCTTCATCACTCTCGCTTTCATTTTCGTCATCTGTATCCCTTTCCATTTCATTTTTCTCTTTATTTTTTCTTCGTTTCGATGCAAATAACAACAACTCAACATCTGCTATGGAATTCAATGACCCCCCATGATACTTATCTCTCTGGTAATTCTTCTTCCCATAATCATGGTCATCAGAATCATTAGTCAATGTCGCTAACGACTCAACACTCATAAAAATCATCTTTGCAAATGTTATCATTGGTGATAATGTCAACTTCCCCTCTTCATTACCAATCCCTGAACTACTTCTATCACTATTATTATTATCATTATCATTATTATTATTATTATTATTATTATTATTATTATTAATAGATCTATTCTCTATCGCAGCCTTTTTCTTACTATTAAAATACTTCAAGTAATTCATCAATAACACTTTGGCATCTTGAAGATGATTCCTCCATGACTTGAAATCATTACTATTGTTAGTTATGGTCGACTCAATAGTCAATAAAAGTGCTGTTATAATTAATGTGTCAATATTTTGAAGAATCTTAGGCTTCAATGGAAATGAATTGCTTTCTTTATTCTCGCCATGAATAGAATCAACAGAATGCTCCCCCGATGTAGTCGAATCATTTAAGTGTTCCTGATGAATCTTCAATGTTTTAAAATTATCATTCAAATTCTTCAAACAACTGATCAAATAATTCTTTCTATACGTTTCATCCTGAATATTCTTGCTCTTAAGAAATTCAAGCCTGGCCGTTATAGCTAACAACGATGACAAAAGATACGGACAGTTTTTACTCTGAATTAATAAAAGATCTCGAATTGGATTTTGCTCAATCAATGGATTATTATTCTTTTGATGTTCATCAAGAAACTTAAATCCAGACTTTAATTTATTAAATTGAGCCAATTTGTCTAATAAATAATACTCGGGAGGATAATAACTTGAAGTGCAAGCAAATGGTAACATCTTCAAACTAACTTCATCGAAAAATTTCCTCAAATAGCTTAAATGATGGTGATTAAGATTAATTGTATCAAAAATTGTTATTGGAACAGATTTTAACATTGATTTCAATATAATTGGCTTATATCGCAAATAGTCTTTATAATAATAATAATTTTCAATTAAACTTTTCGAAATTAAATTATTATTAATGTCTTTAAACTTGGTTCTTCTTTCAGAAAGAAACTTTAACAAAACATTGTCACTTTTGGTCAATGAAACATGATTAGCTAACATTTTAAGACGAGGTTTATTATCATCTTTTACTACAGTATTATTTTTTCTAAAACTTGAATTTCCAACTTCGCGATTATTACTGCCATTTTTATTGTTATTGTTATTATTGTTATTGTGATTATTATCATCATTGTTATTGTTATTATCAAGCAAATTATTAGAATTTCTAAAGTAATTTATACTAGTTTGATTGTTTTGAATAGTATCAGCTTTTTGAAAGAAAGCAGTGTTGTTATTCAAATTATTGATAAAGCCTTCATGATTATTAAAGATATTATTTGTACCAGAATTATTATTATTTTTGGAGATCAATGTAATGTTATGATTGCTATTGACACTTTCTTGAATGCCAGAATTATTCAAATGATTAAAATTATTTCCAACACTATTGCCAAAATTACTGTTATTGTGAATATTGGTATTTGAATTTACGTTGTTAATAGCGTTAATATTGGCGTTGCTATTTTCTGATGATCTCTGATTAGAATAGTTGTAATTAACTAAATTCATGTTGTTAAAAGAATTAATGTTCTGATCAGATTGTCTAAAAAGACTTTTGTCATTTTTTTTCATATACTCAAAGTTCAAATTATTATAATCAGGGAAGATTAAATTGTTATTATCATTTTGTAAATAAAGATCATTAGATGAAGGTAATGATAACAACTCATTTATAAAATCATCAATTTGAAAAACATCCTGATTATCAGAGTTCAAAAAGGGTAATAAGCCACTGTTATTGTTATTATGATTGTTGATGTTTTTTTCATTATTAATCAGATTATTTTGGAAATATGCTGAGTTATAAGAATTTGATGTTATCATGTAATTTATATTTGTTGTTAAAGCATCAGCATTTCCCAATAGATCCTCTTCTAATGAGTCTAAATTTTGCTCTATGCTACTTTCAAGAGAATTATTATTGTTGTTATTATATATATTTTGTAAAACAAAATTTGTGTTAGTACTATCATTTGTGGTACTATTTATAGTAGTGGTCGCAGTAGGATTAGGATTTCTAAGTTCGTTATTATTATTATGTTGAGAGACTAAATTTTTATCTTTTGAGTTGGATGTGTTGATATTTTTGGCATTGTTAATAAAATGATGAGAATTTGAAAAATTATTAGAATTGAAATTAAATGGGCTGTTAAAATTTATGTCGTGAACGTGTTGGTTATTTTGATTACTTTGATTGTTTTGTTGAGAATTTAGCATGAATCCCATTCTTTGAGAAGAAATCAAAGGGGAGCTTAAATTTGAATTTGAATTTGAATTTGAATTTGAATTTGAATTTGGATTTGGATTTGCAGTTGTGTTTGAATGTAAATGTGAATTTATGTTTTGATTTTGAATTTGGTTGTGATTTTGACTTTGATTCTGAGTCTCGTGTTGATTTTCTTGATTTGTAATATTTTTTAAATTTAAAATTGTTTTTATATTTGGAAGAACAGTGAGAGTTGGGCTTTCATTCGAAGGGTTTTGGGGGTTTTGAGGATTTTGAGGATTTTGATTAGCGGATTGAATGTCATTAGAGTCAATCTTGTTAGTAATGTTATTATTTTTATTATTAAGATTTTTAGCTGTGGATGATTGAGGTTTCAGTTTTATATTAACATTTCTAGGTTTAGAAAGAGGTTTTTTAGATGTTGAATTTTCAAATTTGATGATGTTGTTAAAATTAGGGACTTGAGTTGCAGGTAGAGAAGGAGTAAGAGCAGGAGTAGAAGTAGAAGTAGAAACAAAAGCAAAAGCAGAAACAGGAGCAGAAATATTGGTATTCGAGTTTTTATTAGAATTTTTATTAGAATTCAGGTTTATAGTGTTTGAAGTATTTTGAGTATTTGAAGTGGTTGAAGTAGAATTGTTATCATTGGGTAGATTATTAATAATAAAATGATTAACACTACTGAATTTGATAATGTTTTCATAAACACACTTTTTATTTAAATGATGGCATTGCCAACATTCGGGTTTACCTTCATCGCATTTAATTTTTCTTCTTCTGCATTCTTTACAACCAACTCTGCTATATTTTCTTTTCTTTCTCTTTTTCAAGGGCTGCTGGTTATTTTCAGAATTATTATTGTTGTTATTTTCTTTGTTGGTTTTTTTATTGTCGCCAGTATTATTTTCGTTATTATTGGCTTTGCTTTTACTGTTTCCTGACTGAATAACAGTATTAGGACTCATTTAATAATAGTTTTCTGTAATATTTTTCAGGTTTAGTATATTTTTGTATTTTGTATTTTGTATTTTGTATTTTGTATATTTATATTAAGATAGAGGCTAAAATAAGTCTAACGATGAATGGCCCAAACTGAATGAAAAAATGGGTGGAAAAGCAGAATGATGAAACGATGAATTGTTAATTGGCGAACGATTCCAAACAGAAAGAGAAAAAAAGGACAAGAGAAAACAGAGATTTTTTGATTCGGATGAAATGATTGCTTTTTTCGTGCTATAAAATAAAAAAAATAGACATAGTTAATCGGTATAATAGAGAGTGAATCGATGCAGAAGGCAGGGCAAATTGAGTTGCACGTCGAGCATTGTTCTCTCTGTTGATTATATCTGCTTGAACTAATCGAGTAAGTGAGATAAAGAAATAGAAGCTGATAAAAAAGAAGATGGAAGGATTTCTGAGCTGGGATTTGGTGCAAACGAGGATTCTTTGCCCCTTTGGGAAAACACAGACTTTGCGCGCCCAAACAGGCAATGTGGAAATTTTGCACGTGTGCATGTGCATGCACTGTGGACGTGTACGCCAGCTGTGTGGGCTCAATGTGTAATACGCATATATCAAATGCGCACTGCATGTGTTAGACGCACATAGCGTTAGTATGCATGCACCACACCCCTGGCTTTCTCCCGCTCCGGATTCTACCTCCAGAAACAAAAGCGACCAACGAGAGAGCTTGCCAACGAGAGAAAGAACAGGGGCAGCTCTGAGATTTGGCCAGGTCTGTTGTGTCTGGTTGCTGCTCATTTGTGCTGATCGTCGACTGGCTATTGATTCGTTTGCTCGATACAGAATATGCTCTGCTTGTGAGCATTGCTGCCCGGTTTCTCTGTTCTCATTGCCTTCTGCTCTTTGGTGTTTGCTGTCTGCTTTCCAGTGTCCAGGAGCTGCGACTGCTGGAGCCTGTTCTGCTCTGCCACCATTTTGTCCTGTTCTGGGCTGTTTTGTCGTGCCTTTCCTTTCTCCTTTCTCTGTTGCACCGTGATCCGATTTGTGTCAAAATCATTACGACCCGAAGACAATACATACGATATAATACGATACGATACTGTATTTCTTCACTTCTTCAGTATATACTCTCATTGCTGAATTATCTCAACATACTCCCGATATACTCCCAATATATTCCCAATACATTTCCAATATATTTCCAGTGTATTTTCAAACCACTCTGTGCACATTAATGCCCCCCTTATACTATCTCTAATAAGCTTCTTCCTATCAAAATGTGGTTGTGTGTGTTTTTATCTTTGCTAACCTCTTTATTCTTATCGCTTTTATCTGTCAACCACTACATCAAAATATTCAAACACAGTTGGTTCTTATCGACTTCCTTAATAATCTCTTTGATTATCCCCTTTTCAATGATCTTTCTATTACCAATAGATCTCATATCTGCTTCTTTAGATCCAAATGTCATTGATAATAACTTCTTTTACATGAAAAATTCAAAAACTTTTATTTTAAATCTCTGGAGATTCATTTACTGGTTTGGTTTCCTATTAACCTGGCTAATCCTACCCTTTTTACAATACTACTATTATTCAAATAACTTTAAAAAAAACTCAAAGATAAAGGATTCAATCCTAGCTAATTTGCAATTCCAGTTATTATATTTAACAGTTGGTATAATCGGCCTAATTTATATCTATTTTAACATCGGCCTATCCATCAACTCAATAAAATCATTAATGATAATCCTATCTCACTGCTATTCTCTTCTAGTAGCCATCTGGTTAATGGGTTATGGTCTATTCTTACTACCAAAAAAAATCTACCAAAATTCCTTACTAATTAAAAATGACTGCGACTCAAATTTAATCAATAATCACTACTTGAAACTTTTAAAAATTAATGAAAATTATCAAGATATCAAAATAACCTTCAAGGAAATCATCCAATTGATCTTAAATTTAAATAACATTGCCGATTTACCAGAAAATATAGACTACAGAGACTGGTTAATTCACCTCAATTATAAAATCCCTAAAAGTTACATTACTCAATCAAATATCAACAAATCAATTCCCAATAACATCACAAATAACATCACGAATAACATCACTAATGATATCAGTATCATTCCTTCTTCTTACTCTTCTATCCCAACTGTTTACACAATAGCCAATAGCGACGATTCCGATAACGATGATAACGATGATGAAAGTGCCATCCTAACTATAACCAATAACCAACTAAACAAAAAATTTCTACTAAGAGTCTCAAGAAAATTTAAAACTTCCTACAACAACATAACAATTATAGAATATCATTATTATAACTTGTTGAAAAAAATCATTAAAATTCAAGACATGATAAAGGCAAAACAAAAAAATTCTCTAATTTTAAGATATAATAAAAATTTAAATTTCTTCCAAAAATTCCTATCGAAAAAACCAATTCTATTTTTTTACTTGAATTGTTATCTTTACCCCTTTATATTAAAACTAATTGCCTTTTTTTTTGCTGTTTTATCCTTTTTAATCATTTTCTCAGAATTTTTCCACAACACAAGATTATCAATCATAAATTATATTATATTTAAAACAACCTCTTTAAACTTTTTTAATAACTTTTTCATTGTCTTAATCTTAAGTTACATGTGTTTCACATCTTTAATCTCTCTAACAAATATCAAAATTTTCAACTATTATCAATTAATTCATCATAATTCAACTCCTGAAAATTCTTTATTCTATTCAAGTTGGGCAATTAGATTAACCATTCCTCTATCCTATAATTTCCTAACTCTATTAAATGAACAAATCTTAAACAGTGTTGATCCAATTGATAATCAAGATAATAATAATTCAAAAAAGATTTCAATTTTTTCTTCTTTCATATTAAATAACGATAAAACTCAATTTGCAAAATTCTTAGGTAACGCAATTAATTCCATCAAAATAGGTAAACAAATCAATAACTTTCTACCTTATTTAATCTTATTACCAATCTTAATTCGCTTTTTCTTAAATTCTTTCAAAAATCACAAAATTTATAAACTATTTACAACTGCTTATAACAGTTACTTTGATATTGATGATTTCTTATTCAATGGTGATGATGATCTTGACCTGGATATAGAAGATGGCTTGGATATTAATAACTCAGGCTCAAGAAGAACAAGAAGAACATTTAGTTTATCAACAAACTACGAAACAGATACAGAAAGAAGAAGAAATGAAATCATCATAAAAGAAGTTAATAAAATCATTGAAAAGGAATTAATTAACCCTAAATCCTTATTGAATACTTATGAAGAATTAAACCGTAAAGGTAACATTTTTTCTCTATTTGATAAAATTCCATTGTTTCATAAATTATACTTGCTATTAAATGAAAACTCTGTCGAGTTACCACTCACTGAATCTGATCTGCACACAAGATTATTAAATTCTCATAGTAGTAGTAGTGAAAGTGAACTTGAGATCCCCCAAACTATAAACAATCCTGATTCTTTAAATGCTTCAAGAGGAATACCACTGGAAATCTTAAAGAATAAAAACAATCCCAATGGTTTTAATGAATTTAATGATACACAACCATCAATGTTTACAAACGTCAAATCGAAATTTTCTGATAGCTTCAAAAAGATAATTAAAAATAACCAATCAGATTTAAATAATAAAACAAATGCAAGAACTAATGATTATGAAGAAGAAAACAATTCAGCTTTTATGATTAATCCAGATTTACATAATTTGAGAAGTAATAGCAGTTATTACAGTAATAATAGTTACAGAACTACTATAAATGAGCATAGTTTATATGCTGACGATGAGAACTCTTCAGATGATGAAGCTGAAGAAGCAGATTTAATTAACAACCTTGAAAGATTTGATAATGCATCTGTTGATCTGCATGGGATTTCATATTTTTAAGAATGGAAATTACTTTCAATTTTTTGTTTTGTTTTGTTTTGTTTTGTTTTGCTTTCTTGTTTTTTTGGTTGTTTTGACTGTTTTTTTATTTCTTCAAAAGCAGTCTTTTAAAGAATGTTTTATATAGTATATGACAATGCTTTTTATTTTTTCTTTAATTGATTTTTACAATTTCTTTTATATCATTCCTTTTGAATTTTTTAATGGTTTTAAAATTTTATTTCATAAGCATTTTCCAGAATAAAAATTTTCTGATTTATAAATTAATGTTTTTTTTATTTTTTTTTTTTCACTTCATTGATAGATAATATAATATAATATAATATAATATAATATAATATAATATAATATTTACTGTAAGAACTTTTTTTTCAAAGGCTAATGTAGAGTCAATAGTGACATCTCTACCAATTATGATTGCATCAAAGAAACTTGAAAAGATTTTAAAAGGAATATTGCTAAATATGAAGCAATCGTTTCTACAAATGAAAAAAGTTTCCATAAAGTTGCAATAAAAGCAAAATAATTTTATCATTAATTATCATAAGTTAAAAAAATATCAATTAATAGTTATTAAAGTTATTGAAGAGGTTCAGAGGAACTCCCTAGTTTATTTAAATGTAAATATGCATCAGTACCGTAACCTTCCATACTGATTAGTTTTAAATCACCGCCAAAATATCTAGCGTATAGTCTGGAAAGGCTCAAACCATAACCCAAACCTGCCATTGGAGCTATGAACTGAGAAGAGGAGTCACTTGGTGGTATTACATTATCCTCGCTGATGTTTGGAGCATTTTTGACAGTTGTGTAAAGGTAAGTCCAAATCAAAGGCATTGCACTTCTTGGGATACCACCACCTTCATCGGATATTTTTATTGTTATATCTTCATTTCCCTCAGCTACTATGACTTTAATTGGAGGAAAAGTCATATCATATAAATCCTTTCCTTTATTATAAGGTTGTTTTGAATGAAACTCTACTGTTGCTCTTAGAGAGTTTTTCAAGATTTCATATAACATGTGGATCAAATGACTAGGAACATACATGAAATTTATATCATTTGCACAGTATAGTTCTACTTTTGGAGCTTCGTAGAGTGAGTAGTATTGTTCGCAAATAAATCTTGCATTATCAATTGCATCTTGGGCAATTTCTTGAACATTGGTGTTTAAACAGATTATGCCAACATAATCGTCTCTTGCAGGTTCTTCATTGAGAGCGATTTGCTGACCAATTAGCATGCGTATCCCAATTCTCGACATGTAAAACCGATCCAAAAAGGACTGTATTGAAGAATCTAAAATCAAAATATTTTTGAAATCCTTCCATTCTTTGACACCCTGGGCTATTGCGACAACAGTTGGATCATGTCTCCTTTTGATCTTGAATAAAGTATCCTTCAAGATTTTGTTATATTTAAAGACTTCTGAGGGCCATACTATATCATTTGGCATCGAGACATAATATTTTTTATTGGATTGAGACACATTTATAATATTGGAATTTGTTGGTTGAGAAATTTTTTGGATATTATGAGTATCGGGATGAGAATGATTTAAGGGGTCATGGAAATGGTGGGATTGTTTGAATATTACGCCATCATCACTGAATTCATGGTTATTGGCATTTGAGAAGGAAGTTTTATTGCTAACGTTATTGAAATTATTTATACCATAAATCATTTTTTTGAAATCATCATCTAGCTTTGGCTTTGGAAGAGAAGTTAATTCGTTGAAGGACTGAGAATACCAGTTTTTCACCTTCAAGATGGAGGGCATCTCGTTTAGCCCATCAGGTAATTCGTCTAATTCTTTAACTCTGTGAGCCAATCTTATAGGTAGTTCTTCAGCTACAAACTGAGAAGCTCTGAACAATGAGCCCTGAGAGGGATTATGGCCAAACTGGACCATCTGCCTGAGAGAGATACCAGATGGTTGAAACCTGGCATAGTGATGGATATCTTCAAGAACCTTTTTGTTTAATTTCCAGCCTGCAGACATTATATATATTGAAACTGAGGTATAGGGCAAAGCATCAAGTTATGTTAGAAAAAGAAGCTTGAATCCATTTCATCAATGTCTTGCTCTCAGAAATGGTCAAATGATAAAAATCAAAAGATAAAACGATAAAAATTGTGCTGAGATCAGAAAAAACCAACCGGAATCTGCCCGCGGGAGAGCGGAGCCGTACCCGCGGCTGTGTGCAGAGTACCGCTGAATGTTGCTGTAAATACGTACATGTGCAGTGCGGGGTGCGTTTCAATGCGTGGATACGCGCCAATTGCGCGCACTGTATTCTCTGTTCTGTTCGCTTTCAGCCGTTTGCTCCCGGCTGTTTGTGTATGCTTGATTGGAGTTCGCTAAAACCCAAGACGTCCGCAATCGAGTACGGTTACTCGAATATCTGCAACACAGAGTCGAACTTCGTGCCCATTTCGTCCCACTCAGCCTCCGGTTCGCTCAACACCGTAATGGCACCTCCAGCACCAGCACGCCATACAGTTTTGTCGGCATGGCAGTCCTCTTTGTACGAAAACAACGACCGAATCACTACGCTCCAATCAGCTTTTTTGTGCACAGACCAGTAACCACAAACCCCAGAGTAGATTCCTCGTTTCTGATGTTCCTCGATTTTCTCCAACAATTCTACTGATCGCTTCTTTGGTGCTCCTGTCATCGATCCAGGGGGTAAACTGTTGGCCAACACCTCAAGCCCATCGATCTCCACATCTTTGTCGTCTTTGGCACTGTATCCCGTAGCTAAATCTCCCTCAATGACAGACACTAGCTGATACACCGTCTTATATTCTTCGATGTTCATCAACTTTGACACATTGATTTTTTTTAGCATTGAATATAAATCATGTCTAATTAAATCAACAATCATCAAATTTTCTCCCTTTTCCTTTGGAGAATTTAAAATCTCAAAGATTTCTTTCTTACTAAACTTTCCATTCTTTCTTAGTGTTCCCTTTATAGGTCTCAACTCACATTTTTTATTAATTCTATCGAAATTATCCCATTTTAAAAATCTTTCAGGTGAAGATGATATCAATGTGGAATTTTTACCAAAATCAAAATAAACCGAATATGGACTGGGATTTTTGATTGTTAATTTTTTAAATATTTCCCAGCTATCAACTGAAGATTTATACTTTGATTCATTCATAATCTCAATTTTAATCTGATTGGTTAGACATAATTCGTATGAATCTCCGTTCTTTAAATATTCTTGACATTTATCAAATTGTTCAAAATACTTATTTTTATCGGGTTTTATAATTTTTAAAACTTTTTTCTTAATATCAATACCATTATCAATTAATTTATCATCAATAATATCACTATTTCTACTACTATTATTATTATTATTACTATTATTATTATTATTGTTATTATTATTCTTGTTATTACTTGAATGTTCTTCTAATAATTTAGTAAATTTATCTATCCATTCTGAGTCATTATCCCTTAATGATATAATATAAAGTTTTTGTTTTTTGTGATCAATCAATAAACTTCTTTCAATATATATCAATTTACTGTCTGGTGAATCAAAATTATTACAATTTACTCCATCAATATCACTATTATTTGAAAACTGAGATTGTTCATATGAAAAAAAACCAACTAATCCTCCAATAAACGGTAGGCTATTTAATAATTTGTAATCATTCTCATTAAAATCAAATTGTTTATAAGCATTTAGCATGAACTTAGATATATAGTCCCAAACATTAGTATCATCTAGCTTATGATTATATGTATTATTTTTTTCTTTATTATTGTTGTTAAATGATTCAATTACTAATTTGTTTCCATTATTTTTTAGTATATAATTTGAAATAACTATACTTTCAGGCAGCGGTATTGCAATTATTGAATATTCACCTGGTATAGAGGATGAATTTAAACAAAAAAAATGATTAATACCGAATGGTTTATGAGATTTCAAAAAATCACATATATTAATAGTTAAATTTGAAAAATTTATATTATAATTCGAATTATTTGAAAAAAAACTCTGTTTCAAGTTTATTTCTTTTACATGAACAGATTTTTTTAATTTTTTGCTAATTGGAATTGGAATTGCTTTTGATTTTGATTTTTTGAAAGATATGTTGTTATTGACTGCGTTTAATAAAGTTGGTTGAACTAGATAATCATTTAGTAAATTATTAATTTTTGAGGATAAGAAATTATTTTGATCAGGGTTGTTTTCATAAAAATAAGCTTTACCATTTTCTATATTAAATTTTTTTGATATATTATAAAAGTTTTGAATTAATAGTGAGCCGTTTTGTGAACAAATTGATTCTGGATGGTATTGAACACCGTAAAATGGTTTTGAAATATGTTTTCCAGCCATTAAGATTTTATTGTCAGAAATATTATTATTTTCAAAAGTATAAGCTAAAGGAATAATTTGGTTATTATCTTTAGGAATTATTATGTGTAGAGAATGATATCTGACACTTGAAAAATGTTTATTTTGATTAAACCCATGAAATAAATCATCATTTTTTACAAGTTCATTTAAATAAATTGAATAAATCTGACCATGTTTAATTAAATCGAGATTTTGAATTTTGCAATCATAAAATAAAGATAATGATTGAAAACCTAAGCAAATTCCAAAGATCGGGATATTCAAATCAAATAAATAGGGAATTATGCCAACGTCATTTGGATTCATGGGGTTTCCTGGGCCAGGACCAATAATTATTGATTCAAAATATTGAATTAAGTTTAATTGAAGAAATTTTTCGAAAGATATTGAGTCATTATGAATAGTGAAGACTTTTGTGTTAGTTGATTGTTCAATGAGACTTTTGATGTTAAAAGTGAAAGAATCATAAGAATCAACCAATAGTATTGGCATTGTCTGAGAGTATAAGTGAATATCTGTTGGAGTCTTTTCCTTGCCTGATTTTCTGCTTTTTCTTCTTTTTCTTCTTTTTCTTTCTCTTCTGGAAAATATGAAACTTTGCTTTGGGCCGAAAATGGAAAAAAACAACAGCACCGGGTAAATTTTCAAGCTGGTAAAAATTAAGCGCCGAGATTCATCAACAGCACAAGCAGCGGAAGAAGCACAGAATAGAGAAGTGAACAGGTAAAAACAGCATCAGTAATGGAAGTGGTTTGCAATGACAGAGTAGGAAAAAAAGTGGTCGTCAAGTGCTTGCCAGAGGACACTGTGGGAGACTTCAAAAAGCTATTGGCAGCACAAATAGGAACATTGCCTGAGAAGATAGTGTTGAAGAAGGGATACCAAACATTCAAGGACTTTATCACTTTGGAGGACTATGAGATCCACGATGGAACCAACTTGGAGTTGTATTACTCATGAGGTTGACGGTCAGTACTTGATAAAGGAGTAGACGAGCCTGCTTGAGAAAAGGCAGACAATAAATATGGTTGCGACTAGTCGAAGCTCACTTAATAAATCAATTGGAATTGGGAGATTATAGTGGCGTGTTTCATCTTTCTTGTAGGAAAACGTAGGAACTAAATGCAAATTGATGGGAACATCCAAGTCGTGGGCCATAAGAGTGTGGTTGTTGGAGTAGAACCTGGAGTGGTATCTGAGCTGGACCAACCTGGAGCAGTTGGTGGATAAGCACAAATTGATGTATCTCACGTCGAGAGAAAGAGGATACAACGCAGGCCAGCACACTCTGATGTTGTATAAGTCGTCTGGAGAGCTGTTGGAGAGGCCCTCGTCCTGAATGGCAAAGTACTCGTAGTTGTAGAGCTGTTGGGCCTTTGTAGCAGGAGTGTATTCGCTGTTGGTGTGAGCACTGGCTGTGATGGTGAAGGCCTTAACCTCTTTCAGATTGATGCTGTTGCAATTGGCAATACAGGTGCTGTTGCTTCTATACTGGGGGACTTCTTTGGGGTTGGTGACGATGAACTGTTCACTGCTGAGACTGACAACAATGGACTCAGTGTTTGCCCTGGCCTGGCCCAAGCTGAAAAGCACAACCACGAAGGCAAGAAGAGCATAGCTGTGGTTCAGACGAGATCGCATTGCTGGATATCCTGTTGGTGAGCTGGCGATGTTGCTGGTGGGTTCTGCTGTGGTGAAGGGTTCTGGGAGTTCTGAAGAGGTTTGGTGAACTGCACTGGAGCTAAACTCCAACGCTAAAACAAATTACAGTTTTCAGAATTCCACTTGGTTTTGTTTGCTTGAGCAGCTTTGAACTGGCACAATCAGATCATCGCAATAGAATAAAAACAATTACTTTCCTGTGTATATCTCAAATTATCTCAAATTATCTCAGATCCTTCCAGATCTTCTCAATAAAACAACAACAATGGACCAGAACTTCTACCTGTCTTCCTCTCCAATTTCGCACTCTGCGTCCAACGATAATTTGACCCCAATCACCTCTAACGACTCTTCTTATTACGAATATGCTATAATATCTGATTCTGATGCTCCCTCATTTTCTTCTGAAAGAAAATTCACTTCTCACCACAAGAATACCCAGAACACACTGAATAACTTGAGTGTAAACAATATTAACCCCAGTACCTCATTTAATAATGACTACTACACCTCTCCTGCTTCTGTGCATTATAGATCAAAATCAATAGATTCAACCAAATCCATTAATCATATCAGAAATTCTCTTTCTTCCTCAAGAGCTCCCTCGTTTAATATATCTAACAGCAATAACAATAACTACAACACTAGCTTCAGCAAAAAACATTACAACAATAACAACTACATTGATGATTTCTTATACCATGAAAATGATTCATTTTCCGATTCGTTATCAACGAATTCAAATATCTCCAATCTCTCCAATTCCTCGATTTTAAAAAGGAAAAAAAAGAGGAAAATTCCCATAAGATCTAAAATTAAAAACATTAACAATATCAATAACAATAATGTTGATAATCAAATTACTGATAATGATCCAAGTAAAAACTTAAACAAAGCAAATTCGAAAAAATTTAAAATTTTTAGAAACTTATTGATATTAGAACAAAGTTTTATAACCCAATACAATACTCAAAAGTCACTAAAAAGAAAATACACAAGTTTTTATTTTACAATGATCATATCTTCTCTACTAATCTTTTATAAATTATTTCTATCAATATCTCCTTTATCCTCAAATTTTTCAAAAATTTTACTAAAATTTTTAATGTTTTTTCAGCTTGTAACAATTTTTTTATTTCATATTAGTGGTGAGTATAACAGAACCATAATAATACCCAAAAAATTCCTATTTCATTCAAACAAATCCCTAAGAGCTGTCAATTTAAGAATAATCAAAATTCCTTTTAAATTTACTGACAATTTAATCTCTTTTCTAACAAATTTCCTAATAAAATTCACCTCAATCTTCCTTATATTCTTGATCAAAAACTTGTTTTTCTTTAATCGTCTCAAAAAAATTCTAATCCTAAACTTCAACCTATTTTATCTCAAAAATATCCTAATCTTTTTAAATAAAATCAAATTAAATTGCCAATTAAGATCAACCTATATCGATATTGAAATTAAATTAATCTTAAACCCAAGAAATTTTAATACTGATTTAAGAGAAGAATACGATTTCTTTAGAGATGAATACATTTCAAGACAAATTAAAAAAGAGAAAAAAAAAATTGGCCAGCTAACAATAGATGATATCTCTCTTTTATAATTTTATTCTTATTATTCTCATTCACATTTTTATTTTTATTTTTATTTTCATTTTTATTTTCATTTTCATTTTTGTTTTCATTTTCATTTTTATTCTTATTCTTATTCTCATTTTTATTATTATTTTCATTATTCTTATATTATTTAATACACGTTCTATTTTCTTATTTACAAACTATTAACAGATATTATTGTCACACTAATATTACACAATCCTTCTACTGCCCATAAAATTCTTGAATTTCATTCAATGGCCATTTATGAATTGGCACCATTGTCAAATTGGTTTGTTTAAAACAACTATTCTCATATAATTCAATACCTGCCCATCCTATCATAACAGCATTATCAGTACAAAGAGCCGGATCAGCAAAATGAAATTTACTAATTGTAATCGACTTGGGTTCTTCCTTTATTTTTCTTTTATTAAATAATTTAATATCGGTTTTCAATGGCTTGACTGTAGATAATCTTTCTTTAACCAAATTTCTTAAAAATAAATTGGCGCTAACACCTCCAGAAACAACAAAATCATTACAATCTTTGATCTTATCTTTATTAACTTGTAAAACAACTTCAATTCTATCTAAAAGATAATTGAAAATACTTGATTGTACTTCGTATGCTATTTTCCTTCGAGTATCGTCATCTAATGTCTGTTTAATCATACCCAAATCCTCAATATTGTATAAATCATGTAGTTGTTTTCTCAAAGTAGCTTCAAATGAACCAAAGGCTAATGCAGCTAAGTTAACTCGATCATTACTATTTGAAAAAGGGTGAGGAAATGTCATTATCTTGGTATCCATTAATTTTGGTTCTATAGGTTTTTCATTGATATATTTTTCTAATTCCTTAGCAAACATTATGCCTGTGATCCCAAGAACTCTGGCACATTTATCTAAGGAATCACCAACAGATATATCTTGACTAGTAGCTAATATTTCATGATTTAAAATGTCCTTTGATAGCACTAAAAGTGTATGGCCACCACTGACTAAAAGACTTACAAATGGGTAGGTTGGAAGCTGAGCATTAGTCGACAATCTAGGTATTAGTAAATGCCCCAACATATGATGAACACCAATTAAGGGTTTGTTCCAGGCTATAGATAAACCCTTTGCAACTTCAAGACCAATTGATAAAGAGCCAGGCAAGCCAGGACCTCTAGTTACACATATTAAATCGGGAGGATTTGATGGTAAGTCATATTTTAATGACATCTTTGATATGACACCAGCTAAATTCATATGGTGATAAATGTGAGCCTTTGTTGGAACAATACCCCCATCAGGTATTGAATTTAAAGAAGATCGAATTTGGTCTACTATTAAAGGTGGTTTTGAAGGATCAAAACGATCTAGTAGAGCAACACAAGCATCATCGCAAGAGGATTCGATAGCCAATACTTTGTAGAATCTTATGAAAAAAAATTTAACAAATTTATTATTTATTAGTTTTGTATTAAATCTGGGTGAATTATTTCTTATCATTATCAAAAAAAGCAAAAAAAAAGTGAAAAAAAATGGAGTAATAAAAAAATGTTAGTGATATGGGGAAAACCTTTGAGACAAACAAAAAAAAAGAAATCAAAGTTTTAAAGTGAAAATCGGATGAAAAAAGAAAAAAGAAAAAAGAAAAAAAGGTTAATATGAATCATCAAAATAATAAAGAAAAGATATATAACTGTATATTGATTATAAATTATTTAGTTTCCACAATATTTATAATTATGATATTTATGATATTCATGATAATTCTTATAATTCACTTAATCTATCGTCTATTTCTTTTGGAGATAATTTTTTGAATCTTGGACCGGATACATCAGAACTACCTCTAAATCCCAAAAGATTATCGTTTGCTTCACCAACTATTGCAATTTCGATTGTATTACCATTTAAGTCACCTTCAATTGATTCTTTGAGAGTCAACAAAGCAATATGTATGGCATCTTCTAATTCTAATTCTGGGTTGTATCTTTTCTCTAAAAATGTTTTTGCACTATTGGCATTTTTACCAATAGCAGTAGCCTTCCAAGCAAAAAAAGAGCCCGAAGGATCGACTTGATATAAATTGTAACCGGATTTAGTGTTACTGGCACTACTATCGTTGTCTGGATTTATAGTATTACTGGAATCATCATAACCAGCGACCAAAAGGGAGACACCAAAAGGTCTTACACCACCACTTTGAGTAGCTTCTTGCATGGTTTTAGCGATATCAGACGTCAAAATTTTAACAGGAGGATACTCGTTAAAGATTCTTTTGTAGTTTGTGTGAGCCAATTTTCTTGATTTGTCAACAAGGACTCTGAAATCTGGAGACATACCAGCATAGGTAACACCAATATCTGGCGTTAACAATTCAATTTTGGAAAACGAATCTAATTTGATTAATGAGGAATTAGATTTCTTTTCGGTGGCTAATACAACACCGTTGGTTGCTTTGATTCCCAAAGCAATGACACCTTGGTTCACAGCGTTTAAAGCATATTCAATTTGAACTAATTTACCACTACATTATAACAACAATTGAAGTCAATTGAAAACCAGAGAAGATAATTAGTATGCTGAGTAAAAGAAGCAAAGCAAAGCAAAGCAAATCAATGGAAAACAACATACCTTGGAGAGAAAGTGGTCAATGAAAAAGAGTAACGATCAGCCATTGCAAAAGAAGACTATGTGAAAGTGGTGAGTGTGAAGGTGTATTTTGTCTCAGAGCAGTTGTCAGCAATTGCAATTCTTGGTGATGGTGATGGTGATGATGATTCTGAAGGAAGTAGGTGGTGGAGCGAAAATCGCCACTACAAACGCATCACGTGTGCCGCTGCTTCTTGAGGGAAGGTGTTAAAAAACTGGAAGAAGAGGTAGATTAAAAAGTATATATGCTGGGGACTAGAGGTATTTTTTCGTGAGTAACTTGATCTTGCTGTCGAACATTGTGCTTTTGATTGGGTCATTGACACTGTAGAAGGGATTCAACAATGTCTTGAGATACAAGTCATTGACCTCGATGAAAAACTGCTTGATGTTTTCTTCGTTTTTGTTTTCATGCAACAACATGAACTTGATGTTGGTGGGAGTGACATATGCACTGACATAGTACCCGTAGTAGTTGTCGATTATCTTCAAATACAAAGAGTTGGTGGCCCACTGGAGATCCTCCACGATATCCAACGATGAGTGGATAATAAAAGGATTCAATTCTTTCATCTCTGCTGAAAACTTGGGAGTGCCATCTCCTCCCTGTTTGAAAGTACCAAGCTCGGCCTCATATATCGGGTTGTCTCTGGTGCCTATCATTGCAAAGTAGTACGACATTCTGAGTAGCTAAAAGAGAACAACTAAAGCGTAACAGTAGAGCAGGAGACTGGTATTGATTGATAACAGCCACTGATAACACATGGAGATAACAGATAAGTTGATCAGATAAGTACAATAAAGCCCACTATGGGTGTTAGGGTTTACACACAAGTCATGTGACTTCCGGGGTCTTTTCAGGAACGGCACTCTTTTAGTGTATGAGCAAGAAAGCGATGATATCGATATAACTTTCTGTGATATAGTTTAATATTTAATAATCGCATCTACTCAAGTGAAAATGACTGGTCTTCCATTATGGGCGCGTTGGGCCAGAGTGTATGCCACAGGTGGTGCTATCGTTGGTGTTGGTGTACTATTATACAAGTATGCCTCTCCTACTGATGAGCAAGTCATTGCAGGCTTTTCTCCTGAAGTTCGTGCAAATTACGAAAAGAATAAAGAATTAAGAAGAAGAGAGCAAGAAGAGCTCATGAAGATAGTTCAAAAGACTGCTGCTTCAAATGATCCAATTTGGATGACTGGGCCTTTGAGTTCTCCCTTTGAACCTGGAAAGAAAAATAAAGATTGGTTCGAAGAAATCGAAAAAAAACTAGCGCAGGATAGACAAAAACAAGAATTAGAAAAAGCTAAAAAAGAAGCTGAAGAGTTTAATAACGACTCTATAGCAGTTCAAGAAAATACTAAATCTAAAGGTTGGTTCCGTTGATTTGTGTTTCTTCTTCATTTTTCTTCATTTTTTCCATTTTTCTGTTTTTTAGATTCTGTAAATAATATCCTGAATACAATAATTGATGATTAGGCGTTTAATTCAAACAGTTGAAAGATAAATTTATTCACTTATCTTTTGTTGTTGTATTAAAAAAACAAAATCGGAGGAAATATAGAGAAAATATAGGGAAAAAATGTGAAAGCTAAAAACGTTTCAATGCAAAAAAGGATAAATAAATGAAAAAACAAAGATTACTTATTAAAAGGTTTAATCAAAGAACAAAATCGGAAATAATTCAAGAAAATTTAAAAATTAAAATGACAGTGACGTGAAAATTTAAATAAAAAAAGAGAGTAAATCAAAAATTTTAAAAAAAAACAAACGAAAAACAAAAAATAATAAATTAAACCAAAAAAACCATACAAGATAATTTGCAATAATCAATAGATAATCGTAAAACTCAAATGAAAAAATTAACGAAAGAAAAATTTTAATTGAGTTAAATAAAACAAATAAGAACAAATCTCAAAAACTTATTAATCTGATCCTCCGGTATTATTTGCTGTAAAAACAGTTTTCAAATTTAATTCATCCTTTTCCTTTCGAAGTCTTTCGGCTTCTTCAATACCTCCAGATTTTTTCAATTTTTTGCCGCCAACAAATCCGTTTAATTCTTCTTGGAACTGAGAAACATAATTTATTTTTTTGTTTTTCTCTCGAAGTCTTTCTGCTTTTTTAATTGCAGCTAATCTATTTTCATGGTTGGGTACCAATGATGCCACTTCTCCAAGAACTGCATCTCTAACATCACTAATCGATTCTCCAGGTTCTAGAATATTTTTCAACATGGGTTTTAATTGACGAGTCCTATTTCTTTTCTCTTGTTGTTTGGTACATTGTTCAACTAATGAAAATGTTTCAAAACACTTATCTAAATCTTCAGTTAAATCTTGCACCAAAATTTCCTGTAAATTAAAAAACTGTTGTTCATCGCAAACAGTATCCAATTCTTTTTCCCATATTTTTTTCCACGTAGTTTTTTCCGCAACAATGTATCCATTCATTTTATCTATTTCTTCTCTTGCTGCTTGTATATCCTTTGAAACCGTTGTTAATTGTTTTGGAGATGGTCTTGCACCTCTAACCGCAACATCTTTTCTTAATGCTTCAATGACATCTTGCAAATCATCGACTTTTGTTAATAGGAAATCAGAATCATTCGATAATTTTGTATGGCAGTTTTCCATATATGCTCTGTTACTGGATTGCGATCCTGAGAATCCTATTGATTTAAAATCCTTAACTTTTTTCAACAAACTCTCAATAACACTGGTAAAATCGTCTTTATTAGTTTTTTGAATTTGCTTTATAATCATCAATTCATGTCTAATATCTGAAATTTCCGGATAGTCATATATATTAATTGACGTTGTAGTTGGGGTTCCAGGTGCGGTGACTTGTTGCTCTGTATTCGTCGCTTTTCTAACCAAATTACTATGACTGTTATTACTGCTGTCATTTTCATTAGAATTATCGGCATTGTTGTTAGAGAAACTCTGAGTTTCATTTGCAGATATTAATGATATTGATGAAGTTTTGGGGGATGATAGGTTGACTGAAGATAGCCTTGAAAAATCAATTGATTCAATTTTTTCTGTCAATCTTTTAATTGAGGACATTTCATTTTTCAACTCGCTGAGTTTATTGTTTAAACCTTGTAAATCTGTTTTATTATTAAAATGTGAATCAAAATGTTTACTTTCTATTCCGCTAATTGCGGCAGTATTTAATGAAATAATTGAATTATTTCTAATTTCACTTAAATATTGTTCTTCCAATTCATAGGGTATTTCAGTTAAACTTTCTTGGATATATAAATCTGGAAAAATGCTATCAGAGCCTGGAGAATAAGCAAATTTTTCAATAAATAATAACCTTAGAGAATTAAAATTTATCGGTAAATCTAGAGTCACCTTTTTGACTCTTTGATGTAGTTTTAAGAAAAGGATAATTTTATCATTATTTAATTGATTATTTGATCCATCATTATTGGTTGCAGTAGTGATGATATTAGAAGTGTTGCTAATAGCGTTATTAAGAACGTTATTATTCATATTTAATGATTTTCTAGAGTTTGAGAGAGCAATTGCAGCCTGTTCAATTTCTCTTTTAGCTTGAATTTCGTCGTTATTATTCATGATTAAATCGCTATCATTATCGTTATCGATATCGATATCGATGTTAATATTTGACAAGTTAGTGATATTAGAGATATTATTTATGTTGGAGGTATTTGAGTCCAGATCATCACCAACTAAATGTTTATAGGAATCTATGTTGACATCCTTTGGCAAGGGTTCTTTTTTGGAGTTGGTTATTCCTAGCTTGGCATATTGATATGCAGAAAATCTTCTTGAAGCTCTACGTTTCAACGAATCTCCATTTTGTAGTTGAACTAAAGCATCTGAGGATTCCTTATCAGGAGATTTTTGTGAATCAACATCATTATCGTGAATATATTCATTGTAGTCGTTATTATAAACATTGTTATTTTGAGCAAAGTCTTCAGGAGGATTTATTTTTGGAGGCGGTAAGGGTTTGTCTTGATAATTGGGCACTTTATGAGGGTTGTTATTCAGAAATTGGTTGTTTTTTGAAGCAACAAATTGAACAGGTTGATGTAAATTAGATGAGTTTGAAATTGAGCTTGAAGAAACTGGAGATTGTTGTTGGTTAGAAAACATTGGATAAGAAGCCTGATAACGATGACGAGTTGGGGGAGAGACATACGAGGCGGATCTTTGTTTTATTTCATTTTTGTACTTTTTATTATTATTATTATTATTATTATTACTATTGTTGTTGTTGTTTTTGTTATTGTTGCTGTTATTATTACTGGTATTATAATTGTAATTGCCTGTATTATTTAAAAGGGAAGTGGAAGAAGGAGATGAGTTACGAGAATCAGATATTGAGGGATCGCTTTTATTTACTTTTGAAGAAGGATGAGGGCTTGAAGTTGCCCTTTGAGTTTGTTTTATTTGTTGAGAATAAATTTTTGATTGAGGATTTTGATTAAAGTTTGGTATAATATTAGTATCCATTAGGTTATTTTCGAATTTTTGATCGGGCAATTTTGGTAAATTTGATTGAATAGATTGAAGTTCTTGGTTCTTTTTTTGTTGGTTTTTTTGTTGCTGGTTTAGCATTCTAATGACATGCTGTTTTTTCTTTAAATTATTCAATAGACGGACTATTATTTCTCTAATTTTGGGTAGAAATTTATCCAAAGTTTCTTGGGAAGCAGGTTCACAAAGTGCACTTTCCAAAACAACTCTTAGATCATAAGGAACATCACCTAGATCACTGACATCTACGCCAGCGGCAGAAAAGGCTTTGCAGCTTAGTTTAAAATTGTTTCCTAATTCGACGTAGGCGTCAGAAACATCCTTTTCACTGGCATTTAGTTTTGCCCATTGAGTTAAAGAATTTAGTAGATGCTTTGTTGCGACTAATAATCTTGTTACATTTGATTCTATCGTGCTTAACTGGATATCAACGAAAAAAAAGAAAGAAAGAAAGAAAAGAAATATATAAGATGAACAAAAAGAATTGAGAAAAACATCAGTTAGTATTTTGTAAATTGGGATCAGAGAAGAGGTGGAAGCAAGGAAAAGAGGAAACATACAGGTGAACTTGATCTATTTTTGGAGGCAACAGAGGAGGTGGAGCTTGTGGGTTGATGTGAGGGCATTGTAGGTATAAGGCGTAAAACAAAGGTGTGGAAGGTGGGATTTGAATGCTAGAAAAAGAGCACCAACACCATGAAAAGGATATCAAGAAGGCTTCAAGGAAAGAAAGCAAAGAAGAGGAAGAAAAAGAAGAAAAAGAGTAGAGTTGTAACAGCAGTATTAAGAACTAACAAATCAAGAGATAGACATCAATCAGCAAACTGATGGAGAGCTATCACTGAAAAGGGCAGACTTGGAGAACAATAGGGAGCAATTTGGGCGGCACGTGGTTATGGGCGGGTGTTTTGTCCAGGCGAGTATGTGGATATCGGCGAACGGAGATAAATGGCTGTGATCTGAAAGCAAGGACACAATGATCCGGTTGAGGCATGCAGAGGTGAGAGCAGGGAAAATATAGGAGAGTATGAAACTTGAAGATATAAAAGTATATAATGAATGAGAAAACGAAAACTAAAACTATAACTAGAACTAAGTAAAACATAAAAACAAAACCAAAAGGGAAAAGGGACAGAGAAAAGAGAAAAAATGAAGATAAATATTAAACTATAATGAGACCATCGTGGAGATCGGTAGTGAACTAAAACCAAAATTAAAACAAGCCTTCGAGTTCACCAGGTAGTTCTAGGATTTGAGTAGAATAGAATCTTTCAATTTCTCTTAACATTGGAACATCATCGGCTGTAACAAAATTGATGGCAACACCTTTTCTACCAAAACGACCACCTCTACCAATTCTGTGAATGTAGTTTTCTTTGTTTTTGGGCAAATCGTAGTTGATGACTAAGGAGACTTGTTGCACATCGATACCTCTTGCTAATAAATCTGTTGAAATTAGGATTCTTGAAGAACCGGTTCTAAATTCTTTCATGATGGTGTCTCTTTGTTGTTGAGTTAGTTCGGAGTGGATACTTGAGACAGTGAACTTGTTTTGCTCTAGACTGTTTGATAATTCTTCGACCTTTCTTTTAGTATTGCAAAAGATAACAGCTTGAGTGACCGAAATTGAATCATAAATATCGGCCAAGATGTCGAATTTGTATTCTTCTCGTTCAACATCGACAAAGAATTGTTTAATACCTTCGAGAGTTAATTCGTCCTTTTTAACCAAGATTCGGATTGGATCCCTCATGAATTTGGTGGTAACTTCCAAGACATCTTGAGGCATTGTAGCAGATAACAAAGCGACTTGGGTTGTAGTTGGTAAAAATCTGAAAATATTGTAGATTTGTTCTTTGAAACCGGAGGACAACATTTCATCAGCTTCATCGAGAATGAACATTTTAATATCGTTGGTTCTGAAATTACCATTTTGAATCATTGAGTAAACTCTACCAGGGGTACCGACAACGATTTGGGCGCCTCTTCTAAAGGCCTCAATATCGTCCTTGACGGAAGTACCACCAATTGAAGCATGAACAGTGATGTCTAAATGTAGACCAATAGCCAAAACGACCTTTTGAATTTGAATAGCCAATTCTCTAGTTGGAGCCAAAATCAAGGCCTGAGTTTTTTTTTCTTTTTCGTTGATGTTTTGCAAAGCAGAAATAGCAAAAGTGGCGGTTTTACCGGTACCAGATTGGGCTTGAGCTAAGACGTCTCTACCTTCGATAATTGGTAGGATAGCTCTTTGTTGAATAGCGGAGGGAGTTTCATAACCATAACCAAAGATACCTGAAGAAAACAAGGAAAGAAAAGAGAAAAATGAAGAGAAAAATGAAGAGAAACTGTTGATTAGTACAATTTTCTAGAGCAAAAGAAAATAACCAAAGAAAATTCACAGAATATCAGTGGAACATTAGAAGCAGAACATACCTCTTAAAATCGTTGGCTTCAAATTCAAATCATCAAAGGAGGAGACCTGCTTGTCGTAGTTGGTCTGGATGAGATTGGTGTCAATTTCGGAGATTCCGTCAGCCATGTTGGACAGTCAATTGTAGTGAGTAGTGCTGTAGAGAGTGTTGTTGCAGTAGTGCTCTTGGTGGACGACAAAGTTCAGACAGAACAGCAGAACAAGCAGGATATATAGCCATGGCGAGACCACGAGGAAAGGGGCCGTTGCCCGGGTCAGCGCCGAAAAGGGGACCGCTGTCCGGCCCGTGCCATAGTTAACGCCGGTGCGCTTCGTCTACCGCGCCCGCGCTTCGTCTAGCCACGCGCGTGGGACCAACACCGACCGCTGCCGTGGTTCCAGCTAGAACTTCTTGAACATCTTCTTGAACTTGTGGTGTTTCGAGGTGTTCAGCTCCTGGTGCGCCTCAATGGTGCTCTTCAATCGTTGTTCGTTTCTCTTCCTCTCCTCTTCTCGTCTCGCATTAGCCTGTTGCTGCTGCTGCGTCAATCTCCCGTTCATCTGGCCGCCCATCTGGTTCCTTTGGCTGTTCACCTGGCTGCTCACCTTGGGCTTGCTGATTCCAGTTTCCTTCAAGTAGCTGGGTGCTGCTTCCTCGTTCCTGCCCATGCTGTACTCGATCACTGTCTTTTGAGAGTATTCCTGCATGAGGTTTTTGTCCAACACCTTGACGTTATTCATGAAGATCTTGCTGTTGATCAAGTTTTCACTTCCAAGAATGATGTCCTTGTCCAATATCTTTCCCATTTTATACATCGAGCTGATCTCCTCGTAATTGATTCCACCAGCAACATACACAAAGATCCGTTGTTTAGGTAGTTGGAAACTTGACCCCATTGATGTTGAGCTCTTCCACTTGGGTCTTAAATTTTTGTTCCTTAATGAGGTTGTTGAGTTATTCACATTTAAATTCAAATTACCAAAATCATTCTCAAGCCCATTGTTCCCATGTTCTCTATTATTCACATTCATCGCGCTCATTTCTAGCTGCTTGACAAACGAAAACTCTTTACTCAATGCCTCGTTGTTATTAAGTAAACAGTTTACTATATTTTCAACCGCGGGTTTGAATCTAGATGACGAATACCCAGTGTTATCAATTAAATAATATTGTGATTTCTTCTCGTTAGGATTGAAATTAATACCGCTCCCATTATCGTTATTGTTATCGTTATTATGGTGATAGTGGTGACTGTTTAAATCTTCTTTAATGATCTTAATATTTAAATTTTCAAAGTTGCGAACCAATCTTAGAAATTCGTCAACTTCTTGATTGTTTAAGTTGATAAACTTGAATAGTTTCTCAAAATCTTTTAAAATTATTCCATTTCTATAAATTGAGTAAATTAAGATTAATTTGATCTTATCAAATTTAGAATAATCACTTTGACTCAATTCCAATATAAAATTGTCAGACAAATCATCAAATTTCTCATTATCAATATCGTATCCATTAGCCGCCAACGTGTTTTCAAAATCAGCAATTTTGTTCAATTTCAAATTGTTCATGGTCTTTAAGACTTTATCAAAGAGTTCATTATGTAAATATATCAATCTTCTTTGATTGTCAAACTCATCCATATGAACCAACTGGTTTCTAACTTGATCAATCGACGAATTATACCCACCATTCCCATGTCTATCACCGCCATCAGCATCATTTGAACCCGAATGTGCTTTCATCTCTTGATTTTTATTATTGATTATTTCCCCAGCTTTTAATACATGTTCATGCCTTACTTCATTTAAAATTGGATCTTCTTCATTCAATTTAGCGTACTTGAACTCCCTTGTATGGTTCACATTAACCACTAGATATTTAACAATTTGATTATAAATGTCAACATCAATGTTTTGATTCGAGATCAAGTTGGAATTCACTTCATTATTATCAAAATAATTCGAATCATTGGTCACTGTAAATGTATCATATATCATCGATTGATAAGTAAAACTAGATATGAGATTAGTTATAACATCCAAAGTTCGATCGCAAATTAAAAAAATAGATCGTTGTCTTTGATTTTGTTGAGATGGAAATTTTGTATTGTTTCTAGCATAATCATCAAGAGAACTTTGAAATAATTCGGCAATTTTTTTGGATAAAATTGAAGACTTGGTTATAGAATTCTTAGGATTGTAATATTTGATAATTGGATACTCATCGGTCAAGATACAAAGATTAATTAATGATTGAACAATTTGAATAATCTGATAATTAACAAGAGCCAAATAGTTCTTGTTATAAAAAATTTGCAATGAGCAATTATTAATATTATTAATTGAGTTCAAAGCATTGTGGTTTGTCATGATATTTAAACTATTCAAATGATCATTATTTAATTTGTTTTGTTTGGCCAATGAATCCTTTTGCTTTGAAGTTCGTTTTGAATTGTCCAATAAATCAGTTTGATTAACAATATAATTGTTTGAATAATTGAAATTGGTTAGAAAGACGTTGGATTCAATCGGCAACAAATTGAAATAAATATAGCTAAACGATTTGATCATCTGGTTGTTTCTTATATCGTTATTAATCTTTGCATTTAGTTCACTCGCTAATTTGGGATGAATGTTATTATTAACAGGTAAAAGGAAAATGTTCGACGTCTTATAACGAGTAGATTTATAAGTCTGATCAATATTATTTGGATTGTTTGATGGCAAGGACAAATTCAAATCAATCAATAAACAGTTGATTGAATATAAATTTGAATCTAGGATATAAATTCCATCAAATTCCCTTCTAACGTCTCTCTTTTCAGATATATTTGAGATGGCAGTGACATTTTTCAATAGAGTTTGCTTATCAAGGATTGAATAGATTAAAAATTGGGTTTTATCATCAAGGATCAAATATTTCAAATTTGACTGAACCGAGTTGATTAGATTTAGTATGTAGTTTCTTTGAAGATGAATCAAGTTAGTCACCATTGGCACAGACGTTTAAAGTGGCAATACAGAAAAGAAAGATACTAAAAAAGGTGTTTGAAAAATAAGGGTTGTGAGAACCAAGATGATCTCAAGAGGGTCTCAAGACAAATTCAGGAAAACGACAGATCAATCTCCAAACAGCAGCTTAAAATATGAGAATAAGTGCAGAGATATATAGATGCTGGAGTGGATGGGTATTAAAACAGAGAGAAAATGCTTAGTTGGAGCGTTGGAGGTTTATTTACATAGCGAGCGATGGGCGGAATTTACATTGCGATGGGAGGTGCGTGCGTATCCAGGACATTTAGTAAGGACATATATAAGAGCCCCATCTACCTGATGTGTTTGTCGAGGAACTGCTGGTGGTGTTTTGACCTGAGGATGTCGTTGATGTGGTTGTTGTCGTCGTCGGCTCTACTGTGTTTGAACTTTTTAGCAGTGGCATTGGATTTCTGGAAGATCGATTCAGCCCTCCAGGATTTATAATTACTTTTCTTCGAAGGGGCAGAGTTTTTTGTCAACGAAAGACTGTTGTCACTGAGAATACTGCTTTCTTTTTCACTGGATTGCTCTCTTTCAAGCTTTTTCAATCTTCTTTCCTCCTTGATCTTCTGCAATTCTTTGAGGAGTAGCTCAGTTTCATCTTCTGAGTCTGAGTCTGAATCTTCCTCTGATTCACTATCCTCATCCTGCTCCTCCTCTTCTTGCTCCTGTTCTGGTTCATTGGTTATTTCAGTTTCTGCATGATCTACTGTTTTAGAATCCTGGAAAGCACCCACTGACACCTTTGAAGAAGCTCTTTGATTATTTTGCGGTTCATTTGTTATCATTAACTTATTGGATAGCTTTAGCCGTTTATTTTTATCATAGTACTCGTTTTTGATATTGTGTTTCAACTCGTTTTTTAGTAACTGCTCCCTTAAAAGATTTCTTTTTTTTATGTAATCACTGTTGTGATCTCCATTAGTTTTGTTATGATTAAGATTATCAGAGTTATCCAACACATCTTCGCTTAAATTTTTATTTTCGCCTAGCTCATCAAGCAATAATGGTTTTTGAATGGACTGCCTATATTTGAGCTCTGTATGGTTCGATAGAAATCTCTTGTGTTGTGTGGAGGAAGCATAAGAGCTGGAAATAGAGGTGTCCTTGCCCTTAGCAGGGTCAAAGGTAAGTCTGTGGGCAGTTGTCATAATGAGTGCTTGCAATTATTGACCTTAAAGTAGTGCTTAGATTGCATCAATTGCTCAAAAAAATATAACGCCAAAATAAAAAAAAAAGTCTTGCCCAAACCATTGCAATAGTGATTTACAAACATTACTAAACAAACATGGATAATTGGACAATCAGTTTATCGACACAATGGCCGAGTGGTTAAGGCGAAAGACTCGAATTCCGAGACATCTTTTGGGTTCTCCCGCGCAGGTTCAAATCCTGCTTGTGTCGTTGTTTTTTTGATCTTTTTAAGGGCTTTTTTCTTTTTTTCGCGTTTCTGGGTCCACGCAGTTGGTTCCTCAGCGGTTTTCGCGTTTCTCGTGCTTTTCGCGGTTTTTCAACTCAGTGAAAAGCACATTTTCGTAGCCGCTGATGGCAGATCACCGCTAGCTTTCTATCCTTCTTCTGCTGTCTTCCTTTCCTGCTTCTTCTGGTTTTTTTTTCTCAATCAGATATGTCTAATACTCCTGCTACTCATGTTGAGTCTGATCTTCAAGCAACAAACACCGATGTTCAGCGTCTCGATCCTGAAGAAGATGACGATGATATGGTTGGGCCAATTCCCATATCAAAACTAGAAGGTAATGGTATCACTTCTAATGATATCAAAAAATTAATGGAATGTGGTTTTAATACTGTTGAATCAATAGCTTATACTCCCAAAAAGATTCTACTAAACGTTAAGGGAATTAGTGAAAATAAGGCTGATAAATTACTAAATCTAGCCTCTCAATTTGTTCCCATGGGTTTTACAACTGCCTCTGAATTTCATCATCGAAGAAGTGAATTAATCTGTATAACCACTGGCTCAAAACAATTAGATACACTATTGGGTGGAGGTATTGAAACTGGTTCAATAACTGAAGTCTTTGGTGAATTTAGAACCGGAAAGTCTCAACTATGTCATACTTTAGCCGTTACTTGTCAATTACCCATAGATATGGGTGGTGGTGAAGGCAAATGTCTTTATATCGACACTGAGGGAACTTTCAGACCTGTTCGTTTGGTCTCAATTGCAAGAAGATATGGTTTAAATGAAGATGATACTTTAGATAATGTTGCCTATGCAAGAGCCTATAACGCCGACCATCAATTTCAATTATTAACTCAAGCTGCTTCAATGATGGCCGAATCGAGATTCAGTCTCTTAATTGTCGATTCAATAATGGCTCTCTATAGAACTGATTACAGTGGTAGAGGGGAACTAAGTGCAAGACAAATGCATTTAGCCAAATACATGAGAATGTTACAAAGATTGGCTGATGAATTTGGCATCGCTATAGTTATAACAAATCAAGTAGTAGCTCAAGTCGATGCTGCCATGTCTTTTAATCCCGATCCAAAAAAACCAATTGGTGGTAATATTATTGCTCATTCTTCAACAACAAGATTAAGCTTCAAAAAGGGTAAAGGTGAACAAAGAATTTGTCGAGTTTATGACTCTCCCTGTTTACCAGAATCTGAATGTGTATTTTCCATTTATGAAGATGGTATAGGTGATCCAAAAGATGATGATGACTAATACTATTTCTAGTCTCATCAACAATATCTATTTAGACCAATAAATAAATGGAATTTATTTATTTATTTTTTTGTTCTATACCTTGAATTTTTTATTGTATATCTCTGGCATTTCTTTTTCAATCTCTTTTATCTTTACTCTACTGCATTTCAAGATACCTTTCCAACACCTTATGATACCTACAATTCCTGCAACACATAAAATACCAAACTTACGTTATTTAGTTTATCACCTCTCATCTTTTGCTCAATCTGGTTCACTCCTTTTATTTTCTTCTTTTCGGAGTTTCAGTTTTAGTTCATTTGGTGGAGAACTATCACCTCAGTTTTTTCCTGTTTGGCTTTTTCTCTTCTCTAAATTCCAATCCCCTTACCCCCTTCGTTTTGCGTCGTCCGCTGAAAATATTCCGCTCCGCTTTCTATTGTATATCCATTTGCATGTATATACATATAAACGCACTATTATTTAAGACATTTATTTGTCTGAGTACACAGACTCGGTTTATGAAATTTCTTATGATGATATATTACAGTATCTAATGATCCAGTAAAAAAGCCAATTTATAAATTGAAAATCATTAAAAAGATTATAATAAAACGTGCAACTAAATAATTAAGTTGAAATTCAAATCAAAAATCTCATAAATGTGGTTTAATTTTTATTAAATATACCAATCATAAATATGTAAACAACATTTTTTCACTACTGTTCAACATCAAAACTAAATTTTCAGATATCATATAAATGTTATTTAATTTCTTTATATTTTTTTTTTTTAATATCTGATATATTGTCAATGAATTGAAAAATCCCTTAAGAACAATTTGTCCATTCTGGTTTCTGGTTTCTATTGGAATACTTTTAAACACCGAAGTCCTAGACATTATTAATTTAAATTAATAATATGCATATACATACATATTGAATTCAAAGTTTTCAACAAGCTGTATACACAATTTAATTATGCATATACCCGCGTCCGGATCAAGAGCAGTAAAATTGACCCCAAAATTGCCCTGTGAAAGCAGAATCCATCTGGCTTGTGTCGGCCGAACCTTTCCTTCAATCAAAGAAACGGAAATAAATTTGGGTTGGAGTTGAAAAAATGGAAACTGCAAAAAAAGATATAAAACATCTTCAATGAAGTTTATTGTTCAGTGATAGGTCCAGTTATAATCCATTCAGTTGATCTTTAAAAGAAATAGCAAATTCAGTAAAACCAGGTCTATAGACAACCTGACATTTACCTCCATATTTTTTTTACTTTCTACCTTGCTAGCTTTTTTTGTTCATTCAGCTACTGGGTTAGTCTTCATTCATTTTTTATTTTTTTTTGACTTACTTTGTTCATATTCGTTTTAAATTCAGTTCTCTTTTAACCTAATTCTTTTGATTCCTTTTTTTTTTGCTGCTTTTCGTGTTTTTGTTTTTGCTTTAATTGTCAATAGAAAATCCTGGGGTTTTTAATAAATTTTTAATCAATATTCAATATTCAATATTCTCTATTCAATATTCAATGTTAAATATGGAGGACAAAAGAACAATCAAGGCTGGTAATCATCCAAATGGAAATACTAATACTAATAGTGATAATGCAATTAAACCCAGAAAAGTTCCAGTATTATCAAACCTAAGTAAAACTGAGATATCTGCTTTGTCTGGTGCGATGGCTGGATTTTTGTCTGGTGTTGCTGTTTGTCCATTAGACGTTGCTAAAACCAGACTACAAGCACAAGGTGTGGTTTTAACTTATAATTCTGTTTCAAAATCAAATATTGATTCCAAAAATATTTCCAAACCTATAAACTCAAATATAATACCCGGATCCAATATAAATTCTAATATTAACTCAGATATAAATATAAAATCTAAACTAAAATACAGAGGAATATTTCAAACATTAACAAGGATTGCTTCTGAAGAAGGCATTTTGGGATTATACAGAGGACTTATTCCCATAACATTAGGTTATTTTCCAACTTGGATGATTTACTTCACTGTTTATGAAAAGGCCAAGATTTTTTATCCAACTATATTTCATGAATATATTCAAATCGATAATAATCATACTTTAAATTTCTTATCTTATAGTTTTTCTGCGATAACTGCAGGAGCTGTTTCATCTACTTTCACTAATCCAATATGGGTAGTTAAAACAAGACTAATGCTACAAACTGGAAATGGGCATACAATTTATGATTCAATAAATAAAACATCTAATAGTCAAACGAATCAAAATAATAATATTCAAATTAAAAGTACAAATAAAAATAAAAACTATTATTCTGGAACTTTAAATGCTTTTTATAAGATGTATAAAAATGAAGGTATAAAAGTTTTTTATTCAGGATTGATACCTTCTTTATTTGGCTTATGTCATGTTGCAATTCATTTTCCGGTGTATGAATATTTCAAAAAGTTTTTAAATTGTAATATTAATGAATCCAATAGTTCTAATAATATTGTTTCTAATAACCTATACCTACTCAAATTAATATTAGCTTCATCGCTATCGAAAATGATTGCATCTACATTGACATATCCACATGAAGTGCTAAGAACTAGATTACAAATTCGTTCTTTAACTTCCTTGAAAATCGATAATTCTAAAGCAAGATTGAATCAAAAGGGCGATTTAATTGATACCATAAAGTCGATATACAAAAAAGAAGGATTAATTGGATTTTATTCAGGATTTTCTACTAATTTGGTTAGAACTGTACCTGCGAGTGCAGTTACTTTAGTATCCTATGAATATATAAAATTTTTTTTAATAAATATAGTAGAACCTTCTACTTTATAATTATTAATTATTGTATTATTGAGGTTGAAAACTTTGCATAAAGAGCACCACAAAGAATTCTAGTTATAAAGATTAAAAAGCAGAAAGTAAAAAAAAATGAAATCAAAAAAAAACAACTTGAAGGTATAATTGATAGAAATTTGTTTTAGTAATATACAAGAAATTATAATAATCCCAGACTAAATAGATAAAATTAAATGAACCTAATAAATTAATCATAGTGAAGTGTCATGAGAAATAAAAAACCGTTGAGGATAGTTTATGTAAACTAAAATAAAGTAAATTGATTAACCACCAAAACCATATAATGTTCTTCCTTGTCTTTTCAAAGCGTAAACAACATCTAATGAGGTAACGGTCTTTCTCTTTGCATGTTCAGTATAGGTGACAGCATCTCTGATAACGTTTTCTAAGAATGATTTAAGAACGTTTCTAACTTCTTCATAAATTAGAGCCGAGATACGTTTGACACCACCTCTTCTAGCTAATCTTCTGATAGCAGGTTTGGTAATACCTTGAATGTTGTCTCTAAGAATCTTTCTGTGACGTTTAGCACCACCTTTTCCAAGACCTTTTCCACCTTTTCCACGACCAGACATTGTTGGAAGTAAATAATTTGTAAATAATTTGTAAATTTAGTAAATTAGTCAACTTGCCAGAACCAAGAGAAAGAGAACATTAATGAAAGTTTGAAGGGGCAAGGTGTGATTTATATACCAAAAGTAGAAGGAAAAGAAATGAAAAGTGAGTAAATGTGCTGGGATATTCATCAATCTCGGAATATCTCAGCACGCAGTGAAAAAGAAATATATAACAACTGATTTCTCCAGCAAATTTTGCTTAACTCACAAACAACACCATAAAAACAATAGCTCTTAGACCAAAAACAGGATCTTTTATATACTTTATTTTTAATTTGTAGATGTAGCATTGTTTTACAGATTAAACGCAGAAACAGTTTTGGATAAGAGGGCTTATTTGAGATATCAATATTTGTAATTGGCCTTAGAAGCGATATGTAGCTATTAAACCGGTCAATCCGGTTTGTGTTGGGGTTCGATTGAGATGGTGCAGCATCATTCCGAGATCAGAGCATCGGAAGTCAAAATTTGAATTTGCAGTTCGAATCTCATCTTCCAACCACTGTAATGTATCTCACATACTTGTGCATATACTCTCGAGATCGAAACTGAACCGGAAGTGCGGTTGTGGACCGGAATACACTTGTAGATATAGGTGTGTAAAGTCAAATAGTTATTCAAGTATTGGAGATGAAAGATTATCTTCTTCTTGGACCATCTTTTAATCTTTCTTCTCTTAAGTTTCCTGTTCGATCTACTAAAGGCCATTTTCCCCAACCATTTAGTTTTATCACCAAGCAAGTGGCATTATCATCACCACCAACTGCTTCAACAAACTTGACTATTTCTTCTGCGCAAAATTGTGGGGAACCTCTTTTCATTCCTCTATTAGCAGTGCTCATTACCAAATCGACTATTTCTTGATCAGTTACATGGTTAGTGACACCGTCAGAGCATAATATTAAAAATGATTCGTCACCACCGATTTTGCCGACAGTTTGGTTGATGTAGTTGTTTTTTTCTTTGATCAATTTAGAATCACCAATTATAAAACTGAGAATATCTGGTTCGGCAGAAATGCCCTTTGATTTTGCTACAAAATCGCCAAAAGCTCTTGTGTTGGCATAGTTTAGGAATCTTTCTTCTCCAAAGGAATCGGTGAAAAAGGATGAAGAAAAAGTACTTAGTCGAGTTGCTTCAACAGGAGATGAAGGATGATGATTTGAAGTTAATGGTCTTGCTGAACCATATTTATCGCAAATTATTGCTTTCGTATCGCCAATATGAGAAATTATGAGTTTGCTGACGGTGTTTTCCTCAAAATAAATTTTATTGTCGTTAGGATTCAAATTATAAATAAAGACTGAAGTTGAGGTTGAACCTGAGCTTTCCAAATTTTGTTCATTGATGGTAGTGGTGTTATTAATTTCATTATCGTTATGATTTGGATTATTTAAATTATTTTTATTGTTGACATAATTTTTTGTTACTTCGAATAATTGTAAATCTAAAGTTAAAAAAGCCAAGGGCAATCTTAGATTTAAATCATCATATTGGTTTAAATTTTTGTCAAAGTTTTTTTTATAAAATAAATCCAATTTATTATAAAATCTTTTCCAATAACTTCCGCCGATTTTTTTAATATATAGGGATATCAAGTCTTTTAAATACGATTCATTTAAGTTATTGATTGGAAAACTTTCAATGGTTTTGGATAAATTTTTAGATAAATAATTTGCTGTTTGAATTCCGCCATGGCCGTCAAAGATGTTGAAATTAAAGACTCTTAGAGCTTGTTCTTTTATATCATGAAGGTGGTTACTATGAATGATATTCGTTATGTTTTTATTGTAGATATTTAAGGGCAAATGTAAGACTGCAGCTGATAATTTGTCTTCATTATAAACTCTATTAACTCGAGAGGTTGCATGGCCAAAATGGGATGGAGATTTTAATATAGGGATCTTGAGTCTCGCTTTGAAATTTAAATTATTTGAGCTATTATATAAAATTGAATCATTGGATTTTGTATTTAGAATTGGAAAATAGACGTATTCTGAAAAGAATCTTCTATTATTGAGATTATGATTTCTGCGATAATCAGACTTGTAATTATATTTGAGTAAATCTGATCTCTTCCGGTTGATCATTAAAAGATTTAACGAGCATTTCAGTAGCTGATTGGGAATGCTATACGATAAGGAAGAGTTTGAAAGTAGTACATTGATTGACATTCTATGAGAAAATAAGATGAAGAGTAAGAATATAGGTTTTGCAAAGCAGTAGAGACTGGTTAAATATGCACAAAATCAGATATATTTAAGTGGTAATTATTACTGGCGATCAATAGTATAAAAAAAATTTGATCATTGAAATTTCAAGCGAAGAAAAAAAATTGATGATGATAATAATGATAACGAAGTGTGTGAGAAAGTTAATGAGCAGTGGCTAATGAGTAGGCAAGCTGTGAGTATGTAGTTATAAAGATCTATTTGAAATGCAAATTGGCATTTTATACAACAAATATATAATCCAGTAAAGAATACAAAAGAGTCTCCAGCTGAGAAGAGGAAATACAGCTGTGGATAATATATCCTCCTGGGCTGGAAATGCTAGATGTGAGATAACATGAGGTGGGTCCCACTCCATCGCAAAAACCCGCTACCGGTTTGGGCGCGACCGCTCACCGCTCACGAAGAGTGTCGGCAGCCGGCAGTTCACGCCAGCGCTATTCTGCGCTCGGTACACATATATGCTGGCGTGTGCATAAAAACAAGCGCTACACATGACCGTGCACGTGAGATTCTTGGAAATGCAGTTCCAAAAATAACACGCGGGATATCGGGTACGAGTTCGAATCACGTGCTTGTAGTCCCCTCATAACATGAGCAAGATCCGCTTAGCGCCAGCGAGATCCGGTGCCAACACACACCCCGAAAAAAGACCAAAGCCGGACACCGAATATATAGTGGTTTTCCCTCTTTCTTCTTTGGGAGCCGCATTCCAAACACTGGTTTTTCCATTGTTCTGGGTTTTCTCTGGACTGGTATCTCGACACAATAAAAATTACTAATTAAATGAACTATGTACGATGATTAACAATGAATCAAATGACTATAAGAGAGAAAGGTGAAAAAAATTTATAATACAAAAAAAAATTACCAAATTTTGTATAACTTCATCTACTTCTAGGTTCTAAAACCACCTTTTAGACAAAAAATATAATAAAAAGAGTTAAAAATTTAAAAAAATGTAAAACAGCCGTAACTTATAATTGTAAAGCGATACAAACTTGATTTCATCTCCAATTGAAATCTCATATTAACAGCTCATATTGATATCCCATGTTGTTTAAAACTCTCTGAACATGGGGTTACTATTTAATTTTGTTTCTCAAGATCTTGTTGTTTGGCTTTTTCAGCTCCAAATCGAGGCATCATTGGACTTTTGATAACAATATAAGAGTTTTCTGGTGTTGCTAATTCAGTAAATGCAATGAACCAAGCTAATAGTGCAATTGCAATACCCCAGCATCCACCAATTCTGGCAACAGTTAATGATTGAGTAAATTTAGCGATAGCATTGAGCAAAAATCCAACACCTGAAATCCATAATAATGCACAGAATGCAACTGTGTCCTTCATTGTACAAATTGAGATAATAAATGTGAAAATAGCCCATGATAAATTGAAGAAACCAACTGCATTATCCCATTGAGTCTCATCCTCATATTGAGATTTCATTCCAAATGCTGGAGTATGAACTGCTCCCCAGGCCATCCAAAAACCACCATAAGATCCAAATGCCGTTGTACCAAATGTGTTTCCATTAATAAATTGAAAAATACCAGCAACAAATTGAATAAATCCTCCATAGAAGAATGCAACACCAGATGCAATACTGACATTGCTAACCCCCAAAAATCTAGCTTGAGCTAACGAAAACACAAATGTGGTTAATGCAAATCCAGTCAATCCCAATGGTCCAGGGTTGGCAAATTGTCTAAATTGTTTTGGTTCATTGACTTGTTGGTTACTGTTGTTAGGAGTGTTTGTCATTGTTTTTGATAAACATAATGTTTTAATCAAATCATCTTTATTAACTTTAGTATTACCAACATAGACAAAATTATCATAGTCTTCATGTTCAGAATCTGAATCTGAATGATTGTTATATTTATCAGCACCCATTATAATCGATTAATTAAATTGATTTAAACTAAATATATCCTTTGTTGAATAGTGATATAATTAATAATTGAATTATTGAATTATCAGTTTATGATTTTGTATTGAATTGAATTGAACTGTTGAATTGTTGTATAATAATTAACATAAAAAGAAAAACAAATAAAAGTCCAATTGAAATTTTACACTGGAAAACTTCAACTTTATATATATTTTGATTTTGTTCAAATCCAATCAATATAATTGATAAAATAGAATTTTTTCGGATAACCACACTCACACATTTATTCAATATTTTAACATTAATAGTAACAACTATCCACTGTACAACAAAATTTGTCAAAAAAGTCATACTAAACATAAATATCTTAGTAAGGTGACACTAATATATTGACTGGAAAAAAACAACCACCAAGAGAAAACAAAAAATCTAATTATATTTAGATTTCGGACCCAATGATAAACCATCAACAGCGTTCTTAGGAAGACTCATAAAACCATAATCATTTTTTTAATATAGAAACCATAAATCGTCTCTCTTTTTGTTTACTTTAGATATAAATCGGATCAAAAATACTACTATAAAGCCTAGGAATCGTTAAAGTTCATTTTAGTTGATAGTAGTTTTAACCTTTAGTTCAATAGTTTTTTATTTCTTTATTTCCATGTACACTTTATTGTTTATAATTAAAATTTTATCTTCTAATAAACCAATTTTTCTCGCTTTCCAATCGGCGTTTTTCATTGCCCTCAGTTAGTTTTTTGACTTCAAGTTATTGACATGGCTCTCAATGGTGTGCTTTTAATATAACATGGATTTTGATATTGAAGCCATTTTTTTTCTCGTTTGATCTTTACCCAATTGTAGGTTGTCTGTTCTGAAACCAATTTTTGTGTGCTGGAAAACCCTGACCAATCGTTAAATACCTCAACTGGCCCTTGTTTTGTTCAAGAATAATAGCAGGATCACCAGTACCAGCAGTATCACCAGTACCCTTAGCCACACTCTAAGACAAGATTGTTTGTTCCATCTGATCATCAACAGCAGGATATAACGATCATGGCTATTTCTGCTGTGTAGGCATGCTCCCCTTCTTTGTTTGGTGGAGTTTGTGTGGAACAGTAAGACCCTTCTCAAAGCAGCCACTCCACTAGAGGGCCTTCGCAAAGTATGCACTTAGAACCCTTAGGAAGAGCGAGAGATTGTTTACGAACAATGCAGCTAATGCCATTACTGTAATAGCTGCACATTTTACTAACTTCTGTAGGAGAGTATCAAAAGAAAGCAGTCGATAGCTGTAACTCATATATCCTCTACCATTAATGTATTGTCAAAGCCAATAGGTTGCAGGATCGGAAACTAAAAAAAAATCGTTGTTTTTAGGATAGAATTTGTGACTTTCTTGCAAACTACAGCTTCAGGTCCATGTCCAGTGGAGCCAATATCAAGGTTACTGGTTTTGTTGGAATTGAGTGGTTTGCGCCAGATATCTGTGGACAAGATTCTGTTCATATTTAGAATATCTAGAAAATTCCAACCGCAAACTGAAAAAAAACGAAACCACCAAGCTCATAAAGGTTCATGAATTTTCGTGAACTTGTACAACAAGCAAATCATGAGATGGTAATCGTTTGGGAATAATTTCGAGGGCTCTGTTGAAGCTGTAAACCAGTACGGCTAAGGAAGATAAATATTGGGGTAGAAAACTGAAGATTTGTTAAAATAACTTCTTGTAAAACGCAGCAAGTTTCATCTATTTTTTAAGGTATTATTTTTAATACTATTTGCTTGCAGAAAAACAAGAGTTTTTGCCATCCAATTTTTCTTAGGTAATAACATGAGTTTACAAGTTATTATTAGTTTTCAACTTTTCTCAAGTATTTACTATCCAGTTTAATCACCAATCGGATGCTGGATGATGCTATAGATTCTTGAGAATAAAGCAGAATTGGTCCTGTAAACAAACGCAAAATATTGATTGAAGCCGGTAGATTAATAGATTACTTGAAGAAAATTTTAGCAATTTTTGAGAATATGGCAACAAGCTTTTCAACAAGAACTTTTACAGATTCAAAAAAGTAGAGCTGCAACACATGTTGCCTCCAAAGGCCTAGGAAACTGGTGGGTTTTCTGTTTATCTTGTTAGAAAACTAAATTCAATTTGTGAAACTATGAATAATGTTGAGTAAAGATGAAATGAAGTCAAATTCCGAAGACTCCCGCCAGGATTTTAGTTTTGGTTTATCTTTTAAAGAGCTAAACTCCAATTCGTTAAATCTCGGATTAGATAAAACAATTCAGTTGAAAAAGATAAGAGTGTTTGAGCGTATCTTTACAACTATTTGAATGAAATTTTTTTTGAAATTTTTTTTTGAAGCTTTTTTTTGAAATTTTTATTTAAAATATGTTTTTGAAATCAATAAAATCAAAAGACAAATTGATTTGTCTAAAATTTTAGTTTAACAACAGCCTCTCTACTTATTCGTTTTGATATGATTTGGGAGTAATCTTTTTTTTTACAACAAATAGCGAGATTAGTTAACATGACAGTTATCGGGTAATTTGTTTAAATCAAGATACAAACTTATTTTGTGGAAACATTGAATCATTAATTAGCTTAAATCTGTGTTGATTCTGATAAAGCTGGCATTGTAATAAGTTGAATCTGCACCTTTCAAACTTTTGAATTCTTTTATCTTGCCCGAATTTTCATTCTATCCATTTTGATTTTTCTTATATGCTTCTCAAAATAAAGCAGTTTATATTTTTTCGACTAGCTTGCTGAAGCTTTTTAAAAAAAGCTGCAGGATTGTCTCGGAAACAGAGAAACCGTTTTCTGTCAGTTGAAAATTAATGTGTCAAACTTTAATTGCAGGTGCACCCAATGTTTGCTTTTAGGATTGTTTTTCGATTTGTTGATTTGTTGATTTCATTATATTCTTGTATGCTAGATGAAGGATGTTTTTGGTTTTATTTCTAAAAGTCATTTTCACAAAGATGATTGAATTTATTGATTCATTTTAGCTATTATCTTTGGACAATAGGATAAAAAATAAATGAAGTGAAGTGAAGTGAAGTGTTTTCGCGCCTTTGCTAAGAAAAAGCAAGCAAACCGTATTGGAATAAACTAAGTTTTAGCACACTTCAGGGAAAATTCAATTATTTTATTTGATACTCACACTGATGGTAGATATTTTTTTTTGTACTACTACAATAGAATCGAGTTAATTATAATACAACTGTATTGATGTTGTAGCAACCTATACTGGACAAAATTAGATAAGATAAAATAAAATAAAATAAAATAAAATAAAATAAGATAAAATTAGATAAAATTTAAGGAAATTTAAAGAAATCTAAAGAAACAATCAAACCAAAGACCAAAATAAAAAAAATAATATAAAAATAATATAAAAATAGAAAAGCAGTTTTTTATTTTTTTTTTATTTCATTTGATAATATAACTGTTTATCAGTGCTGAACTGATGTTGAAATTAAAAAATTCTTAAGAGCTTTCTTCGCTTGATGAATTTTGTTCCAAGTCAGCAACTCTTTTTTTGCTTTTGCTAAAGTCAGGCATCATAAAGGTTTTGACGTGGATGTATGAGTTTTCGTTTGTTGAAAGGTTAGTGTAGGCAATAAAGAAGGCAAGAAGAGCAGCGATAACACCTAGAACACCGCCAGCTCTTGCACAGGCTAATGAGTCAGTGAATTTTGAGGTACCATTGACAGTAAAGACGACGACAACCACCCATAATAAAGAGCAGAAATAGCAGCTGTCTTTAAGCGTGCAAAGAGCCATGAATAAGGTGTAGATGGCCCAGGAGATGTTGTAAAAGCCCATTGCATTGTTGAATTGTTGAACATCGTCACCATAAGCAGATCTAATACCAAAGGCATCAGTGTGAATAGCACCCCAGGACATCCAAAAGCCACCATAAGAAGCAAAGGCACAACAGCCAAAGGTGTCACCGACGATGAAGCAGAAGATACCAGCGACAAATTGGATGAAGCCACCATAAAAGAAAGCTAAACCGGCTACAATGTTTTCAGACTCAATACCCATAGCTCTTGCGTTACACAAGGAGAATAAGAAAGTGGTTAGAGCAAAAGAACATAGACCTAAAGGGCCTGGGTTGGCAAAGAGATGTTGAGGAGACTTTTTAATTGTGTTTGGTTGAGATTGATTAGCGGTTGAGTTTTTTTCGATATTGTCTAGTTTTGAGATTAAATTTTGGTATTGGTTTCCCATGGTAAGTGTTTTTGAGAGGCATAAAGTCTTTAAGAGTTCGTCTTTGTCGACTTTTGTTTTGCCAATGTAGACATAGTTGTCGTAATCATCGCGATCAGAATCGGATACTTCTTCTTGTTGAAGTTTGCTTGAAGAGCGTTTGTGAGCAGTGGACATTATTATATTTATTATTAATTATTGTGGTTATGGTTATGATTATGATTTGAAACTGAAATGAAGTTAAGGATATTAAAAAGGAATCAATGGAAGTTTAAATAGAAATTGAAGAGATTATTATTAAGAAGATGATATATAATATGATATAAGATAATGATAATATATAAGTAAAAGGTAAAAAGCAATTCAAACAAAATTATGGAAGATAATTGTATGATTTTATAGTAAATTTTTAATTGTTTATTAATATTTTGATTTAAAAAAAGAAAAAAAAGATAAATATAGAGTTCAAATAAAAGAATATATTAAGGATTACAATAAAATTGGAAAAAAATTGAGCAGAAAAATACCAAAAAACGAATAGAACATGAACAAAAAATGGACAGCTAAAAGAATGTTAAAAAAAGAGAAAAACATTTGTGCCACCAATAACTACTAAATGCATGGTTAAAAAGTGGTTTATTAGTGAGGTGGGTGGTCTATTTGTAAAAAAAAAGACAGCTCAAATAGAATTTTGGATAAAGTGTGCTTTGTTTAATGTTTTAGCATAATCATAAGATAAAAAACAGCCAATAAATTTCCAAGCTTTGGACTTTTGAATTGAAACGAAGCAAAAGGGAGATAAAAAAACAAAGTTGCAACAAATTGTTGATTGAGCAAAAAACCTTGTGGGAACTGTGTTTGTTATTTCAAATCACAATCATTGCAAAGAGGAAACAGACCCACATTGCAATGTTGCTATCCACTCTTTTCCATCAATTGCTGCGACCAAAGGCCTGGGCCGACGTTTCTCGGAGCTCCAAAGCACAAAAGCTCTCTAACAAAGGCAGTTGTGTGACGCTCCACCACAATGGAAGCACCGCAGGGCTGGCGCAGGGCTCGAAGTAGGGCTCCAGGCAGCACGACTGGAGGCTGCGCGAAACAGCAGGGAGGGCCGCGTCCACCACGGTGTGCAAACCCTGCTCAGAGCTGCGGTTGCTCCCCTCTGGTTCGCGCTTCCACGATCAGCCCCACCAAGGGTCTGTCTTAAACGGGACTGTGGGAGATACCATATATTCTCGCACTATTTTGATAATATTCTCATGCTGATGGACAAAAGGCGATGATTTGAGAGATTTTTCTAATGCGTTTTATCAAATGTTTGACAAATATTTGTCAAAAGCAGAAATTCAAACTTCGAAAATCAATGGAAAAATAGATAACCGTAATCTCACTAATTTTAACCAAGTTGGCAATCCAACAACTTTCTTTGATCTCGAATCTTGAGATAGCTCAATGTATCATTAAAACCTGAAACTGCCTCCAATTTTTGAACCACCTGAAAAGGACCACAATTTGTTTTTGTATGTACCGAAAATTGTCACTTTCTGCTTGTTATTTGCCCTTCTCTAACATGGCAATAGGGGATTCGCAGGTTATTGAAGACAGCGATATAATGTTTTTGCTTCTGATGAGGACTGCTAATAGTATATAATACAATGTTTCACATTTCGTGTTTCCTATCTTCTTTTGTCCAGGCGCGAACTTTCGGAAATTAGTCCTGTTCTCAGCTGAGCTGGCACTTGCACAAAACAAGTTTGAAATTTTTTTTTGTGAATTCAGTCTATTTTTGAGCATGCTAAGCTTCGCCATTTGATGTTGAGCCAAACCCACAAGTTCAGGTACATCTCGCAAAGAAAATAGAACTTATTATCCGGTAGATATTTTCTTAAAAGTGAATTCCAATCATCACTTACCGCTGCTTTATTCATATATCTCTCCTCTTTCCTAATTGGGTTGAGTCATAAGGGCCCTTCATCACGAAACTCCAGCACTGCCGCTTTCAGCAATTTCCAATGGGTGGCCCACCCATTTCAATCTTCCCATTCCGGCTGTTTTCTCTCGACGTGCATCCATTGTATCCATTGTATGGCTGAATCGCTCAACAATCGAACAATTGTTTATGCTTTCACCACCATAAACAACTGCTACAGATAATACTTCTATCATCCACTCTGCTAGATTAGTTTTGTCTCTTGATCGTTATTTAAAATTTATCGCCACTTTTAATTTTCTAAACTTTCTTGCTATAAATTTCGTTTATCCAAAAAATAATCCATTTTCTTTCTTCTTCGTAACCCATCCTTCACTCTATTTCTAAATTTCTTGGAATCTCTTGGAATTTTCACAAGGCTTTATCATTGTTTATCGTTTCCACTTTATTATTTTCATCTCAATTGTAAATAATCAATTATATTTTCATATTTTCATATTTTCATATTTTCATATTTTCATATTATTACAATTATTATAATTATTACATAATAATATTACTATACCACTCTACTATCATCTTATCATACTAGATACCAAAACCAACTCATATTTTGGGGCAGAATAGTCCCCACCAATACTAAATCAAAAATAACCCATCAATTCAACCACTTAGTATCTGATTCTCTGCACATCTCCTAATTCATTTCTTGAAACTTAATTCAACTATTTAAAAAATGAGTCAACAGGTATCTTGAGTCTTAAAAATTTTGAATATCCGGCTGTTTTTCTCTCTCTCTCTCTTGGTTACTTTTCTTTTTTTCAAAAAAACGTGAATAAAACACTTAACTTTCTTCCTTATAAGCCCATTTTTTTGCTTTTAATACTTCCAATCATCTTTATGGATAATTTAAAAATAATTCCAATCCTTTCAATATCAATATTTTCACTAAAAACGTTTCTTGCCCTTTTTTGATCACGAAAATTTTAGAAATCTGTAACTTTATAACTTTATAACTTTATAATTTGGTATTATCTTATCAAGCAAGAAATCGCTTGACAAAAAAATTCCTCTACCCTAAAAGTTGGCACAAAATCCTTTATGAATCAAAAATAATTGAAAAAAAAACAAAAAAACAAAAAAACAAAAAAACAAAAAAAGGAAAAACACAGTGTCGTCTAATTCACTCCAAGAAATCCCGAATTTTAAAAATTTAACCAAAACAGAAAAATTTCAAAAAAAAAAATTTCCGAAAAACTTATTCTTATGTGCCCAAAAACCATCATAAGCAGTCATACTTTTATCTTATGCCAACCAAAAGTCATTTCACAGTTTAAACTAAATCATTTTAGTTAAATAGGAAAGTGGGTGGTGAACCAACAAAAATAATTCAAGCAAAAAGTTATTTTTTCTTTTTTTTCTTCAACTCATGAATAGAAAACAAAATAGGTGATACAGTTTAGAAATGGCTCAAAATTGTACTTTTTATTTTGTGTGAATAATATAATTATTAGTAATTGACTTCTTTAGAAAAAAGAGAAAGGAAAATAAAATGAAATCAAATAAAATCAAATAAAATCAAATAAAATCAAATTTCCACAAGTTTTTGATAATAAAACTGTTTGAAAAATTGAAAAATATCTTTTAAAAGAGCTATTCATTTTGTTACTTTATTTTCAGATTGATTAGCTTAATAATTTTAGAATTTGTCCAATTTTTACCAAAAGCAAGATTAGTGGTGATAATATTTGAGATGATTAGATGCTGTTCTTTATTGCTAAAACTACTTAATAAGATTGAAATTGAGCAAATATTTTTTATTGGGATCTATTAGAAAAGAGTTTTTTTGTTCAAATATTCATTATTTCAATAATTAATGTAAAAAAAAGCAGCAAATAATTTATTAAAAAATATTTGTGATTAATGATTGATTAAAAATTGATTAAAAATTGATTAATGATTGATTGAAAATTGATTAAAAATTGATTAAAGATTTTTGTTCTGGATAAGGTGTGATTTGAAAAGAATAAAAAAGTTATTTAAACTCTTAGTCAATAAATGTGTCAATGAGATTTTCAAAAGGATTTAATGCCATTTCAAGGAAAAGCACCAGTAGACAGTTTCCTATAAAAATGATAGGTTCTTAAGTAGTGTGTGAAATAAATTAGATAATTAATTAGTGGAATTGAAAAAATAATTGAATAGAAAGTATGTTGAACAAGGAAATAGTTTCTTAATTGAGCAGAGCTCGGGAGATATATCTCCTTTTGTTTAGATGTCAATAGAATTAGGTTTTGCAAAACAATCAAGATACTGACTAAATTAGATGATGAGGAAAAATCAAGAACTCAGAGGATAAATAAATCGAGGTTGCAAAAAGTTTGACATGTTTAAGATATAAAGAGTGGTTTTTCCATGTTAATATTGTTATAATAAAGTTTAAAACCTCACTATTTCAACTGTGCTTTTTCCAGAATAATGATAGAGTTGTAGTTTTGAGGAACCAATTATTACGAATTTGTATGAAATAGCTGGAAATCTCGTGAACAGATATAAAGCTAGGTAATAAGTTTAACAATAAAAATACACTGATTAACAATTTGACTGATCGATGATCGTGAAAAGTAAAGATAGTCCAATTAGTCAGTAAAAGAAGCAAAGAAATATTTTTTTTTGTATAAACTTGAGCTTGAGTATATCTTGATATATTTAAATGAAGGAATTTATTTATATTGTTACCATCAACAGCCTTGTGGTTTCCAGAAGATTGCAGAATTTGTTATTGGTGATGGAATTTGAGAAGACCATCCAAAGGGGACTCTTGCTCAAAAAGGAAATTGCAAATTTCTTTTCCTTTTGTCGTTCATGAAGAAAAATTCTGATATTCTATTCTGATATTCTGGGAGTGCCCAGTTGTTCTTTTATTGCTCTGAAACGTTAAATTTCTTTCATCAGTGAGATGCAACCCAAATGATGCAAATCATCGATACCATTATCAGCGGATTCGGTGAGTGTGCTGATAATAGAAGCATCTTGGTCTCTGTCCTTGTTTAGCACTGTGCAACCTCAAAGGCCTTGCTGCTGTTCGAGCCACTGTTCAGCACCATCCGGCAACACTTTCACCAACCTTTGTGTCTGTGTTGAAGAAGCTCCAGAAGAAACGCCTGCAAAACCACAGTTGTGTGCTTGATTCCAATTCCGGTCTTATCACGTGATGATTTGTCTAGTAGTCATGCTTTTTTCGGACTACGATCTGCCGCTGCTTCGCAAGGTGGTTTTGGAGAAGCTGGTGCAGAAAAGCTCTAGTTCCAGCCGGCGGAGAAGAACGTGCTCTTTCGTACCTTTGCGCCCATTCCTCTACTCCAGCTTCAGCTCTCTCCTGCTCATTTTCCTTCAAAGTGGTTCGATCGACGCACAGTGCACGTGACCACCGTTGCCTATTTTTCGAGTTTTTATACGACCTCAAACGAGACGCTTCAAGTGATAACCTTCTTGGATCTCGATATATATTTCCTCTTCACTTCTCCATATTTCTAGATTTATATTTTTTCATATTTCTGCATTTCTTTTTATATTATAATTTGCCGGCTTTTAATTTGCCCTGGGATTCGAGGGCTTTCATTCATCACTCTTCCTTCTCTTGACGCTGTCACTTTCGTTTTTTTTCTCTCTACTGCTCTTCCATCATCTCAGCCATTATCATATCAATAATTTTTATTTTTTAATCTGCAAATTTCTCGACTTTAGCCCGTTTCACCTCAGCTTGTTTGGTTTAATAACACCACAAAAGAATAATAATTACATCAATAAACCAGTAAATAAATAAATAAATAAATAAAATGAAAGATATAACTCCTGTCGATTTTGAAGTTATTGTGATTGGCGCTGGTGTCGTTGGTTCAGCTTTAGCTACATCATTGGCAAGATCCGGTCGAAAAGTTTTGTTGATCGAAAGAGATTGGGCTGAGCCAGATAGAATCGTCGGTGAATTATTGCAACCTGCAGGCCTCAGAGCTTTGAAATCGTTGAAATTAATACAAGCTGTTAACAACATCGATGCAATTCATGTTGATGGCTACTTCATATCCTTCTACAACAGATTTGTCACATTAAAATATCCCTATAAATCAGAAGTCCCAGTTACTTCAGAAATCATAAGAAATAATACATCTCAGAATTTCGATAATTACAAATCCCTATTAACCGACAAAACTCTAGATTCTGTTTTCTTTTCAAATTGTGAAAGAGAAAAGGGTGTTGCTTTTCATCATGGAAAATTCATATCAAATTTAAGATCCTTTTGCAAATCAGAAAAAAATATAACTTGTTTACAATCCTGTGTAACTGAAATCCTAAAAAATGACTTTGGCGAAGTAATTGGCGTTAAAACTTCCGACAATAGAAAATATTTCTCTCATTTAACTTGTATATCTGATGGTATCTTTTCAAAATTTAGAAAAATCTTAGATCCAAACAATATTCCAACTGTTTCCTCTCACTTTGTGGCCTTGACCCTTGAAAATGCAAAATTACCAGCTCCAAATCATGGCCATGTTATATTGGGCAAACATGCTCCAATTCTAATCTACCAAATATCCCCAACATCAACAAGAATATTATGTGCCTATCGCTCTACAAAACTACCTTCTATCAATGATCCAGAGTTTCAATCCTACTTGAATGCTACTGTATTATCTTCCTTACCCAAAGAAACACAACCTTCTTTCAGACACGCTTTAAAAACCTCGAGAATAAGAATCATGCCAAATTCCTATCTACCTGCAAAGAGAAACGACGTCCCCGGTTGTTTATTAATCGGTGATGCTTTGAACATGAGACATCCTCTAACTGGCGGTGGTATGACTGTTGGCCTCAGCGATGTTGCTTTGATTTGCAAAATCCTCTCTCCTGAAAAAATTCCTTCCTTTGAAGATAAATCAATTGTTTTGGATTCAATCCAAGATTTCCATTACCAAAGAAAATCTCTTGATTCTGTAATCAATGTCTTGTCTATAGCATTGTATGCTTTATTTCAAGCTGATTCAAAATATTTACAAATTTTGCAAAATGGTTGTTTTAATTATTTTCTTTGTGGTAATGAATGTGTTGAAATACCTATGGGCTTATTATCAGGTTTGCTTCCAAAACCCTTTTTATTATTCAAACACTTTTTTTCTGTTGCCATTTATTCTGTCATTTGCAATTTTAAACAAAGAGGTTTATTTGGTTTTCCCATCGCTTTATTCGAAGCTATTTTAACTTTTTATACTGCAATTGTAGTATTTGTCCCTTATTTATGGGTTGAATTGGTCTCATAATTTTTTTCACAATCCTTTAATTTAACATTATTTTACACATATTCTTTTATCTAACTCCTTACTATTCTATACTCTGCTGAATAAATCTCTTTTATTTTTTTATTTTTTTATTTTAAGTTTATATTTGTATTTTTTGAAATTGTTAAAAAGAGAAATGAGCAAAGGAAAATAAGCAAAGGGAATATATGTATAACAATAAAATAAAGCAAATTGAAATGGTTGAAATGGTTAAAATGCAAAATTCATAAAAGAAAAAAAGTAAAAAGAAAAAAAAAATCAAAAAAGGAAAAAAAAATCAAAGAATTAAAATTATTCTCATCCAATTAATCCATCGTTTTCCAAAACAGGAACACACAAAACATCTGAAGAAGATCTGAGATTATAAATAATGCGATTATCAACGATGTAAACATTTCTATTACAAAGTTCTTTCGTATCTTTCAGATTGAGCCTTGAAGTCATACCTAAAATGAGTTGATATAATTGAGATTTTGGAATTTTATGTTTGCAAAGGAACAAGTGGGGTTTAAAATAGTGTTTTGAAAAACAACTTAACCATGAATAGCCTCCTAAATCTTCATGAATCAAATCTAATTCATAATTGTTAAACTTTTGATAGTTATTTTTAATGTGTTCAGTGAATAGAGAAATATAATTGAGAATTGATTTATAATTTTTGTAAAAAAGAGGATTAATTTGAATATTTTGAGAAATGTTATAGTATACTTTCAAATCGAACCAACAATCCATTGAGTTAATTGGAATAAGGTCTTGATTTTTTTCGTGAGTTATAATTGGTTTTGATAGATTAAATATTGATTGATAATTGTCGCAAATTACTTTATACACATTAGTTTTAAGATCTAATTTTTTTCTTAAAGTAAAATAAGATAACATTTTAAAAGGTTCAATATTGCTAGCAGATTTATAAAGAGAAAAACAGTCTGCTTTTGGTTTTGATTGAAATATTCTGGGATCAATTAACATAGTGGTATCAATTTTGTTTAAAATATTTGATTGGATTATTGGAAAGGAATTTTTAATCACGTCATTAAAAGATTTCAAGCCATTCACTGAATAATTGATTGTAATTTTATTTTTAATTTTGTTTAAATCAACGGGTGTGGCAATGAGAAAGTCAAAAACCGGATTATTATTTTCAGCAAGTTTAGAAGCGTAATTTTTGATACTTTCCTTCTGATCAATACTATTTTTATTATGATCGTTGATATCTTCATCTTTATCATCATTAACGAGTTGAATACAATTGGGATAATTTTGTGGGGAATCAAAATCAATCTTTTGAAAAGTTAAATTAATAGTAACATTAATGATGTATTTTTTATTCTGACTATTATTATTATTATTATTATTTGGATTAAAATTGTCCAAATTAAACTTGAACGTGGTTTTATCGTCTTCTTCAGTCATTGTCATACATTCAGTAAAGATTTCTTGAATAACGTTGGTGATAAGTCTATAAGAATGATAACGAGCAAATTTTTTAGATTTGTATAATTCAGTAATGATTAAGGGAGTAATGAAATCGCCATAATTGTAATCTAGATAGTAAAATCCAGACATTGTTGAATAATAAGATAAAGTTGATAAGATGTAATCGCCATTATAATTACAAAATTTTGAATGAAAATTTAAAAGTGAGTCGCATCGAGTCATCATTTTGTGAAAACCAATGGTTTTATTGGATGGAAGAGCCAAATTTTTTAATTTTTTTTCAAGATAAATAGATCTTTGATCGGAATTTATATTATAATTTGTGTCCAATTTGATTTTTTGAATTAAAGATTGATTATCTATGTCAATTAAGATGGGTTTATCGTCAAGAGCGTTCCACATTTTCTTTTCAAAAGAAGTAAAGCCTTTATATAAATCATATTTTCCAACGTTTTTAAAACACTCCTCATCGGTTTCAGGCCTAAATATTTGGAAATTGGATAATACAGAAAGGGATGAAGTTGTCTCGGAAACATAATCACGCATTGAAGAGGAAAGTAAAGAAAAAGCTTGAGATTTGGCAGCATTCAAACCAATTGATTTAAGTGCTTCTAGAAATGCTTTTTTGATATCAAAATATTTCATAGCATGGTACAAGACACAGTCAAACACCAACAACAGCAAATACCTGAGAAAATAATGAGAGGCGGGCTTGTGAAGATCAAAAGGAAGTGTTTGATCAATTAGACATGCTAACATCAATACCACTGCAATGAGGTCCCAGTCCATTGCTATTGAGCTGATCTTAGGACGTTGATGATTGAAATAATTGAAATAATTGAAATAATGGAAATAATTGAGATGGTTGAGATTATAATCGAAAATTAAGCGCCGACAAATATTGTCTTCAATATTCAATATATCACGTGCATATAGCGTGATTTGAGCTTTTTAGAGCTTTTGTCGCTTAGAGACAAGAAAGACACAGTTGGAGCAGCAAAAGAGGAAGAGAAAGAAGAAAAAAAGAGGGAAAAGCAGCAATGTTTTCGTTAATCAGCTCGTCCAGCTTGTATGTTCCTGTTGAGGTGCTGTCTTGCATCAAGGGGTTTTTTGTGGCCAGCAGAAAGTTGTCACTTTTGTCCAATTTGACGCCCTCTAAAAACTCCACTCGAAAGTTTAAGAGAGTGGGTAGAGGTCCTGGTTCAGGAAGAGGTAAGACTTCCACCAGAGGTCAAAAGGGTCAAAAGGCCAGAGGTTCTGTTCAGCCATGGTTTGAAGGTGGTCAGACTCCCATAACAAGATTATTTCGAAAAATCGGTTTCAAGACCAATAAACTAAAGCTCGATGAGTTGAATCTTGAAAGAATTCAGCATTTCTATTTAGATGGAAGATTGAGCCCCTTCCTTGAAAATAATAAAGTTTTGGATATGAGAGGAATGAAACAAATTGGCTTGATCACATCCTCTATTCGGGCTGGCATCAAAATCATCGGTCGAGGCAAAGAAGAGTTTTCAGTTCCTAACTTGAGAATAGAAGCCAACAGAGCTTCAAAAGACGCAGTTGCAGCTATTGAAAAATGCGGTGGAGATTTTACTGCAAGATATTTCACACCTTCATATTTGAGATCTCATTTAAATCCCAACAAATATTTAGAAAAATACGGTCGATTGCCTTTACCACCAAGACCAACAAAACAAAAGGATATAGACTACTATAGTGATATGGAAAACAGAGGCTATTTAATCAAAGAAAACGATCCTTATTTGAAACTCGTCAGAGGTGCTGCAAGCACTTCAAGATCTACAGCCTCTACAAAGAAAACTGCTTTGGAAAGTCAAGCTAAAGAGATTAAAGCTCAATCAAAGCCAATTGCTGCTCATAAATCAAACCTAATAAACTTACAACAGTATCTTCGCATGCAATGATATTTAAATATTATCTATAAATTATTTAGCCATGTTTATCATGTTTATTATTTTTCATTGTATATATCTCATAACTATATTCAGAATAAATACCACAAATATTCTTGCTGAATATACTCATTAAAAGCCCGTTTTTCTCTGTGATCGGTTTGTAAAATCTCAGTTGAATTTCAATTTTCATTCGTCAGATAAATTTTCTACTCTCGCTCTCATGCAGTGGTGTTTATTCTTTTATTTCAATATCGATTCTTTTTTATTACTTTGGTTATTATTATCAATATTATTGTTGTTTTCGTGATAATGAATATCTTATTTAGAAGAAATGTACTTGGAAACACTCGCACATTTGCACTATCTTCCAAAAATATCGTTAAACAAACCGCAACACCAAACCATCTCCACAATATAAATAACTCGAAATATCCCTATAATAATCGTTTTCAACTGATAAATAAGAGAGATTTTACTCTGATAACATCTTTTGCCGAAGTTCTCCCAGTATTAACTCAATCGTTTAATAACTTGCATGCATATAGTGGTTTACCCTGGTGGCTTTTTATACCTGCTTCAACTTTTGTCTTAAGAACCTTTATCACTTTGCCATTTAGTATTTCAAATAGAATTCGACTTAGAAAACAAAATGAATTAAAACCCGTTATAAATTCAATGGTTCCTGTTTTCAAATACAAATTGATCACTGAAATGCTACTGAGAAGAAAAAAAAGTGAAAAAAATTTAATTCCTCAAACTTCTCTGGATTTAGTGTCCTATGAACAAATTCTTTTATTAGCTTTGACCGAAAAAAGAAAAAGATCCAAATTCTTATTTAAAAAATACAAATGTCAAAATTGGAAAAATCTAATATTACCAACTATTCAAATCCCACTATGGATAACTCTTTCCCTTATTATTCGTGAGCTTTCGGGCTGGAAAAATATCTTGTCTAGATCAACTGATCTTGTCTCAATTGAACCAACTTTAATCAATGAGGGTGGGTTTTTATGGATATCTGACTATTCATTATCTGATCCTTATTGTGTATTTCCAATTATTCTAGGCTTAATTTCGGTCACGAATATTGAATGGCTATCAAGATATGTTTTCAATAATGGTTCTGGTCAAAACTCAATTCTGGGTGTTAGAAACAGTCTTTCAAATAGAAGGTTGACAGTTTTTGATAGTATTACAAACATATCAAGACTTTCGGTTGTATTCATGATTGGTATTTCTTTCAATGCTCCAGTTCTGATTGTCTTGTATTGGATATGTTCTAACATTTATTCATTGGTACAAAATATATTTTTAGAATATTTTTTACCAATTAGATATCAGCCTTACAATCGTAATTGGACCTCGAATAACTTTAAAGTTAATGATAATGAATTGAATAAGCTTCAAGAAATGATAAATGATTCAAAAATATTACCCTTGGTGAATAAAGAAAAATTGGATATCGATTCTCAATTGGAAAAATTTAGCATTGAACAAAAACAAAATGGCAAAGAATTGGCTGATCTCACAAAGAATTGAACAAAAGTTTGTAAATATAAAAAACAAAAACCAACAAAAAAAACAAAAAAAACATGAATCTATAATACAAAGAATACTGTTATTTTGAGTGTTGTAAATAGTAAAGAATATAGAGCATTTTATAATTTGTTTGAATACAAGTGCCAGTTAATAAAAAGACCATAGGTTTGGATCATGCTTTTCTCTGCATATTAACTTGGGATCCACTCAAAAGGGAACTAATCAGCTGATATTACAGTTTTCACTGAATTTTCAAATCATATCTGAAGAGATTCTTTAACATCCAGTCTGTGGTGGAAATAGACAGGGAATTATTGAAAGTAGCATCCAAGATGATTTATTTGAAGACGATGTTAAAGGTGATAGACAATTCAGGAGCACAGCTTGCTGAATGTATTAAAGTCATGAGAAAATCGCCCATGAACTGTGGTAGACTAGGCGACCGAATTGTTGTTGTCATTCAAAAAGCCAAACCAATATCCTCACAAATTACTGGTATATCTGGTGCTAATCGAGTAAAACGAGGTGATATTGTTCATGCAGTAATTGTTAGACAAAGACAAAATTATCAAAGAAAGGATGGAAGTGTTGTAAAATTTGATGACAATGCCTGTGTTTTAATAAACAAGAATAACAATGATCCAATTGGAACCCGAATCGGTAGCTGTATTGCCAAAGAGGTAAGAATGAAGAATTATAATAAAATTGCTGCATTAGCTCCAAAGGTTTTGTGAAATATTTGGCGTTTCTTGATTTATTTCCATTCTTGTATATATTTATATAGTAAACCGATAATAGGTATTTTCTACTGTAAAACGCTATAAACTTAATATAAGTTATGTAAAATTTCTATATTCAAACATATATCAAGACATATTTACAAAGAAACAAGGGGAAAAACCAAAAATGAAATGGATAATGTGAAATGATATGATATCCAGACTGGATATCATTTTCAAATCAATAAACAGGTCTTTTAGATGGATGTTGTATGGTTATTAACTGATCTTGGGGAACTTTTGTAGCCTTAGTTGTTTCAACAAATTCTTTGAAAATAGTTGCAGGATTTTTGTTTTTGCAGTCAATAACTTTATCGTCGCCTTTTTTAAATTTAATAGTTAATTCACATGGCACTTTTGAATAATATTTCTCCAATTTTTCACCCTTTTTGGTGCCAATCTTAACTCTTGTAACATTTATTGGTAGGGTAGGATTGTAGAATTGTAAAGTTGGTAAATAGTTGTGCCAAAACTTCCTCAAGGACATATGACCACCAATATTATCCTTTTTAAATAACAAACTTATTGAATTAATTCGACTTGCATCGATTTTGTAGGCAGATGGACCATTTGAGATAGAATTAAGTCTATTAAGTTGTTTAGTTAACCTTGATAAACCAAAAGTGTTTTTTATAATCTGATTTGTGTGTCTTCTTCCGGGCATTTTGGAAATAATTTGTATCTGGCAAATCTTTCTAATAAATATATATAAATACCTATATATATGTTATATAAATTTATTATCAACTTATTGAGATCATTGGATTTAGATAGTTTTCAATAATTTTCAATAAGTCAAAACTTAACACGTGATGTGAAGTAGTGAAGTATATTTTTTTGATTGGAGTTGATACAATTTGATTATATTGTTGGTTGATTGTAGTGTGCAGAATAGATATAGACATGTATATAATTCAATGCAGAATATTTGTTGTTGTTATTGAAATAAACACAGAAATTTAGTTTAAAATAAGAATTAAAAGTAGAAATAAATTTGGAAATAATTTGGAAATAATTTGGAAATAAAGTTGGAAATAAATTTGGAAATGAAAATAAAAATAAAATCGAAAATCGATGATTAAAATAAGTGTAAATAAAAAGGAAACCAAATAGAGAATTAATACCAGTAAATAATAAATGGTTTTATAGAATAAATAAAAATATAACAGCAGGTCTAGTAATATAGAATGATTAATCACAAACAAACAAAAACTAACTCAATAAAAAATTGGATAAAAGGATAATCACTCTTCATCAACATCTAACCAGTCTCTTTTATTTTGAGAAGATGCAGTGGAGAAAATTCTAATAGGTTTTTGTAATTTATCAGCAGCTGCATACCAACCACCATTTTCACTTGGATAAGGTTGGGCAGTTGCATAATTATAAAAAGAGTTTCTTGAGTAAGACCAATCTGGCGTTATGGTTGAATAAACCAAAGGAGATGGGTAAATTGTTGAAAAATAAGAAACAGCACTAGTTGGAAATTTTCTTGACCAGGTTGAAGCAGTGACAACAGAACCAGGTTGAGTTTGCATAGGGGCGAATCTGTAACTACCAGTTTGTAGAAGATATGGCACTGTCAATGAAGCAGTGGCATTCATTGTCGTTAGAGGGTCATCAGTGAATGATGATGAAAGTGATGATGAAAGTGATGATGATGACGATGATGTGGTTTTAGTTCCTTTGACACTGGATAACGTTGAACTCAGAGGACTAGGTGCAGTATCATCGACAGAGCCACTGGATTCAGTAGTACCATTCATACCAGTTAGTGTAAATCGATTCGAATAATGGACTGTATAACCATTATCATCAGCTAAGATACCATAGACTTGAATAAAATAAGCTCCATCAGTTCCAACCGTACTTGGAATATTAGCAGTATAAGAGGTTCCAGAAACAGTGATGTAATAATCTAATACAGACAAAGCAACCACATCATCGTTTGGACCAGTGCATAGAGAGAAGGTGTAATACTCAAATTCTGATAGATATGGAGATTCACCAGATTCCTCCCAAGTAACTTTAACTTGAGTATAACCATCTTCATCCACCTCATAAGACTGTGCAGCAGTTGGTGTTAGAATATCAATATCACCAAAGCAATGTATTGCAGAAAATATGATCAAACATTGCAAGAAAATAGAATAGTATGTTATCCTGTTCATTTTTGTTTTTTGTCTCCTTTATTTGTCTCTTTTTAAGAGTCTTTTGATGACATGAAATTAGTGAAGTGGTTCAATTAACAAACAATTAATGGTATCCGAAATAAAAACAAAAAAAAGGGGAAAGTAGACTTATCTTTCGAAACACAATGAAAGAAAAACAGACAAGCTTTTAGCAAAAACCAGTAGTAAAATTCAATTTAGTAAGAGGAATATTTTTCGAATTAACTTCAATTATTCACTTTTTGGAGTCAGACGAAGAAATTGAGACCAAAAGCCAAACCAAGATGGAAGAAGTACCATATACGTGTGAGTGTATGAAAATGCATGTGCCGCGTACGTCTGTCTTGTTTGAAAAAAGCCTGTTGGTTTTCGAGCACAGTGGTTGATAGAGAACCAGCAGATTTGTGACAAGATGAAGTTGCTTGAGCACCAAAATCACAACCAACATTATCACAGGAAGAGGGTTTGTTGCTTTTCAGCTTTTTTTGAGTGCTTCCAGCATCCACTGGCTGGGTGCAAAAGGCCTGGCTTTTCGTGCTGAGAGTGTCAAGATGCACGTGCTGCTGGTTTTTCCAACTTTATGACTTCAAAACTATTACAAAGTGGGAAGGTAATACCATGGTCCAAACTAGGCAGGTATTTGCGAAATATAACGTGACCAAAGGGCCGGGCAACCCTTGAAAATAACTACTTTCTATTGTTAAGGAGATTGTATAGAAATAAGACAAAAAAGTCCCAACTTGATTTTAAACAATCAAACATCAAAACAGACACAATTTTAAATGCCATATCAATCATGGATAAGTTTCCTTTCATTCAAATCAAAGATGTTAAGCTTATTATAAAGGCTATTAATAGTTTGAGCAAATCTATTTCCATATTAGTAAATAGCTGCATAGATAAAGATGATTATAGGAAACAGTTGAGAGCACTATCTAATCTCCAAGCCGATTCTGTCAAAAATGGAACCTATTTTGAAACTGAAAAACAAGACTTATTAAAATTATTGAGTACTCCTCAAATGAAACTCGCTTGTCAGTTGGCAAGTCATTATAAAGAGAGCAAATTGGTTATTTTCAAGCAGATTATCGAGTATCCTTTAAATATAGCAAAAGATGATTTAGCCGATTTGGATAGATACTATTCCAATGATATTCCAAACACAGATTATAATAAAAATGAGCGTAATACTGTGCTCAATCCCATGAATATTATTTTCGAAAATCCTTTAAAATCAATGCTCCCTTTAAATTTTGAAAATCTTCCAAACAATACTTTTTTTAATCCAGATTTAGTTTTACCTTTAATATTTCAAAGCAAGTTTAATCATTTGAAAAAATTCGCCAGTCTCGAATATAACAAATCAGTTGAAAACAATTTTCGCTTAATCAATTTGGGTAAATCTTTTTACAAATACTCTTTATTTTATTTTTTGAATCACAAAATCAACGATTTAAGTATTGAAAAGATATTTTCCATATATTTTTCAATGTTTGATGTAAGGTTTATTTCAAATTTTTTTTTTTATTTTCAAATAGATAAAAAATTAATTTCTTATTTGTCAACACAAAATTTAACTGATATCACAATTAAAAATGTAGAAGAAATTTTATCCTCAAATTTCTTAAGCTACTTTGATATTTTAAATTTATTTTCCAATTTTTTTTTCTCATCTCTTGGTGCATCCATTTATCTAGAAAACAATTTCAATTTTGCTTATGAAATAGTTCAAACTTTATTTATTATCTATCGTGACAGCTTTAAGAATAATTTTGAGCAGGATCCTAAAAACAGTTTTAAAAACAATTTGAGATTTGAGTTTAATGATGAATTTTTAATTGATGATAATAATCGAAAACACTTTTCATTTGAGAATTTAGAAAATAATGAAATTTATAATGAAGTTCCAAATCTTAAAATAGAGCTGAGTAAATATGATCAATTTAAAAAAACTTTTAATCACCCTGATGCTTATGATATTTTTGAACTTCGAAAATCAATAAAATCGATAGATAACTGTGCCTTTTTATTTCAACAACAAAGTGGATCTTTTTATAAAGTTCGCTTAACTCCTTTGGGCTATTTTGTTTCAGTTGGATATGGGACATCGATAGAAGAAGCTGAATACTATTGTACTAAAAATTGTTTAAAAAATCTCAAAAAATTGGAACAAATTATTGAAAATAGTCACCAAAATACATTATATACGAATCAAATTATCAAGTTGATTTGTTCGCTTAAAGAAAAATATAATATTTTGGATAATTTTGACACAAATGATATTGAAATGGAAAATAAAACTGAAAAGGATAAAGCAAGTGGCTATAATAGCGATTATAATGCAGGCCAAGAGGAATTTAAAAAGGAAACTCATCATGATCAATCATCAAATTCACCAGAACAAAATTATCAACAAACATTTTCAAGTGCTAGTTCTAGTTCGAATTTAAATCCAGGTTTTAATTCAAATGCAAACATATTAAATATTGATTGGGATGCTAAGAATAAATTGTATGGAAAACTAGGTAAAGTCAAACTCATCCCAATTTATCGATTTGATTTAGTTTCTGGACGCAGTCGTGCAAGAATTTATGTTCGAAATAATTTGTTAGGAGAAGGAGTTGGGCAAAACAAAAAACATTCTGCTCAAATAGCTGCGATGAATGCATTAAAAAATACTGATATTTTAAATAATTTGAGAAACGAGGACTTGGATTAATTTTCGATAAATAAATTATTGAAAAACATTACAATAAAATAAGACTTGGAAACTTTCGAGTAGCAAGATTTTAGAACTGAATTGGATTGAGTGAATGGGAAAGCTTTTATTGAGTTAAATTTGGTTATCTAAATGGTCTAAATGGTAAATGATAAAAAAAAATAATAAAAAATAATAAAAAAAGAAAAGCAAATTGGGTTTGAATCTTTTAATAAAAGATGAGATGTTATCAATGTTTGTTCATGAATGTTTGTTCATGAATGTTTTTTTAGAGAGCATTTTGATTGACTCATGTGACTGTTCATTGAGTTGATGGTTAATGGTTATTGATTGATGTATTATATGTGTTTGAAGATTTTCCATCAGCTCGGAGTTCGGAAAATATGTGTAAATTAGTAAATTAGTAAATTAGTAAATTTTTAATATAGTGTATCTCTATATAGATGAGATTTAAAGAAAATATTTCTTTGATTTTGTATTTTAACATAATTCAACTGATATTTCAGTAGATGTTCATTAAATTTTCAGCGGTTTATCAGTGGTTATTCAAAATCGATTCGACATCAAGTGCTTTTGGGAAGCATGTTCCATAGCGATGGACTTTATAAGATCGAAGTCAGCAGAAGCACTTGTTTGAAGATCAGCACAGAAAGAGCTGGTCTAAACTAGGCTGGACAGGCCAGGACTGGCTCGTTGTGATTTTCATCTGTAATCTCCAGCTGACTGAATGATTCGCAAGAGATTCTGAAGGAACTGTAAAAGATTATGATCAAACCGCAAACTGTGACAAACCTCGCACCGCTAAAGAAATACCTGATGGATGCCTGATAGATGCCCCACAGAGAGAATAGTCCCTTAGGGCTGTTGCTGCCACCAGCCACAGCGGACTGCTGAGAAAAACAGGCACTTCCGTAGCTTTGCATCGTCCCGCGACCGGCTATCAGAACCGCAGATGCTGCAGAAACCGCTGCAGAGGCTGTTTTTCTGGAGAAGTGAAGCCGGCACTCAACAGTGGTCTGGTCTGTTTCAGATATTATCTGCTTTTCCTGCCGCCATCGCAGTAGCTTTTGCTACAGCTGCTGCTGCAACTGCCACTGCCGTCAGGCGGGGATTGTAATGTATGGACTTCTCGCCTCTTTACTATCCGGAGCGATATTTGGACACCAGCCGATGACTTCTGCCGTAACAGACATGCAGGACCACATATGTATGTGTGCAGTAGCAGTAGCAGTACCCCGCGTAGAAGTCGGGCTGCACGCAGTTGCGTTTTTTCGGGGCTAGTTCCAGCCGGACGGAACAACTGCGTTCTGATAGTGGGATATTCAACTACGAAGATGGATCTGTTGAAACTGGTATAAGCTGTTTGTCGAATCAGTGCTGAACATCCAATAGTTGTCCTCCAACTGTCTCTTGCTCTCTGAGGTTGTTTGCTGCTGTTGTTCTGGTTTGTGGTGTGTGTTATCCCCCCTGCTCACTCCATATATCGATTTCAAGTTTATCCACTGGGTAATTGGTTGCTGTGAATCCCCAAAGCATCCTCAGCAAATTCCCCAAGGAACACTCAAAGAATCCTAAAATATTACAGTCGTGCATACTCTCTAATAATCTCCAATAATCTCCAGTAATTTCAAACAAACTCAAGTAGGTTTTGTTCTGTTAAAGCTCCTGGGCCTTATTGCTTCTTATTTCTCGTTTTTCCTTTATTTGAATTGCATCAAAAGGTTGAGAGATCCTTCTTTTTATCTGAAACCTAATTTTTCTGACTTCTAAAACAAACTACTTAGTAACTTTTGGGCTTTGGATTCTAAACTTCACCTTCCCTCTATTCATTTTCTTTTTTATTTCCATTCTATTTCCAATCCTCATCTTCAATTTGTTTTTAGCCTATTTGTTTATTTTCCTTCTATTGTGATTCACAGCTCCAACAAAAAGGCAGAACCAAAGAAAAAGAAAAAGAAAAAGAAAAAGAAAAAGAAAAAGAAAAAAAGGAAAAGGAAAACCAATAGAATAATAAAAACAATAATAATCACAAAAGAAATAAATATTATTTTTTTTTGGATTATTCTTGTTGATATATAATAATTATTCATTTATCCATTCAAAAATTTTGGTACTGATCACTTGATAAATATTTGATGAATTCCATTCAATAAAACAGTTTTATCTTTAATCTACCTCATATGTTTCCTTTTTCTAAATTATAAATAAAAAAAAAAGAAAATTTCTTCAAAATAATGTCAAATTCAAATTCAAATTCAAGCTCATGCTCAAGCTCAAGCTCATGTTCACATTCAAATTCAAATTCAAGTCTAAGTCTAAATAAAACTAATAAGATCAATAGAACTAATAAAAATAAACCTAATAAAAATGATAATACAGATAACAATATTAACGATAAGAACAATACTAATGATAAAAAATTAAAAAATAACCCCAAAGATAAAGATAACAAAGAAAAGGAAAAAATAAAAATCACAATAGACAAAAAAATTCCTGATCCTCCCAATGATCCAACAGTAGTTAAAAAGAAAAAAACAAGAACAAGAAATGGCTGCTTAACATGTCGTGATCGTCATTTAAAATGTGACGAAGCAGAACCAATTTGTCTAAATTGTTTAAAGACCTCAAGAAAATGTGTCAGAGGCTTGAGATTGAATTTCATTAAATGCGAAATCTTCGCTGATTTCAAACCAGCATACCTACTCTCAAATAACTATCACAGCAATCTTAATCTTCCAAACCTCGATAATCTTAGCATTGAAAATCTCAACGACATTGATACAGATATCTCAGTTGACACATTAATGAACCAAAAAATTGACACTGAAATTCCTCACAATATCACCTTTAATGATGATTCCTTTATAGACCAATCAATAACCGTCTCCTCTTATTATCTAAATGGTTTTGATAAATACAAAAATTATCTAAAATACCACGATGAAAAAAAACTATTAAAAAGCAAAATTGAATTCGAAAACGATATAAATATCAACATTAACAACTTTATTAAACGTCAAGAAAAAATAAAAAGAAAATTCCTTAAAAAAAAATTAAAACTAAATCAATTGAAAAATCAGATAAATAAAAGGTCCTCCTCTCAAATTAATAACTTGCTTACTCCCTCCCAAAAGTCTTTTAAAAGACCAAAAATGAGCAAATCGTTATCTGTTTTAGCTGTTTCCTCAACCTCTATTTCTACTTCAACTTCAAACTCTACTGCAAACTCAACGCCAACACCAACACCAAACTCAGGCATTATTCCTCTGGCTTCAAATTCAATCATAACATCTAACATCGACGATATTAACAATAATAACTTCATTGCCTTATCCATCAATCTGCATACATCAGACTTTTCATCTCATCCTTCACAGCGACTTCAACATCAATCATTCCAGCAGCTCCAACAGTTCCAACAGCAGCCACAGCAGCACCAACCAAATCATATTTTGCAACCGTTGTCCATAACACAATCATTTCAGCATATACAACCCATTACAAATTTACATGACCAATCTTCTGCCATAAATATAAATAATAATCTATCTCTTAAGAACATCAATTTACCAGACTACACTTCAATGTCTTTTCACCCAGCTCAAAACCAACAAAGCTCTCTATCATATGAACCTCAAATAGAGGACAGATATCAATTTTGCTCTTATGACCATAACATAAACTTAATCAATAATTACATTAATGAAACAGATCATGTTTCAAACATGAACACATTAACTCTTAATCAGTTTTCTCAATCCAACAATCTAGCCTATAATCAACTATTTAGCAATATTATCGACCAAAATAATAATAGTAATAATAACAATAATACAAATTTTTTGTCACATTCAGATTCCAAATCCTTTTCGGATTTTGATTATAAAGATGGTTTTGATATTTTCAGTGATTATCGATTTTTACATGGAATGAATGAAAACACAAGTTTCCTCAGTTCAATTGAAAAACCGCAAGATTCAAATATTGATTTTCAACCAGTCCAGTCAATTCAACATGTCCAGATTGCTTCATCTGATACAGCTACATCAATTTTTTCATCGGTTTCTTCTTTGCCACAATCCAAGCAATTTGTTCAACAAAATACTCTACAGCCTCAAGTGTATAATGGTGTAGCTCAGCAAGTGCTAAATGAATCATTAACTGCAAATAAATTTTTTGAAGAGGATCAAGATATCAAATATTCTTATAACAATCAAAAATCACAATTGTCATTTTTTATGCCACAGCAGACTAAAATAGATCAATCTGGATTTATAAATTTGCAAAACAATGATTTTAATACTTTGGATGATAACACTAACAATATTAGAATGCAAATCAAAGATTTACCAAATCCTTCTTTTAAATCAGATAAAGATTCACTCCTACTTTTAGGAGATACTGTTACATTAACTAATTTATCAGAAGCAAAACTTTATTCCAGTTTTATTGTCAATTCAACTCCATTTCTTGATTTATTTAACGATATTTCAATGTTTAAAAAAATTATTTCGACTCTTGGTCTTTTAAAAGACATTCCTCAAGCTAATTCGATTAATTGTAATGACAAAAATCTTTTATTTAATAGTTTGATATGCTGTGGAGCAAGTTGTTTTGGGTTTTCGCAATCAAAAGGACTAAATATGGATTCAACAATGCTTTTATATAGAAAGCTATCGTTGAATCTTCAAATGAATCTTTTTGATAATTTTTTCCAAAAAGGTTGGTCATTATTATCAAATGATTTTTTAAACAGCTTTAAAAACAATCAAAATCCGAATTTGTCCTCTTTGTACCAACAAAAACTAGAAGAATTCATTATAAGCTGTTCATTATTACTAAGTTCTAATCATTTTAATGGGACATCATTGATCAAGAAAAAATTAAGTGAAAATTTATCTAAAATTAAGAGTATAAACCGTAATGCAAATAATTCCTTGAATTTTTTGCTAAATCCAGAGTCTGAGATTCCAAGTATCAAATCAATAGACATTAAAAATTCAACAAGTTCGTTATCGACACCATGCTCCTCGAAAAATAGAGATGATTTTCAATTGTACTCAAAATTGATGGGTTTTATTAATTCAAATAATAAAGATAAACAAGTTCAAAGTTTTCTTTCAAATGAAACAGATTTAATTGTTTCTCTATTCAATGTTGATATTTTAAACGTAACCACCAATAAAATTTTCTGTTCAAACGATCTTTTTTATTTACCTTCAGTTGATAATGTTAAATATGGAAATCAGCAGTTCTATAATCCTAGCTGTTCTACGATAACTTCCTCATCTCCTTCGGGACGCACTATTTTTGATTCTACATCCTCTAAGGGGTCATTTTCGTCAATATCTCAGGCTGATGAAAATACGGATACCAAGAAGAATATTCTCAATTGCAATAGCGAGGAAACAAAATTTGCAACAAATGTTGATAATTCTTTAGGGTTTGGAAGTGAATTCAAAAATACCGAATCTCTTGATATCAGTATAATGAATCCGTTGATATTAACTGGTATTATAAAAAATTCACTAATAATTAAAAACTGTCTATGGACAATTTTTTCAATTGATTCCGTAAATTCATTGAACAATTATTCACGCCAACATTTTAATCCTTACATTTGGGAAAGTTTTCTCACAAAAGATGATGTTAGTAATGATGATTCCGAATTAAAATTTAAAACCCTAAGTTTAAGTGATAGTAATGAGTATTTAGATTTTAAATCAGAAACGTGGTTTTTAAGAAAAATGTTATTAATATTTTCCAAACTATTTTATTTTAAATTTATAATTGAAGATAAATTGAATTCTAATTACACTAATGATTTATACTCTCTATCATTCAGTCTTAAAAAATTCAACATATCGAGAGAATGGGAAATTTTGTACAATGAATTAAAAGGATATGAAAACAGATTATCGTTATTGTTGCAGCCTATTAATATTTGCGATGTAATTGGAAATAGTCCGTATAAAGATGAAGTTGAGAAATTTTTCTTTTTAATTAAGTTTAATTTTAATAATGACAAAACTGTATTATTTCATATTCTTCATCATTTAATCTACCTACTTGCTGAGAAGTTTTTAATTGATGACTTCCCATCAATTATTGATAAATATCAGCGTGAAACATCTAATCTGAATCATGCTGGAAAGTACTCTATTAATGTGAATAATGGAAAGGGTGAGAAATTAGATGATATTTATTCTGTTGATATTGAGCATTTTGATTATGAGAAAATCCGATGCATTGAAGATATTAATGGATTGAAATCATTTTTTAGATTGACAACCAGCGATAAATCTGATGGTGAAAATGGCGCAGATAACCAATGCAGCTTAGCAGGATTTTATCAAAATGCTATCAATATGAAATACAGTAGTTTAAAGACCAAACCATTTTTCCAAGAACTAAACGTGGATTTAAATTCATTAAGCAATCCCATAGCATGTAATATAAGAAGATTGATCTCAATGTTTCTATTGGATAGGTATGAATATCAAAGTAAACATTATGAAAACAATAATTATGCTATTTCTAAGGAGGAAGAAAATAATAAGAGCCAATTCATGGGCAGTGACACTGATTCTATTTTCGATAACTTCAATGGAATATTTGTCAATTTAGTGGATTGGTTTATGATGAAGACTGATTTTTCACAGTTAGAGCTTGATACGTTTCATGAGGTTTTAGCCGAAAAACTTTCCAGTTGATTGAATAATAAAAGCATGAGAACTTTTTATTTTTGATTTCTCTTTTGCCTGTCTCTTTTCGCAGGCTACTTTTTTATTTCTTATTTTTGTTTTAATATTGTTGAATATTAAATGACTTTATTAGTTATTTTCCACAGTTAAAATTATTTCAATTATTATATATTATACATACGGAAATCATTTTTTATACTTTGTTTTCTTCATTTTCAGTTATGAGAATCTTCGTTTTATTCATTTCTTTATTTTATTTTATCTTCTTATATTTATTAGTCTAGATAGAATCCTTTTGGAATTTCTCATGCAAATATTCAAATATTACCATCAAGGAAACTTCTTGCATGTTTTCAAGCACATTATGAAATTCTGCTGTTGAATGCACAAGATATATCGCTAGGTTTCATTCGAGGCAGAATTTCTTGAGATTCTTCTATGGTCAGTTAATTGGAAAGGAAATAACAAATGAATTGGTTAACAGAATTCCAAAAGCAACTCTTGTTGGTTGAATGTGTGAATCGTGGAATTCGATGTTGGACGCCGCCTGCAATAAGGTGCGTTGTGGTGCAGACGTACCGCAGCCACAAACACGTTACTTTAAGCAGACCGCTTAGTTGTGCTGGAGTGTGCGTTTGGAAGGCCGGTATGTGCGCGTTCGGCACTTTTACCTCTTCTATCGGGATACTGGTACCTTTTCATTTGAGGTTGAACTGAAATAACTTTTATGTTGGAGATGGTGATTGTCTTTAGAGGAGTGTTCATCACTTTGTGTTTGGCTGCAAAATGCTAGCATTTATGGAGCAATATTTGCCAGTCTGCAAAAAATGGTAATTTTATCCCCTTTTTGGGTTTTCCAGTCCAACCAGCTCCAGAATCCAGCCCTTTCTACAATCCATTCCGGTTTCCAAGTTATAGCAAGGAATTGTTTTATGGAGTATGGACTATACACTATACATATATTTATATATTTATATATTTATGTATGTAAAAAATTAATGATAATACACAACAAGAAGATAAATAGACACAAAATTGCAAGGGTAATTATAAGTTTGCAATTATTTAAACAATTACATTATTTTGCAGGAAAAAAAAAAATGTTGATATAAAATGTTAATAAAAATTTTGGAATTATTTTTGAAATCTGAATATTAATAAAAAGTAGAAAAGGAAATGACGATTAGGGGTTAAAAAGTGCTGAACGTGTTGGTTGACCATGAACGACAATCAAATGTTCCATTAATCTTTACAATTTCACTCATAACTTTGAATTCGTAAAACTAAAAGCTAAACTTTGGTTAAAAGGATTGATAATTTGAAGATTTTGTTCTGATTTTATTTTTCAACAAGGGATTTTCAACATTGAGGTAACAATTTTTTTTTAAATAATTGTTATCACTATTGAATAGGTTTTCAGAGTTTAAATTATTATTAGACTCTGAGTCTGTATATAAAACAGTTGAACTTTCAAAAGTGTTATTCATTCCGTAATTTTCCCCCGACATCATCATTAAATTATGTCTGGTCAATGGTAGGTATTGATCATTACAAATATTTCCTTTTTTCTTTGTTTTTGATTTTTTTTGGGATTTTTCCATCGATTTATTTGATCCCAATCTTATTACTCGATTTTGACGTGGTTTTCTAATACTTTCACTATCAATATCAATTTGATTAGTATTATCGATCTGATTAGTATCAGCTTTTTTCAAATCAACAACCATTCTATTGATTAGATCAGGTTTGAGCTGTAAATTAAGACTGTCTAAAGGTTTCGAAGTGGATAAAGTGCTAAATGAATTATCAACTGTAGTTAAAAATCTTGACAAAGAATTTTGTTTAAAAAAAGTGAGTTTCTCTTCAAAAAAATTATATGTATCATAAAAGGGAGATAGAACAAAATTTTTAAATTTTGAATAGCATCTATTAAATAAGTAATAAGGGGAATTTTCATGGTTTTTACCAATAGTAGCAATGCTGTTATTGTTATCTTCATTACTGTTACTGTTATTGCTATTGCTATTGCTATTGCTATTGCTATTGCTAATTCTATTTTTATTGAGAGTTAAAAAATCATTTAAATGATTATTAAAAGTTTCAACTAAATTTTGATTATCTAGCTTGAAATTTTCTTCAATATTGATTAAATCGTTTAAATTTAAATTTGCATCTTGTAAGAATTTTAAAGACGTATAATTAATCAATCTTGGTAAATCGTTTTTGATTGACATTTTAAAACCGTTAATTAATTCTTGTTTAATGAATAGAGTGATTTCATTTTCATTAATTTGATTTAAATAGAGATAACTTTTCGTATTATACAAATCATAAAGAATTTTATAAAACTCATCCAAGGAAGAACTTATTTTTAGGTCGATATTGGTTAACTGGTCGTCAAATAAAATAATAACACCATTTTTATTAGTTAAAACAATTTTAAATTGTAAATAGATGGATAGATTTGATAAAGAGAGTAAAAAGGGAATCATTGAAGATTGAGATGCTAATGGGAAATTTGGCAATATGAAATCATTTAATTGGTTATTGAACAAATAATGATGATTTTCATATTTACATAAAGTATTAAAAGTGATTGAATTTAATGGGTTTGATTCCACAGAAGATAATAAAGACAAATTTGCATCACCGTTATAAATCAAATTAAAATCAAGGGTTAGTAAGTGATTTTGATTGATTTGGAAATCTATTGAATTTAAATTTAGACAAGGGTTAATTGAACCAAAGGATATATTTTCAATTTGAAATTTTTTGTCTTTAAATATTGAGATTAAATCAATATTTTGAAAACTAATATTATTAAATGAATCATTTAATAGATTATTTAAAGTTGATTTGAAATCATTTATAAGTAAAAAATTATTTGATAATGAATTCCAGTCAAAATTAAAGGACATTTTTATTTCTTTCTCAAAAAAATAAAAGAAAACTGAAAAAAATGGATGAAGTTGATTAAAAATGAATATTTTATAGAAGGGCTAATAGGTGGTTGAAATGAGATAAGACAAAGTAAAATAAAATGGGATAAAGATAGAATAATCAAATTTTCTTTGTTCTTTTTAAATCAAATTTAAATATAAATGATGAACAAAGTTGAAAAAAAATGCTAGTATATTGAACCTTTTCTTATCTCGCAAGATGTAACAATATATTAAATGATATGGCAAAAAAAATGAATAGGCAATATACCCAGATAATACTTTTTATTTATAATATTTTATGAAAATACTATGAGCTGTATTTTATTTTTCTATGTGTGTATCAGTAGTGATTAATCTTGTAAGAGAATTATAATTTGATAATCTTTGAATGTAATTTGTTGGATAAGTCAGTGCTAGTTCGAGGTTATTTTTGAAAATAAAACCAAAGATTCATATAGCTCTCCAAGAGAAATTGATGAAAAAGGATGAATATCTTTATATTTCAGTAGCGATGAAGAATATTTATTGCGCCTAATGAGCTTTGGTTGAAGACTGGAAAGCAACGAATCTGTGTTCTTCGACTGAGTCTAATTTTTGGTTCTTTGAATAAGTTGGCAGAGATTGGAGAAAGTTAGCAGAAATCACAGCAACTTGAGAAGTTTTGTGGAATTCCAGGGGCTTCTCGTTTATTATTTGGTTTGATATTTGATTTGGCCACAGCTAGAAAACAACACTGTGAATTTGTTGAAAACACTCAGCGACACTCAGCTTTAAAGCAAAAAAACAACAAGTATCAAGAGTTTTGAGAAAGAAGAGCAATGGTTGTTTTAGCGGTTTTATACCAAACATAATGGGAGCTGGGAGGGACCGCACAGAAAACGGCCACCTGCTGGCACACTCAGCCCGCACAGCCAAATCAATATGGCGGAGTGGTGCGGTCCAGCTGCTGGGTGCAGGCGGTAGCTTACGGTTTTGTTGGAAAAGAAAAAATGTTGAGCAGAGCCAGCAATGCGGATTCATGACGAGAAGCTGCGTGTGCATAATCTCGCGCAGCATAACAGGAGATGGAACTTCCATAGCGATGGTAAATATTGGGGCAAGCAGATAAAAAACAAGATAAAACGAGATAAACCAAGATGGAACAAAAGGAAAAGTGGTGAAACTACCTCAGTTGACAGCTGTGTCCTCAGTAACACTCTGGGAAGCAACTATTTTAGGTCTGACCTGGCTTCAGACAAGTGTGAGATATATGCCATCAAAATATCAGCACAAACGAAATTTTCGAACATGTCAATTTCATTTTTACTGTTCTCCAAATTAACATTGAAAATATTGCTGAATAAGTTTCTTCTGTGAGTTTCATATATTTCAAGAGCGATACCCCGGTTGGAAACAAGTTTATATGGATCATACTCAGTCAGAGAGTCGAGTTTCAATTGCTCATCAAATTCATCTAGGATAACATTAGAATTTGCTATATTGTCAGTTTTTTGATCATCAAATTCATATTCATCAAACCCATTGTCATTTATATAATCATCACCAGAGTTGATTTGAACCCCCAAAACATATGCAGAGGTTTTAGCCTCATCAACTAAAAATGTTTTCAAAATTTCATAGTATTTAAAAATGTTATTTAAATTAATTAAACCAACGTCAAATAGAATAACCGGCTTGACTTTATTTCTTTCTTTCAACTTTAACTCTCTGAGTATTTTAGCTATAGTATCTTTGATATCTTGATTCGATAATTCCAAATATATGTTGTTTAATTGCAATATTACAAATGTTTCATCATTTCCTGTAGTGCAAACGATTGCAGCTTGACCAGTTTTGGTTATTGATAAAAAATGATGAGGCTTATTTGATGCTAAAATAGCTTGTGTTGATGAAGTAATTTTACAATTAAATTTCTCTAAATCATTCACATTCTTATTATTATAATCTGATGTTTGAAATCCCACTGCGTATGATGCTCCAGACACCAGCTCTCGGTGCAATTGAGATTCAACCACTGAAGAACCAATAATAGCCATTGAATATAAATCTGATGTATATTGTGGAGTTATGGTATCTGCCAATTCTCCGACTATTGGTACTCTTGAGACTATTTCTAGTAGTAGATTTCTGCAATATGGTACTCCATAGTTAACTTCATAACTCATACACGAGTCGTTAATACTGGACTTGTTACCATATGGTATGATTTTTTCGTTATCATCGTATTCCTCATAAGAATAATTGTAGTTCATTAGATTGCATCTCATTAATAAAAATAGATTCAGATTAAAAGATTTCTCCTTTTGAAATTTATTCAACCAATTTGAGCAAGCTTTTGCTTGATTCTTGTTCCCAATAAAATTCGGACCAGAGATTATAACTAAAGGATTTGTAATTGGATTATCTTTTTTTAATAAGTTGGATAAACTTAGTCGATCATTTATAATTTTATTTGAAATCTCATAAGTTATTGGGGAAATAAACTGTTGAATAACTTCTGGTTGAGCAACAGCAACCTGTCTAGCCCTTTCACTTAAACATAAGGCTGAACTGCTAGATGAGTAATTTCTCGACATTAATAATGGATGACTGTGATTTGAGTTATTATTATGTCCATTGTAATTAGTAGTGTTGCTGTGAGTATTGACATTGTTAACATTATTGGAACTTTTGTTATGATAGTTATTTTTTGAAGGACCATAATTCCAATATGGAAACTTGTTTATTGAACTGCTGGAGTCTTGAGAACTCAATTGATAAAGCCTATTGCTTTCGTTCGACTGCTGTGACTCCTCATTTTGATACGACATTTCGATGGTTATAGATAACGCTGATGATTACCAATGACTGCTTATTATAGACGAGAGTAGACAAAAGTATAATGAAATATTATTCTAATCTTTTTTCTGTTTGCAATTAATAAAACTGAAAAATGAGGAAAAAGTCTTATTTATTTTTGTATAGCGTTCTTTTTACCGGATATTGTTTGTGTCATGATTGAGTCATACACAGACATATTTTCACAAATGAGGAAAACAAAACTAAATTCCATCACATTTTGAGTTGAGGATAATTAAAGTTGGTCGAATATTTCTATTTAGACCTTTACTATTTACTTGTTAATTATTTATTATTTATTATTAATTTAAAATTTATAAAGATTAGTCGGAAAATGAAAGATCACAAGTGATGTATCAAGTTGCTTAGTGACCACCACCACCAATTTCGATACTTGGGGAACAGTTAAGACTTTGCTTAAGAGTACCGTAAATGGTGAATTGTAAAGAGGTCAAAGTACCAACCATAACTAAACGAGTTGGTAAACCGGCAAATGAACCCCTGAATCCTAATTCTTTAGCTAATTGGGCTAATAAACCGACAGTTGATTGTCCTGGAGCTTTTTTAGTTTTGTTCACTTTAGATAATAAAGTATCAGCAGGTTGAGAAACGATAGCAGCCATGAAACCAGCAATTAAACCAGAGGCTAAATTGATGGCAGTTGCAGTAGATGAAGATAACTTTTCCTTTGGAGTTGGGATAAAAGAATGAATGGCTTCAGAGGCTCTTTCATATGTTAAGAATTTGGCAATATTATATGGAATTTGTTTGAACAAAATTGGAGTGAAACCGTTATAGAATGAACCGACACCTTCTTCTTTTAAGATTCTTGAAAACCCACCTAATAAACCGTTAGCAAAAGTTGGTTGAGAGACCAATCTAATACGAGTGGCTTCCAAAGGACATAAAGCGATATCAGCAAAGAATTCGGCAATGGCAGCAGAACCAATATAAACTGAGTTTTTGTAGTTGGTAGCAGTTTCAATACCCAAGAAATCAATGAAAGTTTTTTTGAATAATTCGTAACCACCAAATTTGAAAGCACCTTGTAAAGAGTAACCCAAGATGGTTGGACCCAAACCAGTTAATAAAGCACCAGCACCTTCTTCAGCAACAATTTTTTTGGCAGATTGGAACATACCAGTATATTTGGTTGGTTCTAATTGAATTCTGGTTTTGATAACATCGATTGGAGTCATGGAACCATGGGTAACACCACAACCAATAGCACCAGCTAAAGCGAATTTACTGTAATCTAATACAGTAAAGGATGAAAGTTCAGATGCAGTCATTTTGAAATATGAAATATGAGGTTGATTTGTTTATAAATTTTGTAAATATTAATGAAAATATCTATTAATAATTTAATAATAATTTAATATACAAGATATGGAAGAATATTGGCAAGAATATAAATAAAAAAAGGATATTATTTATAAAATGTATGTGAAACCTTTATTGGATAATAAAAAGACAAAAACAAGAAGATAATCAGAAAAATTGAGATATATTCAGTTTTAAATATCTTTTTAATATTAATTATTAACTTTCAAATATATTTCATATAATTTATCATTTTATAAAAACGAGATCTGATTCCTCTAATTGGACAAAAGAAACTTTTCTTACCCGGTAGTAGATCCACTGTTTTCTTTTCGCGATTTCGCAGCGAACACAACAACGATTTCTCCGCGATGACAATAGTCCAGTATGCGATCACATAGTAACTGCAGCCCATCATTGGAGATAAATTGAAAGACCGTTAACACCAAACACGAAATCGGTAGCCTTTTCAAACGAACACAGTCATCGGTGCTTTTCCACTTCCGGCCAATGCGAGAACAAGCGAGGGGTTCCGTCCCCAACCACCGGAAATGCGTCCAGCCAACACTAATCCTGTTTCAAAAAACGACCACGTGGGCTGCTGCGGCACAGGCAAAGGCTCCGGTCATATCCACCGCCACGGAGGTTGGAAACAAACGGGTAATGAGTGTTCCTCTGATCCAAAACAGGCGTTTCACGTGGCAAACCTCTCTGAGGCGCGCACAGACATAAATCATGCAAATACTGCATTATCGGAAAACCAGTGCTGCGGGTTTGGGAAGTTTTGAACACTACAGACCCATATTTCAGTTATTTATATATCTTACAGAGAAACAATGAAAATTATTTCTTGATTCTTCAAGTATCTAAGGATTATTTGTGGATCGCTGCTAGCCTTTTCATATAATTTTGTGATAAATTCGAATATTTTGAGTGAAATGTCTCAATTAGAGAAAAACAAACAGGGAATTACTCTCACAAAGCCTTACTTGGAAAATTATCCAGATAAAAATGGGTTTTTTGGTCCCTATGGTGGATGTTTTGTTCCTCCTGAAATTGAGAAGCAAATGAAATTAATCTCAGAACAATATGATCTCTTGAAAAACGATCCTGAATATCTTGAGACTTTGAGCCGAATTAGAAGTGATTTTCAAGGTAGACCAACTCCATTATTTTTTGCTAGAAATTTATCCAAATATGCCTCTCCAGATAAAAATATTAAAATCTATCTCAAAAGAGAAGATTTAAACCATATGGGTGCTCATAAATTAAACCACTGTATGGCTGAAGCTTTGATCGCTTTGAAGTTGGGTAAAAAAAAGATAATCGCTGAAACCGGTGCTGGTCAACATGGTGTCGCTTTAGCTACTGCTGCTGCTTATTTTAATTTGAAATGTGATATTTACATGGGTGAAATTGATATCATTAAAGAAAAACCAAATGTGGTCAGAATGAAAATTTTAGGTGCTAACGTTATACCTGCAACTCACGGTTTAAAATCATTGAAAGAGGCTGTAGATATAGCTTTTGAAAATTATATGAAAGATCCCGAAAATATCATGTATTGTATTGGCAGTGTTGTTGGCCCACACCCCTTTCCTTTAATGGTGAGAGATTTCCAAAGTGTTATTGGTACTGAAACTAAAAAGCAATTTAAATTGAAAAATGATAACAAATTACCTGAACATATTGTTGCATGCTGCGGTGGTGGTTCAAATGCTGCCGGTATATTTTCTGCTTTCATTGATGACGAAGATGTTAAACTATATGCAGTTGAACCACTTGGAGATGGAACTGGAAAACTAGGATCGCATGCTGCTTCTATTTCATATGGTGAAGATGGTGTTATGCATGGGTTTAATTCAATTATGATTAAAAACTTAAATGACAATGAACCCGGACCAGTGAATTCAATTGCTTCAGGTTTAGATTATCCAAGTGTTGGTCCTGAACAAGCTCTATGGTTTAGAAGCAATAGAACTGAGAAAAATGTTGGTGCAACTGATTTGGAAGCTGTTGATGCATTTTTTGCGCTATCTAAATTGGAAGGTATTATTCCCGCTTTAGAATCGTCTCATGCAATCGCTTATGCTTTAAAATTAGCTAAAAATGTTGACAACAATTCAACTATTGTTGTTAATTTATCTGGTAGAGGCGATAAGGACATTGATTATGTTGTTGAAAACTATCCACAATTTATCGACAAAAAATACGAAATTCAATGATTTAATTTAATGATTTAATTTAATGATTTATTTTAATAATTTTATTTGACTTTAATCTTCTTGGAAGAATATTCTTTATTGTGAATTTCTTCAGATTCGAGCTTTTTTTTTTCCTTTTATAATTATTGTTTTCAGAATTATTTTTATTATAATAATGTAGATGTAATAAATATCTGGACACATTTTGAAACAAATTTAATACATTATTATTTGTTTTTGATGAACATTCGAAAAACCCATTGGAGTTCAATTCATCATTTAATAACAACAAATCATTTAATGAAATGTCTTTATTTTTGTTTTTCAAATCAGCTTTTAAACATAATATAAAAAATGGAATTCTGTTTTTATTGTTATTATTATTATTATTATTATTATTATTATTATTATTATTACTATTACTATTACTATTACTATTATTATTGTTATTGTTATTGTTATTGTTATTGCTATTAATTCTTTTGATAAACTCTACATACCAGTGTTTCCTCAAATTATTAAACGAATTTAAATCGTCATATGATAAGCAGATCAATATTAGACTGAATTGGCTCAAATCGTACAATAAATTGAAGTATAAAAACGGATCAAAGTTATTATCAAACTGCTTGAAATGAGTATCGAAAATTTTCAATTCAATTGAGACAGGTATGTCGCAACCAGCTAGTGAAACGTCGACTTTAAATGGTTCCAAATGATTTGGCAAATTGATATCGATTGGAAACTCTCCATGGTTTTTAAGAAACATTAAAAGCGATGTTTTGCCCACTCCCTTGTCGCCAACCACCAATATACTCTTCCTCAATTTAATTTCTTGAACCATTGCTATCTTGGGTTGTTGAGAAGAACGCCAAAACAGCAAAACAAAAAAGAATTCTCATTTTGCCTTCACTCCCTTGATATTTATATCCATCCCTAGCTCCTGTTTTAGACTATTTAAAACTCCTGTTTATGTCTCAATTTCTGTTTCAAAAATGTCAAAAAGATAAATAAAAATCAAACCCACCGCTATGGATTCAATGCATGTATGCGCATAATCAATGCACAAGTGAACTTGCCCCACCAGTGGCAACCCTCTTGGAGGTCTGGCTTACATAATAGTACCCGCGACAGACCCCCTTCGCAAACGAAAACAACACCAGAAAAAAATAAACAACATAAACAAAAGCTGCTTATGCTCCAGAGTTTCACCAAATACTGTTCCACGATAGTCGTCACTAGTGAGAAAGTGTGTGTAACTCAAAAGGCCTATCGAAGAGGTGCTGTCTGCTGTCTGCGTTTGTTCTGTCTGCTTCCTGTGGTGATTGTTCTTCGCGTCTTCCAAGCTCATTTCCAATATCCCCAACGACCCATTACTCGTCGATATCTGCTCCAGATTCCTGTTTTTTCTGTTTTTTCTGTTTTATACTTTTGCAGATTCCCATTTGGTCCAGAGATTGTCATTTTCTTGTGCCAGACGATAGAATTGCCAGTAAATACACAACAGAATTGACCTGGTTGATTTTACATCCCACAACACCCATTGATGCCTGCAGCTGCCTAGGGGGTTGGTCTTTTTGCGATTTATATTACGGATTTTCTTGCTTGTTTATGGTTTTATTTTTCATTGAGAACAAATCTTTTTAATAACCAACATCTAACTTCAACAACAATAAGCACCACAGTCTTATCACTTGGAATTTTTCACTTTCATTTCATTTCTACCATTCAATTCTGCATTTCTTAGCTAGAATCAATCACTGTTTCATGAATATTGGCTAATAATGCCTCCAAGGAAAAAACAAATTAAAAAACAGATACCATCATCAACAAAATCTAAGTCTAAATCTAAATTAAATCCAAATCCAAATCCAAATTCAAATAATATACTTAATCACAATATTTATACTATAAACAATAACGATTCAACTTATAGTAATGATTCCACCAATAATAATATTTCACAAATCAATAATAATAAACCAATAAATAAAATTTCAAGAATATTATCAAAATCTAGAAATTTAAGGGCAAACTCGAATTCAAATTCTTTTTTGAATAACTCAAGCTTTAACAATACTCTTAATAATTCTATAAATAACAATACAACACCTTTAGAATTCTCTCATTTAAAAAAAGACGATGATGGTTTTTCCTTTACAATACTACAAAATTTGAATACAAACAGAATTTTAGAAGACATTGATGAAATCAACTCGGATTTAGATTTAGATTTAAATAATAACAATACCATTACTAACAATGATTTAATACCTAATAAATTACCCAATAAATTACCCAATAATATCACAACAATAGGGAATAATAATAACACTAAAAAAAAAGGTAGAGCAATAAGATCAAAGATACAGCAACAAACAAATATTATTCCAGATTCTGTCTTATTTCCAAAAACTAATAATAACAACAGTAAAATACTGAAGAAAAAAAATACTAGGAAAACAACTCAAAAAAACACTCAAAAAAATACTCAGAAAAATACTCAGAAAAATAATAACTTGATACAGAACAAAATACGAAATGATATTCTGGATATTGATAACTTTGATAAATTACCTGAGGAAAAAACCTCAAAATCAACTGCAAAAAATTATATACACATAATTGACGATATAGATGACATAATTGATACTTTATCTCTTTCCGATTTTGATTCAATTTCAGACTTAGATAAAAATTCAAATCCAAATCCAAATCCAAATTTAAATTCTAAATTATCCACCAATAATCAAACCCAGAAAACCAATGGGAAATCCAGAAATGGAAAAACGGATACTGAAAAATTAACAAATGGGAAATCAATCAAAAGACCTATCTCTAATTCTAAATCTAAATCTAAATTGAAAACAAATGGTTTCATCAATTCAAATTTAGATCCAACCCAAAATGATGATTTTTCCATCATTTCAAATAACAATCAAAAAAAAAATAAAAGAAAAATAAAAGAAATAACTCCTGAACAAGCAACAATTGAAGAAATTGATCAAAAAGACGACTCTTTAATAGTAATAGAAAAACCTTTAAAAAGATCAAGAACCAAAATAAAGACATCTCAAGATTTAAAACAGAAAGCTAATGGGAATTTTAAACGAGTTTTAAGAAAGGAAAAACCCGAAAATAAAATTGATAACTTTAATAAAAATCCTCCAAACAAAAATAAAAATGGATTTCAGAATCATTCGACTGCAAATTCCTTTAAATTAATTAACTCCTACGACGATAATAACCAAATTGTTAAAAAAATTCGTCGTAACAGTTCATATTTAGAAATTGAATCTATTGAAAAGCAAAAACTTCAAATTTCTGAATCTCCAATACGGCGTGTTGGTGTAAACAAAAATATTAGTGATAAGAAAAAATTAATCAAGAAAAGAAGATCTTCACTTAGTAATAGAGGCAAAAGAACTTCTTCAATTGGAAATGGTTTTGTTGCTACTCCACATGAAGATATCGAGCCAAACTATTTTTTTAAACATTTTGATTTATCTTTGCCTATACCTCATCAAATGAGACAGCTACTTGTATGGTGCTTTAAAAGACAATTATATATTGAAAATAATACCATCATGCAGTCAAATGAAAGACAAAACAAAACTAGCACTGGTATTAGTACTACTGAGAAGATATCAAATAACATTGCAAAAGTAATCAAAGATGAAATCATCAAGTCCTTAGTAGACGGAACAATAAATACATCTTGGTGGAATAGAGATCTTAATGACGACTCAGATAAAAGTGAAGACAATCAAAAGGATTTTGAAGAGAAATCTAACAATTCAAAAAATAACGTAAAAGTTGTCGCTAATGTTCAAAATATAATGAATAAATCTAATTTGAAAATATTCTTGAAAAAATTGGAAATTCTACAAAAAGAGAATAAATTGTGGGATGACCTTTACAGCCAGTATGTTGAAAATGATATCAATTTTAAAAATACTAAGGAATATAATGTCAATTTGGACAAATTAGGAAAAGAAATTGAAAATAATAAAATAAAAAAAGCATTTAAAGATATTGAACAAGAAAAGATCAAAATTGATGACGAGGTGAATACAATTATACTAGACTTGGAGAAATCTTCATTTGATAAAATAAATGTTGATAATAATATCCTACACAATAAAGAAGAAGATAAAGATATAATTGAAACATTAGAAAATGCTAAGATAAGTAAAATTGAAAGTACATTCAATTATACTAAAAATAATTTTGAAAATAATATCATGCAAGTAATTGATAATCTAAATGATTTTTCTTTGAAACTACATTCAAATGACAAGTTATTAAGATTGTTTAATCAAAATAAGATAAAAACTTTTTCTAAACTTGTAAATGATTATATTAGTCATATTAATGTGGACAAAGATTTGATTTTGAAAAAAAATAACAATCAAGAATTTGAAAATATAAATGGCAATAATAAAAACAGTCAAATGGATATTGAAGATGAAGCAATTCAAAGAAAAATTAATGAAATGAAGCATTTAGATAGCATTGACTTATTGAAAGCAATATCAAGAATTGGTGAAAATTAGATTGTTTTTTTTTTTCGTTTTTATTTGATTTGATTTTTTTTGGGTGTGTTCAAGTCTTTTCTTTAGGTCATTTTCATGTATTTTTGTATTATTTTTATGAATTGGAGTAGTGGATTTAAAAGCATATTTAGTTTTGAACTGTTAATTTTTTTTTCATGTTTTTAGTTAGTTAATGTATATTAGTATCTGTTTTAATAACATTTAATTCATGTGGAAATCAAATGTGAGATCTAAGTACTATAGATTCTACTTTAGGAAATTCATTAACTGTCCAATTATATTTTTGAAAGAAGTGGTGATTTGAAATAAATTTAAGTAATAATAATCCTATGAAATTGATTTTTAATTCATTTCAATCAGCTTTTGTTAATTGATATATTTGATAAAATTTACCTTGCTCTGGAATTAATCTTTTGAATTTTTGTCTTTGTTTGTGATAAAAATGATAATAAAATTTAAAATAAATTATCTACAAAAATGCTTTCAAAATGATTGACCCATTTTAATATAGATTAAAATACGTAATTATATTAAATATTCAACAAATAAGTGTTAATAAATTTGAAAAATGAGTATTTCTTAAAAAATAAAAATCCTTCAAGAAACTTAGGATCTGTATCTCCATAAAGATAAAGTGTTGTGTTTTTTCCAGGTGTGACGACGACCAGCTTTGGTGTTGTTGAATTTGTGACCTTTATTGATACCTCTTGATTTTTTACCGGTGGAGGTTAAACCTCTGGCTTCACGATGTTTGTGGACTGGGTTGACGATCCAGTTGTATCTGGCATCTCTTCTAATGGCTTTGTGAGAAGGATCAACTAAAATAATTTCGAAATATTTGTAGGTAGAATCTTGATTGATCCAGTAGGAGTTCAAGACTCTTAAATTGGAAGCTCTACGGCCGACTCTTTCTTCAGCAGTAGCACGTAATGATCTTTGGTATTTCAATTGAGAAACACCTTGGTTAGTTGGTTTACCGTAAGTAGCACCTTTTGGAACTGGTCTCTTTCTGTTACCTCTTCTAACACGAATTCTGTAGATAACAAAACCTTGTTTATTTTTGTAGCCTAATCTTCTAGCTTTGTCTGGACGAGAAGGACGAGTAGCACGGTGAATAACATTCTTTTGACGATATTCCCATACTCTGACTCTTTGTAAAAATCTGGAAACATCAGATTGTTTCTTTCTGGAGAGTTCTTCTAAATATTTGTAGGCACCCACTGCAATTGAAATTTATAGCATTAGTAGCAGACACTTTAATTGAGTCATACGGACTGAAAGGAAAATGGGTCGAAAACTTTCAAAACATACTCTTTCAATATTGATACAGATACAGTATTGAATATAATAGTATAAAAATAATTTAGTTGTTACTAGATCCCTGATGCTGCTGGTGAGAAGCGTTTCAATATTCCATTCAACAATATCATGAAATTTTACTGAGAACTCGGCACGTGTCAGCCGCTGAAAAGTTGAAGCGTGACTTTCTCTTAAAAAAAACAGTCACGGCCAGCGCACACAACCGCAGCTCTATAGTTTCCGTTTTCTAATCACGGTTCGGCGAAGTTTCGGAACGTGCTTGTGTTTTCGAAATGTTTGGTAGACCCTGGGTAAGCAAGAATTTGTTTTAGGAAGGTCTGTGCGTACTGAAAACAATTCCACCAATTTGGGTCGGTTCAAGTGAACACAAAATGTGTCAATTTTATATTTACAAATTCTTATTTTTCTTTCAAGGAAAGGAATCTAAGTTTCTAAGCGATTATCTATAAATAATTTTTATTCTATTATTTGGAAAGTGGCTAGGGAGACTTGTTAAGCTCTTTAATTTTGTCGTCAAGTTCTTGCTGTCTTTCTTGATTTTCAATTATTTTTTTCTTTTTTATCATTTCTAATTCTTGCAAGTTTTTATTATAACTTTTCAAATTTTCAATTTCTTTCGTTATTTCATCTATATTACTATCGTTTTTCATTTTCATTTCTTCTAGTGTCTTTTCAATCATATTCAAATTTTGTTCCACATTTTCTAATTCAAAAAACTTATCGTCATGAATAATAGGTCTATCGTTATCCGGTAAATTATTTGGTGATGGATGGATTGCTGGATCATTGTTTAACAATTTATTCAAAAAAGAATCTGGATTTGCTATTAATTCTTTAAATTTTCCTGTTTCTACCATGGTTCCTTCATTAAGAACTATAATTCTTGAAGCTGTTTTAATAGTCGAGATTCTATGAGCAATTGAAATAGTTGTTAAATTTCTAATTGATCTATCTTGTATAGTAGTTGAAATAGCATTTTCGCTTTCAGAATCCAATGCACTAGTTGCTTCATCCAATATTAATATTTTTGGTTTTAATATCAAAGCTCTTGCAAGTGCAATTCTTTGTTTTTGACCACCTGATAACTGAGTACCTCTTGACCCAACTATTGTATCGAGACCATTTGGAAATCTAGTTAAAAATTTATCACAATTTGCGAGTTTAACAGCATTGTCAACTTCTTCATCAGATGCGTTAGTATATCCGTATTTGATATTTTCCTTAATAGTTCCTGAGAATAATAATGGTTCTTGTTGCACGACCCCGATAATTCTTCTATAATTTTTCAAGTTAAAGTTAGCTATATTTTCTTTATCTAGTAAAATGGAACCTGAATTTGGATCATAATATCTTAATAATAAATGAATAATGGTTGATTTTCCAGATCCTGATGGGCCAACTATGCAAATATGTTCACCTGGAGTTATCTTGAAATTTAATTGTTTAAATATTAAAGCGTTTAGTCTTGTAGGATAAGAAAATTTAATATTTTTGAATTCAATTTCGCCCTTTAGAGATTTGTGGTTTACTTTTTTACCAATAGTTGCAGGGATTAAAGGTTTTCTATCATTTAATTCAAATACTCTTGTTGCAGCACCCATACCTTTCATTAATTCTGAGTAAAAATTTGATAGTCCAAACATTGAAGAACCGGTATAAACAGCGTACATGATAAATGAGGATAGATCGCCAACACTAATTTCGCCGGATCTAATCATTGAAGAACCAATTGATAGGAGTAATAATAGCGCCGAGTTTGCTATAAAACCTGTTGAGCCATAAAAGAAACCTGTGAATTTTGCTTCTAAGTAACCTGCTTGAAAGACGTTTCTAACTTGTTTTGAAAAATTATGGATTTCAGTTCTTTCACCATTAAAGGATTGTATTGTTTTTGTTGAAGATAAAGATTCCTCGGCTACTTTTGTTAGGGTTCCGACTTCTTGCTGTAATCTTTTTGAAATATTTCTAATTTTTCTACCATAAAAAAAGGCAAATAAACCCAAGGGAGGTGCTAGAATGAATAAATAGGCAGCTAGCTTGGGAGATACTAAACACATCATTGAAAAGCCAACACCACCGGAGATTACAGCTCTTACACCATCAGATAAATTTTGAGTGGCAGATCTTGTAATAATGGAAGAATCGTTGGTTAATCTTGAGATCAAGTCGCCTACTTTGTTATAGTCTAGGAAGACAGCATCTTGTTCTAGAGACTTTTTAAGGATTCTTACTCTTAATCTTGCAATGACTCTTTCGCCAATTGTCTTTAAAAGGATAATACGATAAGAATTTGCAATTGCACCGATCAAGAAAAAGCCTGCTAAACCGAATAGAAAATAATTTAAGGGTAAACCGAAAACTTGTGGGGAGTTGTCATTGGGATCATTTTTAGAGTTGTAAGATTTAAAACGATCATTTTCTTTAATTTTGGTTACAAAGGATTGAATGAAGGAGGTTGATTTGTTATCGGCTTTATCAGTTTTATCAGAGGTGTTTTGATTGTTTGGAATCGAGTTACCAGCGTCCAAGAGTATACCCAAGACAAGAGGTAGAGACATTGATACTGAGGAAGAAATAATTAAACAGAATAAGACTAGAAGAAGAAGATTTATTTCAGGTTTTGCGAGGGAGAATAGTTTGGCCATTGATTTAAAGTCGTTGTAGTTTTTTGTGGTGTTTTCTGCTGAAGATAGGATTAACTCAGAGGGATTAAAAATTCTTGATGGAGGCAAAATTTCATCACTTTTTTTTATAGTATTATTTTGATCATTTTGATCATTTTGATTGTTTTGATTGTTTTGATTGTTTTGATTGTTTTGGTTATCTTTGATAGTATGGTTATTTGGCGGAGTATTAGATTTAAATCTTTTTGATATAAAGTAGCCGAAAATGTTTTGCTTTTTAAGGTCAGTTTTATTACAAAGTGGATTAAAAGAGATTGAAGGTGAGTTATGAAATAGAAGATTGCTATTATATTTATAGTTATAATTATAATTATAGGTATGATTATAATTATAATTATTACTGATTGATATAGATCTTTTTGAAGTTGAAATGAAATTTAAATTTTTTGGAAAAGATTTTTTTGATAAAGAAGAAATTAGGTTATTCTTTATAAATAGTGATGGATTTATTAGTAAAACCATAATAAGATGTATTATGTATGAAGTACTAAGGTAAGTTGTTGTATATTATAGAATAAGATGCTTGGAATATAGACAGTGATAAAATTCGATCAAGATAGTAAATTTTGGATACCAAAAGTAGGTACCAAATCTCGATACTAGGTCTAGATGCTTAATTAAGATATTGAGTTGGAAGGAAAAATAAAACAGATTAGTTAATCAGAGTGGGATGTGACAAAAGGGAGGTGAATAGTTGCGATAGTAATTGGAGATGTTGGAGATATGAATAGAAGAAATGGAACAACAAGGGCATCAAAAGCAGCAACAATAGTCTCAAAAAGCATCTACAGATTAGAGGGTTGATTAGGACGATTAGATCAAAGGCTCGAAGTTCCGCAAGAAGAATATAAGCAGGCAGCCAATGAGAGGCGCGCAGAGCTGGACTGGCACCTGACGCGGATGCTAACACGGACCCCAGGCGCAGTGGAGTGGGCTGGCACGGATGTGACGGATTTGCGGAAAGGATTGGGTAGAAATCCATTGTCCCGGATATTTCGTGTGCGTCGACAGCTGAAAGACGGATTCGGAAGGTGAGCAGAGCTGGAGAGCATAATGGTGTAGAGTGTCGAGGACCAGCTGAAGAAAGGCAGTTAATGGAGGAGATGTCGCATTGTGGTTTGGAAGCTCAAGCAGCCTTTGAATTTACAAAATAAAAATGCGCTTTTCTTTTTATTTTTCTCTTGGTTGTAATAGGCCCAATCACTGAGATGTGGCATTATTTGTTAAGAACATAGTTGGAAACGAATCGATGGAAGCAGACAAACAATACAGCTGAGTTGACAAGTAATAATGGAAGCCATTTGGTGTAGATTGTGGAAAATAGAGTTATCGGATATCGATGCCAATGGAATAACTTCCCACCCCGTAAGAGTGCTTTTACAATAGCAGAAAAGTAGATGGAACCAATTAGTTCGAATCGAAAGAATTGATTGAGAATTGAACAATATATCTTATATTTGAATGCTTTTGTAATTGGAGACGAGCCAAAGAAACCAAGCAAAGAGATATCGGAGAGCGATCGCTAATTGTGTTTTGTTTTTTTTTAAAAGGAAAAAAATGGCAAATGTTATAAAATCACCGCAAAGCTAATTAAACCAAGATATAATCAGCGCGGTTTTTGGTGATACGAAGCCAGGCAATTTTCAGATGTCAATTGTAATAAAATTGAAGAATATCCAGTCTTATTTCAGACAATTGGAATTAGGTTTGCCATAGAACCCGTCATAAGAATCTTAAAGAAAAAAGGAAAATGAGCTCTAGAGTAGCAAAATTACTAATTACCAATGGAATCAAGAGAATAAATATACGGGAAAATAACCACGCTATGGTGGAAATAAGAATTATTAGCATTAATTAGAATTATTTAGAATTATTTAAAATTATTTAAAATTATTTAAGATTTTTTGAGCACAAAGATAGCACCATTTTGATGCCCCACTATAGAATCTGGGATGAAAAAGTCGTCCCTCCAAACCAGGACCAGCAGCGTGGGTCTGCTGCACTAGAAATCGGGTTCAGCCAATCAGCGCAAGGCCAAACGCTAGTGCTCTGCTCGTTCCAACGGTTCCTCAGTCGGTTCCAGTCACGGATCACTGCTGCTTTTCCACTCACTTTTCAAAAGACATGACCAGACCCTACGAGGCGCGTTATATACTTCCCCGTGGAGAAGGGACTGGAGGACTGCTGCACATGAGTGGAGCAGCAGCAGATGACATGCACAGTGTGAGTGCTTACGTACAGCGGCCCCGTGTGGTGCAGAATCTGCTGCGCGCGCGAATGGGGAATCACCCGCATTGAGACCTAAGAGCGCTCCCCAGAAAGAGCGCAGCGCAGGTCGAAAAGCGAGATGCGTGCGGTAGTAATGAACACGCACCATTGGATCTGGAGGAATCTGAGTGGATCCGTCGAGCTGAGTACCTGCAGCGTGGGAGCCTATCTGCAGATTTGCAGTGTTTTGCTGAATTTCATCTCTTTTCCGCCAAACTCTATTTCCAAAATGCATGCAACTCACTTTCTCACAATTTTTTATCATTTTTGAAATCATTTTTATCTCATTTTATCTCATTTTATTTGATCTACCTTCCTTTTATCTCATACTAGCTCAATTCCTTCTCTTTTTCATTTGTCCATTTCTTGCCCTCGCTTCCCTCTCTCCAAATCACTATATAAGTTTTCATTTTTCTCTTTATTTCTCTCCATTGTCATATTCTCTTTCACATCTGTCTTCAATATTCACTAAATATATATATATATATATATCATACTCGTCCCTGTTTTTAGTTCTACTTCCTCTTTGTAACTAATACTTTTCTGACCACAAACACAATAGTCCCATTATTGATATTCACATCACATCAATAATTATTTATTGTCCAGTTTTTTATATTTTTTGATTCTTTTTTTCAATCCAGATCTTCAATTCTCGTTTCTACTTTAGGATCTTGCACTTATATTCTCTCCCCCTATACTTATAAAATACTATATTCAAAATGGCCTCTTTAGCTTCTAAAGTTTCTCTCCGTTCCTCTTTATTGAGACAAAATGCTACCAAATCTTTCCTCAACAACTCTGCTAAGGCTTACTCAACCATTGCTAAGGAAAAAACCTTAAAAGAAAGATTCGCTGAAATATATCCTGAAAAGGCTGAAGCAATTAAAAAATTCAAAAAAGAAAAGGGTAAAACCGTCATTGGTGAAGTCTTATTAGAACAAGCCTACGGTGGTATGAGAGGTATCCCAGGTATAGTCTGGGAAGGTTCCGTCTTGGACCCTATCGAAGGTATAAGATTCAGAGGTAGAACTATTCCTGACATTCAAAATGAATTACCAAAAGCCCCAGGTGGAGACGAACCATTGCCTGAAGCTTTATTCTGGTTATTGCTTACCGGTGAAGTCCCAACTCAAGCCCAAACCACTGCCTTGTCTGCCGAATTAGCTGCTAGATCCGATTTACCTCAACATGTCATCGATTTAATCGACAGATGCCCAGCAAACTTGCACCCAATGGCTCAATTCTCCTTAGCCATCACTGCTTTAGAAACTGAATCCGAATTCGCTAAGGCTTACGCAAAGGGTGTCAACAAGAAGGATTACTGGTCATACACCTTTGATGATTCCATCAACTTATTAGCTAAATTGCCTCTCATTGCTGGTAAAATTTACAGAAACGTCTTCAAAGATGGTAAAATCCCTTCAATCAACAAAGACTTGGATTACGGTGCTAACTTATCCAACTTGTTAGGTTACGGTGAAAACAAAGAATTCGTCGAATTGATGAGATTATACTTGACTATCCACTCTGATCACGAAGGTGGCAACGTCTCTGCCCATGCCACTCATTTAGTTGGTTCTGCGTTATCCTCCCCATTCTTATCTCTTGCTGCTGGTTTAAACGGTTTAGCTGGTCCTTTACATGGTAGAGCCAACCAAGAAGTTCTTGAATGGTTATTCGGTATGAAAGAAACCCTCAATGGTGACTACTCAAAACCTGCCATCGAAAAATACTTGTGGGATACTCTTAATGCTGGTAGAGTTGTTCCAGGTTACGGTCATGCTGTCTTGAGAAAGACTGATCCAAGATACACTGCTCAAAGAGAATTCGCTTTGAAACACATGCCTGACTATGAATTATTCAAATTGGTCTCTAACATCTATGAAGTTGCCCCTGAAGTCTTAACCAAACATGGTAAAACTAAAAACCCATGGCCAAATGTAGACTCACACTCAGGTGTCTTACTACAATACTACGGTTTAACTGAAGCCTCCTTCTACACTGTCTTATTCGGTGTCTCAAGAGCCTTTGGTGTCTTGCCACAATTAATTCTCGACAGAGCTTACGGTTCTTCTATTGAAAGACCAAAATCCTTCTCAACAGAAAAATACATTGAATTAGTCCAAAAAATTGAATCAAAAAAATAATCAATCTATGTTGCTTGTAAATATTAGATTATCTTTATTAATGGTCACTGATATGATATGATTTTTTATTCTTTCTTTTTATTCTATCTTTTTCTTTTATAGTTTTTTTCTATTTTACGCTCTTCATTAAATTTATTTCGTCTAATTTAGTATAAAATCAAGTTTTTTCTTTAAAAAAATAAAACACTTTAATTCAATGTCTATTCATTTTTTAAACCATCACATTTTTAACAGCAGCTTGTTATGTTCTGCTGCCTGCTATCTCTTATCATTTATTCAATATTCATATTAGGTTTATGATTATATAGCCCAATAGTTATTCTATTTTTCACTTCTCATCTTATTATTTCACTTTGCAAATTTATTACTAAACCAAACCTTAATTATTTTCAGCAACAATCTCCGAGAAACTTGATGTTTCTAAAACGTGACAGATAAATCACTGTTATTATTGATTATTTACCCTATTAGCTAATACACTAAATACCATTTACTACAGCGTTTGCACGTCTCTATCAGTATAATCAAAGAAATTAGCCCGAACAGCCCACTATAAAAGGTTTTACGTCCCGTAATAGTGACACCTCGAAATATTAGCACCTCATCATACTTATTGTGTCTGGGGTAATTTTGCACAATAAAGATTTCCTATTTAACGTAAATACTCAATCAAAAAAATCTGGCTGCAAAGTTGTCTCATAATTTGAGTTTATTTCTCTGCTTCTTTTACCTCATTCAACAATTCCAAACAATACTCCTTCACAGGTGGCCTAAACCTTATGAGATACTGAATAGTTTGCTTTCCCAAAATTCCTCTCAACGGATCTAAACACAACGGTTTCAATTTTAAAATAATATCCTTGTTCAAGTAAGACAAATCTGAAAATAACCTGATAAATACCTTTCGGTCCTTTAAATCCAAAAAGGGTATCATTGCATCAAGGATCTTATTGGTCCATTTTAGATATGTAGGTGTTTTAATTAGTTTAAAAACTTTTTCATCACTTAACTTCTGATTTTTTAATTTAGCTTGTCTCTGAATCTCACTTTCTTCTTTGACATATTCTGAATACCATTCTTCATTTAGCCATTCAATAACAACCTCCATTCGTTCGTGAATGTCTTCTAAGAAATAATTAAACAACGCTTCCCTTATCAAGTCACTTAATTCTTCATTTTCGGTTTTATTTGACCCATCAATTTTATTTTTTCCATTTGTTTCAACACTAATGCTTGTTTTATCATTAATTTCCAAGTCGTTTTCTTCATTTTTCAAACCATTAGCTTTATTCTCAGATTCAATATCTTTTTCTTCGCCACTCTCTTGACTTGTATCAGAAGAATTTTCTAATCTCTCCATCTTGTCTTCTTTCTGTCTTTCTTTGTCAAGTCTGGAGTAGATTCCTCTTGTGGCTAGTCTTGTCAATAAAATCAACCATGAGTCCTTTTTCCATTCAGGTATGGCTACTTTTTGAATTTTAATTTGACTCTTTTTATTATTCTCTTTATCCTCATCAGTATTACTGTTATTTATTAACGAGGATAATTTTATTTGATCCATATTAGCTAACTTTAAGTAATTATTGATAATTAATTTAATATGCTCTTTTTTTTCTTTCAATGTAAACTTGGTTGGAACTGGTAGAATATATGGAATTCCAGACTCATAGTTCTCATCAAAATTCATATCATTGTCTTCAGTATTTCTATAAACATGATCAGGAGCAATTAATGACCCATTAGCTTTATCCAATATCTTATTATTAATAGCATTGATATTGATATTGTTATTATTGTTATTATTGTTATTATTGTTATTATTTTGACCTTGCTTTTTTTCGTTTCCCTCATTAGAAATCAATGATCTTTTTGTGTTTTTCAATCTTATTCTTTCTTCAAAAGTAGATTTATATCTTTCTGATATTACAGATAAACCGGTAACCAATTTTTCAAGATCAACCTTACCAATTGAAATAAGAATTAAATTTATTAATAAATCATTGTTACCATTTGTGTTTAACATTGAAACGTCGACACTATTCAATTCATTATTACTACCAATTAAAGTATATAAATTTTTAAGAGTATTTGTATGACCAGTAATATTATTATTATTATTATTATTATTATTATTATTATTATTATTATTATTATTATTATTATTATTATTATTATTATTATTATTATTATTGTTAGTAATTGGTAATTCTAAAGTAGTTTCAGGATAATGTTTTTTAATCAATTCATTAATTTCATCATTAAATTTTCTTTTTTTATTTAAATTATTAAAGTCCTTTGAGATTTGGTCGGTTGATAGTTTTTCAATTGAATTTTTAGGAATTTGTTTAAATTCGTTATTAATAAAGTTTATAAATTCTTTATCCTCATTTGATTGATAAAAAATTCCCTTTTTTCTTTGTTCATCCAATTTTGTCATTAAAAATGATGAAGTTTTGCTAAATTTTAGGGATAGATTGTTCAAGGCTGTCAAGTCGTTGTCACTGTTATTATTGTTGTTATTATTGTTTGCGTTAGCTAAATCAGGGTTTGGAGGGGGTAATAAGTTATTTTTGAAACAATGGTTAATAAAATTTTTAATCATTCTGTTTGAAAATCTTTTATTTAATTTAAATTTAACCAATTCTAAGTCATTTATATCTTTTGCTATTTTGACAATTTGGAATTTGTAAGGCAATTTCTTTGAGGTGTCATAATTGATTAAATTGTTCAAGATTTTAGTAGTTAAAGAGGGTCTTTTTTTGATTAGTTTAGTTAGGGAAAAAATAGTTGTAGTAAAAATTGGAGTTTGTAATAAATAATCGTCATTTAGGTTATTTAGTAATAAATCCAAGTAACCTTGGGATTCAGCTAAAAGAATATTTTGAATTAGAAAAGGGTGATTCTTTGCGATGATTGATATTGATACGTCGATGATTTGATTTTTCATTTCAAATCTTCTTTTTCTTGGATCCTTTGGAGGAGAAATAGATTGAGTTTGAATGATTTTCGCGATCAATCTTATAATAAGACATTTGATCGCGATAGAGGAAGAAAACTGATCTTTAACTGGATCTATTGTTGGAATCAACGGATAATTTGTATGACTAAAGGACAAAATCAAGGTTTTAAAATTGATTAGATTGTTATAAACCTGGTCATTGGGGATATCATTGATTAAATAATAAAAGACCAAGTCATAGATGGATGTGAAAATTCTGATGATCGATTCAATGAATTTGAAATCGTAGAAATTATTTGGATCATTTATATCGATGCTGTTAAGGTTATTAATGCTGTTGATGTTGTTTAATAAGGGGGATAGACTAATTAACGAGTTTAAAACTGTAATTGATAATTTTTTCTTGGTTTCAAAATTTAGTTGATGACTTGGCTCATTATTGTTGAAAATGTAATCAATGAAATTTACACACCATTTTAAGATTTTTTTATCATTTGACGAATTGATTAAAGCACATATTGTCTCAATTACATCGGGAATTAAGCTTGAGTTTGATAAAGCTAATTGCCTAGCCTGTTCCAACTTTGTTAGAGGGTCTTCCATATCCGAAGATGCAGCAGAGTTGTTAACTTCATTGCTATTATTGTGGTTATTATCCGACATGATAGAAAGAGCCTAGGGATAAACGAGGTTGAGATTTACTGGTAGAACTAAAAAACGAAAAACTTCCTAAGACGAATAAATAAATCTTCAAAGCGAGAAAATAAAATGCGATAAGTTCCTGTGGAATTAAAGGAACTGTTGGCCAGCTCAGTGAAGGCTATCGTGAGAGAAAGTTACTTGGTGGCTTCCTCAACGGTTGAACAGTGGAAAGAAGAGCCAACGTCGCAATCAGTTTCGTGCCAAACTGGTTTCGTGCTCGACTGATCTTACTGGAAGGATTCAAATAGTGGTTCAATAGTGGAATCAGTTCTGCTGGGGCACTCGAGGAGGAGCAGAGATGGCTGTTTTGTGGTGGTTTTGCTGGAGAAACTGAGGTTCGTTGGGCTGATTATATCCTGTTTCTTTTTGCCTGATTCAGCGGATTTGAGCAGGGTGACGGCACTTTGGAGGAGGTTCAAAAATAGCAGAGGGAAGAGAAGAGATCAAAAGAAGCAGACATGTTGAGGATTACAGGAACACTGCAGCGCTGGGCTCGAACTGGGCTCTTCCCAGCGAGATGCTGGGCCAGATTCTCGACGGTTGTGGGGCGAGAAAGGCTTGCTGCTTTCCAGCTTCGCGACTACCAGCAGGAGTGCTTGGACAGATGCTTCAAGGCCCTCACACAGGAAAACAAGAGGAGAATAGGTGTTTCGTTACCCACTGGCTCAGGAAAGACTGTGATCTTCAGCCATTTGATCAAAAAGTTCATTGACCATGTAAAATCACAAAACCAGAACTCCTCTTTCAAGACCAAGACCTTGATTTTAGTCCATAGAAAAGAGTTGGCCTACCAGGCAGCCAAAACAATGTCTCAGATCTTGCCAGAATACAGAATTGGCATTGATATGGGCGATTTGAAAGTCGATCCAATCAACTATGACATTGTCATTGCTTCGATCCAGTCCTTGGTTTTCTACAGCAATCCTCGACTACCCAATTACGATCCTGATTATTTCAAATTGATTATTATCGATGAGGTTCACCATGCTGCATCGACAACATACCAAACTATTCTATCTCATTTTGGCTCTCATGATTTTAAATCAGGGATTTCTGTTGCTGGGTTTTCTGCCACAATAAGAAGACACGATGGCAAATCATTGTCAAGAATTTTGGATCATTTGGTCTTTCATAAATCACTTCCCGGAATGATTGAAGATGGTTGGCTAACTGATCTCAAGTTCACCACTGTTGTCACCGATAAGTTTTCTTTAAATCTAGATGAACAGTTTAACGACAATCAAGTTGAAAACGAAAACGAACTCGATACAAATGATGACATTGACAATGAAATTGAAAATGGTAATGACAATGGTAATATTGATGATATGAAACAAATTGGGATCTTAGGCCAAGAATCCAATAACAGTCAATTATCAAAACTTTTAAACACTCCAGAAATGAATTCTTTAGTTTTAAAAATTTTTTTGCAGCTAAATAAAACTTATAATTTTAAATCTGTTCTACTATTTGGCGCAGATGTTAGTCATGTTCAAAACTTAACAAAACTATTCAACGAAAATAATATACCAAGTGCCTTTGTCACTGGAACTACAAATAACAAAGTAAGATTTCAAACTATTGAAGACTTTAAACAAAGAAAGATCAACATTTTAATGAATTGTAATGTCTTTACTGAAGGTACTGATATCCCACAAATTGACGCAATTTTTCTAGTCAAGCCAACCAATTCTCCAAACTTGATGGTTCAAATGATTGGAAGAGGTTTAAGATTACATGGCGATAAATCAATTTGTCATGTCATAAATTTTATTCCGAAGAATCTACAAAACGATCTAAATATCTTACCTACTCTATTTGGTAAAGAAGACTCTATCCAATTCATTAATGATGATGATGTTGTTACTAATAATAAAAAAAAAAAAAAAGATAATAATCAAGATAATAAAGATACAAATCAAGGTCCTTATGAATCAGTAACTTTACAGAAACTCAAAGACAAAAAAATCGAAAAAATCTTTTTCAATGAAATATCTGGTATCAAACATTATGTTAAACTAAATTCCCTTAATATGTATCCTTATGAACAGGCCTTCTCTGAAAGTAATATAAACTTTATCAAGACAGCAAGTGATGCATGGACCGTTTCCTGTGAAGGCACTGCATATGTCAAAGTTCATAGATCGGAAGTTGGTCCACAAGATCAAAAAATATTATTATATACCGCAGAGTACAATTATAGACAAAAATATTGGCCAAAATCAACAAAAAAACCCAGTTATTTTGTGAAGAAAACTCCAATTATTGAGCATGAAAGTGATTTAAATAAACTAATTGAAACAGTTGAAACATTTCTTGACGAATATGTTCCGTCATATATTACATCCAAAACCTCTCGATGGAGAATAGCTCCCGCAACACAAAAACAAAAAAACTTTATCAAAAAAATGATTTTTCGTGACTCCCTAATATTTACTAACTACAGCGAAAACCCAAAATTATACAATGAGAAAATTGAAAAATTTCTCTCTGAAATCAACAAGGGAAAATGTGCTGATATTATTACATCAAGAGTTACAACTGGTGAGTCATTGGTGTTGGAAATGCTTAAAGAAAAGATCCCAGAATTAATGGAATCAAAATCTGAAAAGAAAAAAAAAATGAAAAAGGTTGCGTTGAAAAATTACTTTAATCTTGGTACCGGGCCAATGGAGTTGGTCTAATGGTGATTTTGTATATATTTTTTTTTCATTCTGATACTTCTAAATAGGGTTCATAATCATGTATCTTTTTAGCAAGTGGGCAGCTTAGTTAAACTTGTGAAATATTGATAGCTAATGTGATAATTATTATCAATCAAATAAATAAATTGGAAATAGTGATGCAAAAAAAAAGCGATATATAACTAAATATTTTATCCAGTTGGGCCTCCACGAGAAAAATATTTTTAGATAAAATTCTTTTGTGAAATCTCTCTCATTTAATGTTGCAACTTTAAATGAAGATAAGAATCGGAAGAAACCTTTTTATTCTCGCAAAAAGATCTGTGATAATGTGATTTGCAAACTTTAAACAAGTAAAAGAAAAAAAATTAATAGGAAAAGATTGCAAATATTAATAAGATGGTCACTCATAATAAAGGAATAGAGCATTTGTTTCAGCAAGTTGGTTTTGACTTACTACAAAAAAGCTCACAGATCAAGTTTTTTATTCAAAACCAAATAACTGGTTATTTCTGCAAGAACATGCATGCTAGTGTACAAATGACAGCTTCCACAAGATTGGTTCTGTGTCTGGAGTTTTTTGACAGGTCCAAAATTTTCGATATGGTTTTGGGTTGAAATATCAGTTCTTCAGAGGTGTTTGAAAAGCTACTGTATCTCCAATGTTTGAAGTTAGAACAAAAAAGATGTATTATTCATTATTATGCTGTATATGGGAAAGACAGAAACTGGTTTTTGGCAACTATAAATATATAAAATGATACAATGCCTTGCGTTGAACTTAGGTGATCCTTTTAGCCATAAACAATTCACTTAATATTTCGAAATGAACCAACGTACTCTAATATTTCTCATATCAATAATTCTTTCCACAAACTTCTCTCTAATTTTGGCTGGTTCAAGCTATAATGAAGGTTCACCGACTGTTGAGGCAGCTTTATTGTCAACTATATATGCTTATGACACAACTGACGTTTACATCACGACAGTTACCATAACTTCTTGTTCAAACCATCACTGCTCTTCAACTGCTGTCGAAACAGGTGCTGTTGATATAACTGGAACTTTTAGTAGTTCTGAAGTGTCTTATGTTTTTTTAGTTCCTTTGCCCACCACTGAATCTTCGGTTGTTGGGTTATTATCTTCTGAAAGCTTTGCAATTCATTCATCATCTGAAATTATTTCTCAAGAAACTAATTTGAATATTCCAACTGATTCTATTGATCTCTCATCATCTTATGATAACTTGATTTCATATTCATCATCAGTCTATAAGACTTCTCAAAGTATTCCAACTAACACATATGATATTCCAGCTAGCACAGATGATATTTCAACTACTATAATTACAACATCAACCTGTTTGGATAACCAATGTAACTCAATAACTCTTACAACTGGTTTAACCACTGTGACTGCAATTGTTGAAAACATGGTTACTGTTTATACGACATTTTGTCCATTAACTGCAGAAAAAATTAATGATTCAAATTATCAACCTTCATCTGAGATTTTCTCTATAAGTGAAATTCAGTCTTTATTGAATCTTGGTTCTTCTTTCAGTGCTATTATGGAGATGGAAAAATCATCCTCATCTGTATTAGATTCGTCTTCTACAGTGTTAACCACTTCTATTGAAAGTTCTCTGGTTTTGGCTGATGTTGATTACGGCTCCTTTCAATCATCAACTTCAACTTCAACTTCAAACAGAGTTCAAGAAACAACCCTAACATCAACTTTCTGCTCTAATAATAATGTAAATTGTGAAACAGAAATTATCACCACCGGTGTTACTACAGTCACAACATTAATTCAAGGGACTTTAACAATATATACTACATATTGTCCCATAGAATACACTCTAACTAATTTAAATACCGATATAAGCTGGACTTCCAGTACAATTTTAAATAGTGATGCTTTCAGCTCAGACTTAGAAACATCGCCAACTAGTGTTCTAAGCTCAAACTTTGAAAGTCCCTCAAATTCAATTGATGCAACTACATTTTTATCATCTTCTTGTATTGGTGATTCGACTGATTGTATCTCAACAACTATTACCACCGGACTCACAACAGCTACTGTTAGAATTGGAACTACTGTTATAACATATACAACATTTTGTCCCTTAACTACACCTACTTCTGTTGTTCCTTCTATTGAGAGTTTAGTTCAGAGCTCAGGCTTTTCAACTTCTAGTGTGAATGGTAAAGAAACTGAATTTTCATCTGTTGAATATACTTTTCAAGTATCTACTGCTGTTCCCAGCTCTTCTAATGTTATCAATTATATTCATAGTAGTTATTCAGTTGATTTTTCAAACAGCAACAGTTATCAAAGTTTATCAACATCTAGTTCTGTTGAAACAACTGCTTCCAATGAGTCTATTCTAGGCTCAATGCTATCGCAGAGTAGCCTGAGTCTTTCGGTTGTTTCAGAAGATTCTATTACAGAAATTCGCTCTCGAGGTATTCCAATTCAAGAATATACTTCAACAATAGATTTAAGCTTACAAACTACTATTACAACAGATGCTATTTCAACTAATGCTATTTCGACTACTGTTTTTGAGAGTGTTTCTTGTTTTGATAATAACTGTGAGACAACAATGTTAACGACTGGGTTAACAACTGTTGTAACAACAGTCAATGATATTATAACTTCATATACAACATACTGCCCACTTTCTGAAACTACAATTAGCATGGCATTTTCCGAAATAGCAACAGCTGAATATCCAAATACTAAAATCAATGACTTGGTTTCTTCTGCTCTTGATATTCAAGATAGTTCCTTGAAATTACTTCTTTCTGAGTCCACTGCTTACGAAACAGTTTCCCAAGAAATAATCGCTTCTGAAATCAGTTCTGCAGGAGATGTATCCAAAACAACTGTTGCTAATTATTATGATTCAATTTCTTCTGCTGTTGTTTGTAACGAAGACAGTGTGTGTGAAAATTACGTCTTAGTTACAGATACATACACATTTGCAAGTGCCAGTCCTGAGATGATTATTTCTTTTTCTGATATACCAGAAGAGTCTACTGGATATAATGAAAACGACCAAAACACCATTGCCTATGAAACCAGCTCAATTTTGAACATCTCGAAAGAATATGCTTCATCAGTCGTAAGTGATTTCCTCAGTTTTTCTAGTACTGCCCTAGAATCGTCTATTGTTGTTGAATCTTCTGGAGCAAGTGAGCCATTTACTACTTCTTCAGAAGTTGCAAACACACGATCCATTGCCTATGAAACTCATGTTTCTGTGGGCTCTGAGTCTCTTCTCTTGACTGTTTTATGTTCTGAAAGTGATTGTGCACCAGTCACCAACACAGAGTCTTCTCTAGATACTGACGTTTATTACACCACTGCTGAATGCGATGCTGATGGAGCTGATTGTGCAGAGTTAAGTCAAACAGTGTATTCTGAGCCAAACCAAAGTTGGGACAGCACTGAAACAAGATACGTAACTTTGACAATGTCTTTATCCTCGGAAACAATGCCTGTGGTTGTTACGTTGGTAAATGGCTACAGGGTTTCATCGTCTGCTTCCAGTTCTTCAGCCATTCCTGGAGTTGAAGAGTTTATAAACATTGGGAACCAATTAAAAATTGGTGTTTCACCAGGATTTATCTCGTTTCTTTATTTTATTTTATAGATTTGGTACTGTGTTATCTTAGCTTTTTTAATTGTAGTTTTCTATCTTTTCAGACTTTGGTTGATTTGGAGATGTAAATCGGATTGGTTTATGAAAAACAGGCAATTCTTTTGATATTTGTTTATTGATAAACTAAATAAAGTATAAAATATATAGAATATAAGATATGGTATATATAAGAAAAAAATAATCGTATAGTATGGAGTATAGAAGAAAATAAAAAGTAAATCATTAGCAAAAAAATGCAAGTAAAAGTTCTTTGATTTTTAATTTTTTTTTCCCTATTGTTTTTGTTTTTTTAGTTTTCCTGGTAAAAAGATAAAAAGCATGAAAATGCGAAAGTGTTCATTGGTTGAAAAAAATAAATAAATAAAGCAAATGCAAGAGTGAAATATGAATTGAACAATTGAACAATTGAACAATTAAAAGTTGAAATAAAACATTAGATAAGTAAAGCTCATTTTTGAGCTTTTCATTTGTTTAATTTTTGATTCATCTTCGAGTTGGATATAAGTTGGGCTAGACATGACAATGCTAAAGTTTAGAGGAGAGTCAGATTGTAGGATTTGGTTATCGATATCGACAATTTGGACGCCAATTAAATTCAAGTGATGTAGGTTTGATAGATGATTCAAGCCTTCGATTTTTTTGATGTTTGTGTTGTAGCCCAATCTGAGGTAGTTTAGATTGAGCAAGTGGTTGATATTTTGAATTCTTGAAATTCTGTTTGAGGACAAGTCGAGATCTGATAGAACTGACAAGTCAGAGAGATTTTGGATTTTATCGATATAGTTGTTTGATAGGTTTAGAGAACGCAAGTTATTGAGTGGTTTGAGACCGTTGATGAATTCGATTCTGTTGTGGGACAAATCTAGATGAGATAAATTGATCAAGTGGGAGAAGGAATTTTTGAAAATGGAGGAGATTTTGTTGTTTGATAGATCGAGGGTGGTCAATTGAGAGAGATGGTTTAGGTAGTTGATTTTTGTTAGGTTGTTGTTTGATAAATTGAGAGTTTTTAGAGACAAGTTGTTTGAGAAAAAGGAGGAATCCAATTGAGAAAGGTTGTTGTTGGATAAGTTTAAAGATTGGAGGTTGAATAGGTTTTGGATAAAGTTTGGGTGAATTTGGAAGGTGTTGTTAGAGGCAAGAGATAAGTATTTTAAGTTGAGTAGATTCAAGCAGGAGGAGATGTTGTTTAGGTTGAGAAAGTTGTTGTTAGATAAGTCTAGCCATGTTAGGGACTGGAGAGAGTTGAGTGAGGTGAAAATGGAGGAGGAGGATATTTTGTTGCTTGATAGATTTAGAAAGTTCAAGTTGTTAAATTTTTTCAAGTTTTCCAAATTCTGTGGGTGTTCAAAGGTGTTACAATTGACAAAGTTGTTTTTAGAGGATAGACTTAGTAGTTTGTATGAGGAATGATTTTGAGATGGTAGAAGGGTTGAGTTCCAGTCAGATTTTGAAATGTTGAAATTGAAAAAGGTGTTGAAAGAGGAGTTTTTTAGGAGAGAAGATAAAAGCAAGTTTATTTTTTGATGGGAAGAGAGGGAGATTTCATTGCCTGTGATGATTAAAAAGTTGAAATTTTTCAAGATAAACTTGTTATTGTTATTGTTATTGTTATTGTTATTGTTATGGTTATCATTCTGATTCTGATTAGAATAAAGATTCTGATTAGAATGAAGATTGTTTGTGTATTTGATTAAAATTGAAATGATAAAATTAATAAGATTTTGGAAAAGAGTTAAGTCTGAGTTATTTAGAATGAATAATTTAAAGTGAATTGAGTTTGAATGGGTGAGTAGGTCTTTATTAAAAGGAGATAAGTTTAAAAAGTCCAGCAAGTTGAGAATGAGTTTGTTTTTATTGTGGTTTTTGTTTAGTAAAGAGTTTTCGTTGGCAGTTAGAAGATCATTTAAGCCATTAATTGGGGATATTGGTGTGTATGGAATATTTTTTTTGAAGTTGTAGTTGTGGTGAATAAAGAGGTTGTTGGAGACGTGGAAGGAAGAAATGGAGGATATTAACGTATCATTTGATAAGGAGAGGAGGAAAGTTAAGTTATCGGGTAAGTTTTTAAAAATCAAAGAGATCAAATGAATAGGTAGTTTCTGTTTAAAATGGGATAAAGAAAGTAAATTTTCCATATATGTGACTTGAGTAAGGTTTCAAACAAAAGCAGGTTGATGAGAAAGGACTGAAATTAGAAGGATAGTATAGTATGGTATAAATTAAGGCAAATTGATGAAAATCCAAGGTAGAGAGAAAGAAAAAAAGAGAGAGAGAAAAAAAGCAAAGAATTTATATGGATTGAATTTTACATTATTTGCAACGTATTTTTCTGATGCTTTCTTTTTTTGATGATTTTGTTAGAAAATGATTTTGTTAGAAAATGATTTTGTTAGAAAGAAAGGTCATTCTAGCGAAAAGAAATTGAGCAGTAGCAAAGGTTGTTAAGAGTGAGAAAAAACGCGATGGTTGGGAAATAGACAGGAGGAACAACAGGCGTAACAGCATTGGTATTAAATTATTACTGTTAATATTCATGCTGTTATTGTTGAGGAACAATTGGCAATAAGGCCAGTGTTCATGCTTTTTGCAGTCATATTCATTTAAGACCGGCAATTTTGATTTGTGGGGAAAGCAGCAGTGGGTGCTGATTGGTCAGCCTTAGCAAGAAGCAGAAAAGTAACTATTCATGTAGAAGAAGGAGCACAGCAAATTGCACCTTGGAAGCAGCGTCCAGGAGCAAAGCGTGAGTGAGCAGACGGGGCATGTTCGCAAGAAATGTGTCAAACACTTGAGAATCAGGAAGAACTTTACTCACCACCTCAATTCGCTTAACTTTGAGCCCTTTTGCTGCAGTGGCTCTGGAACTGCGTAGCTTCCCACGCTTTGCACACGCCCAACCCCAGCTTCCCACGCACCTCCAGCGGCACATACACGATAGCCTCTACCACCTCCCTGCTGCCGCTGCATCTGCTGGTGCTGCCGTTGCTGCCAGAGCAAAATCTCCTTCGCCGGCGCCGCTGGGCCTCCGCTCCGGTCATGTGCCGGCCACACGCACACGCTTTAGCCGACGCAGGTCACCCAGAGTGGTGGCGCCACGTTCGGCCGCTTCGGGAAGGCGCACACGCGCTGCTGAGTCAGCGCTGACACACCACAAGTGTGCCGGCTACGTCATTGTTTCTGATGACTCAGCACACGTGTGCATCAGTGCGGTGGAGCAAGTCTAAAAAGGTTGCTCCACCACAATCCGCAAACAGCAGCTTCCACACCAACTTGAGCAGCCTATTGCCATATCTGTTTCAAGTGCACCAGTGCAATAGGAGAAAGAGCAAGCTTCCCCCATCGTTACCTCACCTCCTGGATCAATTATATATCCTCTTACTTTCCCCTTGCTGCTTCTCTGTTTCCCTTCTAAAGTCCTGTTGTTTTTGTTTTCTCTTTACTACCCTCGCCAATCACTTCTCTTCTCAACTATCCTTGGTTTTCCTCTCCACACCTATCTCAAAATGCACAGAACTTACTCTTTACGAAACTCAAGGGCTCCCACTGCTTCCCAGTTGCAGTCTCCTCCTCCTCCAATTTCCTCCACCAAAAAACACTACTTTGGTAAATCCGGCATTGCTTCGTCCTTTAGAAAGAACACTGCTGGCACTTTTGGCCCGGAACTCTCGCGAAAGCTAGCTCAATATGTCAAAATGGAGAAAAACGTAATGCGTGCCTTGGAATTGGTCGCAAGCGAAAGACGAAATGTAGCCAAACAACTATCTCTCTGGGGTGAAGAAAACGAAGACGACGTCTCCGATATCACTGATAAATTGGGTGTTCTAATGTACGAATTGGGCGAATTGGACGACCTATTCATTGACCGTTACGATCAGTACAGATTAACCGTCAAGTCCATAAGAAACATTGAGTCCTCTGTTCAGCCATCAAGGGACAGAAAGGCTAGAATCACTGATAAAATTGCCTACTTGAAGTATAAAGACCCTCAATCCCCTAAAATCATGGTCTTGGAACAGGAATTGGTTCGTGCTGAAGCGGAATCCTTAGTGGCTGAAGCTCAGTTATCCAACATCACCAGAGACAAATTAAAATTGGCCTTCAACTACCAATTTGACTCAATTCGTGAACACGCTGAAAAAATGGCCCTCATCGCAGGCTACGGCAAAGCTTTACTAGAACTATTAGACGACAATCCTGTTATTCCTGGTGAGACCAGACCTGCTTATGACGGTTACGAAGCATCAAAACAAATAATCATCGATGCTGAAAACTCCCTAAGCAACTGGACCCTCGACTCTGCCGTTGTTAAACCTTCCTTATCCATGCACAACACAAGCAACGAGGTTTATGATACCAGCGACGAAGAAGCAATAGAAAATGCTGAATACCAAAAACACCAACAGGATTTAGAAAATGAATTGAATGGTATGACTGAAACCGAAAAACATTTCGATCAAGGTCACCATGAACAGATTACTGCTTAATTTTTATTCCTACCTCTACCTATCTACTTATTTATTTACTTTTTTTATCTAATTATCTTCTTATTTCCTTATTTACTTACTTGATTACTTTATAAAATAAAAACAAAAAAACAAAAAAACAAACAAACAAACAAAAAAACAAAAAAAAAGCAGATATCTATATATCTTTTCTAATTGGTTTTTACTCTTTTTACTCTAATGTTTATTCTTTTTCATTAATATCTTTCAGGTTATAATCTAATTTCCAATTAATTTTCTAATTGTTTTTATCTATATCTTTTTATCTATATCTCTTTATCATTTTTTGTTATTTACTTTGTTCAGTTTTTACTTATTTACTTGTTTATTTTCTTTTGTTTATGGATTTACCTATATATTTATTTATTTAAAACTAATAAATTAATAACTTCCTTCATCTTTTATCCTTATCTAATCCTCATATAATAAATCTCTTTTTAATTGATTCTTATAATAGTAATTTCGATATTTAATCGCTACAACTGTTCCTACTGTGAAAAAAATTAAAAAAAATAAAACCGTCGATGTTTGATTAATAGGCTTGGGTCGAATTTTCTCCAAATACTCACTTGTAGACTTCTCCGATACAATCAAATTAGTAACTGTACAATCAACGATACTGACATTCGTCAATGGCTTATCATTACTATCTGTTTCAACATTTTGAATCCTATCCAAGATTTTTAAACTCTCCTTATTCAACACTCTCCCAATTATAACATGCTTCCCTGTTAACCACTCATCAATATTCGTGGTTATGAAAAATTGTGATCCATTGGAATTAGGCCCACTATTAGCATACGCCAAATATCCTGCCTTCTTGAAACCAACAAAAAAATTTTCATCGTCAAATTTAGTATTCCCATATATCGAATATCCTCCTCGTCCGTTGAAAAACTCAAAGTCTCCCCCTTGCACCATAAAATCTTTTATAACTCGATGAAAGATTGTATGATTATACCCAGATCCTGCTGAATTTTTACTTAATTCAACAAAATTTCGAACGGATTTTGGTACAATTGACCCAAATAATCCCAACTGCAACTTTCCAAAATATTCGTCTCCTTGTTGAATATCAAATGTAACTATATGAGATAATGGTGGGTCCTCTTTATCCTCAGCATATGTTGATGCTGCCAAACTGCTTAACGCAAAACTGAAAACACATATCAATAAACAACTAATTAGTCTCATCCTAATCAAATCCAGTTAAATCCGGAATTTCAAAATAATTAATCTCAACCCTTGAATCGACTGCTTGGAAAAAAAACCACAAATGCTATAATCGTAAAATAACAGCAGTATTTCTCCAGCATCTGTTTTCTTTATTAAGCCAGCATATTTCAAAATTGCGACCATCACAACGGGGGAAAAGAAATAAACTCCACAAATGTGGGTTATTGTTTTTATACATACAAGTACAGATATGCGCAGTAATTAATATCCAATGATATGGGTCAAAACAAAAGTATATTATCAGCTATGATATTTTTTTTCTTTTTTTTCTTGTTTTTTTTTCAAAACACACACAAAAAAGGCTTTGAATTGAGAAAGTATGAAAATATATAAAGAAAATATAGAAAGGAAATAAGTTCCATTAGCCAGTTAGGTAAACCAAATTATTTCAAGTTGATTTACTTAATAGAATTAAATATAATTATATGAAAAATGTCAAATAAACAAAAAAAAAACGAATGAAAAAAATATCTCAAAAAAGGTAGTAATAGAAAAAAAGTGAAAAAAAACAGAATAGAAAGCAACAAAAAATTAGTAAATCAAATAAGTTAAATTAAATATAGATAAAAGTAAAGTAGAGTAAAGTAAAGTAAAGTAAAATATACCTTAATAATATAAAAGATAAAAACAAATTGATAACAATAACTAAATTAATAATTAATCAAATAATTTTTAAAAATGGGAATAAAATGAACGTAGTTATTAGACAAAGCAGAGAAAGCATTAAACAAAATTAATAAAAAGAAATTTAAAAAATAAAACAAAAACTTTTAAAAAAGAATTTATAATTCAATAAATTGATATCCTTTGTAATGTCTTTCACATTTTTTCTTTTCATATTTGTTTTAAGCTGAATGTGAGTTCATTTTTTTTAAAAATCAAAATAGAAAATCTTTAATGATATTGATAAGATTAAAATTATTTCTTTTCTTGAAAAAAAATTTTAAAACAATTAAAAGTAATACTATTAATAATAGCAAAAAGTAAAGAATAAACCATAAAAAATAAAAAATAAAGCAATATTATTGAATCAAAAAACACAAAAAAACAAAAAAAGACAAAAAAACATAAAGATTAATCAATTTATCAATTAAATTATAAGCTGGCTTTATCTCCTTTCTAACATTTGTTCTAAAAATTTTAATCATATTTACTTCTAAAATTCAGAAATGATAACAATATTAGGACTATACTTATCATTTAATGTTCTAAAAATAAACTTATCCATTCAAAGGAATAGAAGTGAGTTAATTTGAAGAACTTGAATTTTTATTAAATTGGTTTTCATCATCTTCAATTGGTTCCAAATATCTTTCGTTTTCTTTACGGCTTAAAATTGGGATATTATTATTATTATTATTACTATTATTATTATTATTATTATTATTATTATTATTATTATTATTATTATTATTATTATTATTATTATTATTATAGTTTTTTGAGTTTTTAACTTTTGATACATATTCTTCTAATGCTTTCCAATTTTGTTCTCTTATTAATTTTATTTTTTTATTTTCATTAACATTTTGAAAATATAATAGGCTACATTCTTCATATAAGATTTGATTTGCTTCCATAAATATTTTCAATGCGTTAAATGCTAATGAGCTTATAGTTGTATTCCAATTATTACCAGCGCCATTATTATAGCCGTTATAATCTTGGTCTTGAGAATAGAAATCATTAAACATGTTTATTACACCATCATGGTTAGAATTTTGAATATTATTTGGATCATTTGGATTAGTCATGCTATCTGCATAAGGTTTTGATGATTCGCCTTGAGTTGATAATTCATATAAGGAAGTGAAAATGATGGGCAATATAGTTTCAGCATTTTCTGTTACCAAATTTATAAAGTAATTATTATTCCAGTAGCATAAGACTTTTTCAGCGATTTGAAAATGGGGGGAAGAGATACATTTTGATAATTGAACGAATAATGGAACTTGAATTTTGACAAATTCGGAAGGCTCAATTGTCTCAAAAATGTCCTCAATTTCATTTAGAAACATGATTTCCTTTGGTGAATTAATTTTGGGCCAAAATCTTAGTAATCCCATTATAACATCTTCAGTTAATGAGGCATC